TTTCAGATGTGAATTTGTTTGGCTCAATATCCATCTCAGCTAATTCCACGCGGAACAGTTCGTATTCTTTCTTAGCACTGGTTGTTGAAGGATGATCAATGACAGGTGCACAAGATTGAGTGTCGGCGACGTAAAGTTCCTTTCCTTTCTTATATCGAATTGAAAATTGATATCTTTGTAGCTTGCGCATCATTCGCTGCAGTCGTTGAGGGGCTTTGCAGAGAGGTTTCTCGAGGATTGTCTCGAGCGGTTGATGATCTGTGTGTACCGTGATGTCGTGTCTTCCGTATAAGTACTGGTGCCTGTTTTCCATGCTAGAGACAATTGCGAGGCACTCCTTTTCAGTTTGAGCGTAATTCTTCTCGGTGCTGGTCAGTGTGTGGGTTGTGAAGCAAACAGGCTGATCGTTTTGTAACAGTGCGCCTCCGATTGCATCTTCAGACGCGTCCACTTGCGGAGTTACGGGAATAATAGGGTCGTAGTAGCGTAGTACAGTCGCTGATGCAAGGAGGTTCTTTGCTGAACTGAGTGCATTTTCATGATTCTTCGACCACAGCAATTCAGGGGTCTCTTTCGCCAAGTCTCTCAGTGGAAGAACTGTTTCCGACAAGTTGTGGCAGAACTTGCTTAGGTACTGGCACATTCCAAGAAAACGCTGTACCCCAGCCTTGTCAACGGGTGTTGGCATCTTTGTGATTGCGTCTACCTTGCTGGGTCCGGGCGCTTGTGCCCCATGAAAATGACAGAAGGAGATTTTAACTGAAACTTTTTCGCAGACAGTCGGAGATCATGGTTACTGCACTTCTCTAATAGGCACGTGAGATTTTTATCGTGGTCCACTAGTCAAGTTCTCTCCGGTTTAAACCAAGATGACTTCGAATACACCGTTTCCAGAATTCAAAACAACAGGAGATGAAAAGCACGACCTAGAAACATTCATCGTAGATTTGATAGATCACTACACTGAAAACGCAGAATTGGTACGATACATCAAAAGAAAGAGAATAAAACTGATAAAACTATGGCATACATTATCATTATCTCCTGCGGCTAGGACGGTGTACAAATGCAGTCTGGCACTACGCGAAGCCGATCTGAAGAAATCTCACAGTGTTGTGAGAGAATATTGTGGCGCTAGCATTGGAGTGTCAGGGGAACGACAAAAGTATCTACGCCTACTGCAACAAGAAAACAAGTAATTGCGTCATGGGAGACGAGGATATGAAATCAAGAAGCACAATGTGAACACAAGACTTTGCGGACGAACTCATGACGGACCAGTTTATCGCCGGCTTAACGTCAGATGCCTTTCGAGTTAATCGGAGAAGGGCATAGACATAACAAGAAAAAGTCAAGTTACGAGAAGTGGTAGTGAGGTGATAATTACATAGTGCAACGCGAGTATGCGCACTTCATTATCAGCTGCCAGTGTTTTCTGGCGCACATTAATGAGGTATCCAAGCTACTTACGCAATTACGCCTGCGCATTTCCTTCTTCCTCACCTTCTATTACGCAATGGCTAAGTATTGCCCGCAATGCAGTTGGCCGCGCATGCTAATACTAGCACCTTGTGCAGTCGGTCGTAAGTCCAAATTTTTCCGGCTTGATGGGTTACTACTATTTCCTATAATCATGGGGCTACGCTGCGCACGTGCGAGCTTCGCTATTACTCGTTGTTTAATAGAGTGGTTTGGTTTGAAGGATTCTATCTGTTAAATTATACCGTTATTAACTATGCTCTGTTCTGTTGTAAAGCTCACAGGAAGCGGCTAGAGTACGAAAGACTTATAGGGAGAAACAAGAGACGTAGTCGAGTACTTCTAAGGTAGTAACTCAACTCTCAGCTTAATTCGCGGTGTTCCGATGGTTGTCCAGATCCCAACAACAGTAGTACCCTCGGCCATAACAATTTATGAAGGAGCTGTACTCACATTGTCGTAATGCAAGTGGACTTTGAGAAAATAATAAAGATCTCGTGTCCTTGAATTTCCTAAGATTTGCTAGTCCGCTAAATATATTAGTTCCCTTCCTAGTGCCTGTTAATAAAAAAAAAATTTTAAGACCAGATTTGAGATAGAGGAAGAAAACACAAAATTGCAAATAGCGAGGAAACTGCCTCCGTAACCCCTATTCTTTTCGGCTTCTAATGGATTGGCAGGACAATTTCCACAAATTGTGAAAATTTTGAGATTTCACCGAAACAAATTGAAGAAAATCAAAGGCAAATCCAAATTATAGACGGCAAGCGCCTCCCTTCGTGGAGCCTTAGCTTAATAACGAAAATCATTTTGATAATATTTACTATAGCAAACGATAGTCCGAACCTTGCTCATTGCCTTTTGATGGCTTTTAGTGACCTTGAAAAGCAAAAACGTAAATTTCTTTTAGAAAAACAATACGCCGGTGCGAGCGCCAACAACAGCGCCAACGAACAAAAAACCCTTGAGAGCCTCCTTAAAATGGATAAAGAAAATACAGGATAGAATTACAGCTTAATTTAACGAGTTTGGAATAATTCCATAAAGATCACAAAAAATAGGACTTAAGAAAATGCTGTGTTGTTTGTTGATCCTTCGTTTGCACGGTAAAAAAATCTTAAAAGTAGTGTAACGCTTACTTCGGATCGTTGCGTTTTGATTTATGTCGACGTCTGTAGTGAAGATCTTCATGAGGCCTAAGGTTACGGCGCTATCTGGCACTCTAAGGGAAAAAGGAATCCGGTTGGACATGAAAACTATGATTTAGAATAATGCTCCACCGTTTGACTCTTTTCTGAACCAATTAAATGACTTTTCGTTTCTATTTATAATAAGAACACATGGAATCAAGCCTTAGATGCTCAGCGTTCTGGGTAAACACAGCAGCTTGATTATGTCCTCTGGTTCTTTGCTTTATTTTTGTGAACCCAGCAGGCTTAGCAGTTAGATTTGTTCCTGGTATCTGCTCAGACGGCTGGGTTTAATAAGAAAAACAGTGCATCAAAGGAACGAGTCTAAGTAGCTATTTTTTTCCTTGTCACTTAAGCTGCACAAATGCTACTTCATTTACTGATATTTGTAATGAAAATAAGTGACAATTCATTCAACACACATGCAAACGGTATACCTACTGTATTGTCCAGAATCACGATCAGTACATAACACATAATAATACACAATAATTTACTAACAATAATCCAATTCACAGATCGTATTAGACGTTTTTTAAAACATTAAAATACATGGTATCACCATAGAAAATATTAAAAGGGTTTTACGGCTGAGTAATTCGCTTTTTTTAATACTTCCCCCAAGTTGCGAACTGGTCAGGTTATCCAGCTTGTTTGGCTTTTAAATTTTGTCGGTGAACCCTGACACGTTATAACCCTTGTGAGATGTTGTGCGACTTCAATGAGGGCTACAATTAGTTCGCACAAACAGAATTGAAAGTTTTTTTTAAGTCCACTTCTTTCTTGAAACATTCAGAGTTATCAGCTCATTAAGTTTCCGGTTTTCATTGTATCAGTATGATGATCCAAATGGGCCGGTGGCTTTTACGGCTAACCGGTTGGGCTATTTTCGCATTTTCAGACCTAACGGCTAAATCTTTTGGCCATTTTACGGCTACCAGTTAACCCCTTTGAGACTCTCTTCTATCCCAATGTTTCCCTTGTCTTCCATCTAGCGAATTTTCTTACAACAGAAGTCTTTTCTATTGTTTATGACAGTCTCCTGTTTACTCCAAATAATGGATACAAGCATAAAGGCGGACTAATCATCTCATTTATCCCTGAAATCAGATCAAAGGAAGGAATTAATCTTTCAATATCGAATCCCTCAGTTGTACCATCCACTGCTGCCATCCATGCTTTGACTGAACCGATCCAGCGGCGATCTATTTGCTTGTCATACATTTAATTCCCTTAACCTGATTTGGATTTTATTTCCCAAGCACGAAATTTTCCTTCAATAGATCGCAGGAGTTAAAATAGACTATATTTTTAACTGGTCTACGGCAGCTGGTCTACTGCAGTCTATTACTATAGTCTCCTTAAAGCTAGCTAATGTGTCGATCGTGTAACTAGCGAATAGCACGTATGGTCATCGACTTCGTCAATCAGTGGTTCTCAAAGAATCTCGTAAGTGCTTATGCAAAATTGTTGGTTTTCTAAGGCGACTTATGCAAACAGATAAAAACATGTGTGATAAAAAAGTGCTGTAGGGAAATTTGAAGGATGAAACATCTTGAAACTGTGTTAAATTTTAGCACAGAAGTATTTTATATACCTTGAATAATGCCAAGAAAGTAAATTTAGATGTGACTAAGAACATGGAAAGTGAAATTATTCAACAATTGATGTAAACAATCTCATTTGACTCCTCTTGGTTAGAACTTAAAAACTCAATCTAGTTCCACAGTCAGAGTCCTGTAAACCAGGATTTTGAAAAGCAGAGAGTCACACAAGCAACACTTATTGTTGTATCGCTGAGATTAACATAACCCGAACCACGCCGCTTGAATCCCCTTTAGTGGAAGTGGCTCAGAACAGTAGGAGATATTTCATTATGGTAAGATTAAGCTACATTGGAGATTTCTAGTATTTTTAGGCCAGTGAGGTAAGAACGACAAAGGCAATCCTTCCGAAAATAAAAGAAATATTCCTTCGATATATTCCTCTTGAATATATTACCTAAAAGTTGCTGTCTCCTGCTTGGTGGGGGAAGAATAAAAATCTAAAATAAGATAGGTATTGGCCAAAACTCTTTTTCGTATTATGTCTTCTACTCCCTGTTGTTCAAGAATAAAAAGTCCTGAATCTACCTTACCCCGGAAGATTGAACTGAGTATATAAGGATGGAAACTTGGACTATTTACCTCAAATATACAATTGTCAAAGCTGAGTTAACGAAAATTTACAAACTGAGAAATAGAGAAGTAGAAGGCTCATGGCAGGTACGCAAAAAAGTCCTGATTAAATTATCATGATAATTATAAATTTATTATTAGTTTGGTTGTCTGTTTATTTTGATGAAATGTTTAATTTGTGCTCCATCAAAAGGTATGATGAGCTCAAATTGATATGTGTTTAAGCAGATACTTAGAAACCAGAAATTCTTACTGAGCTTGGTATTTTGTAGATAAAACTTTTAATTAGCGAAATTAATTTGGTTTGTATTTAAAAAAATATTTTTGAAATATTTTCAGGTCATCCAATAAAACTCTTTTCTTTTTCTTGTCTTGTGTTGCTTTTGGTCATGCTGGTCAATACTTCTGTACGCGCCAATTGTCTTCGGTCGAGACGATGTTCCAGATCCTCCGCACTCCACCGTCATGGGCGAAGGACCATCGACTTTCTGGTTGTATCGTCACAATTTTTGGCCAGTCTGACATCCAGAACATTGACGTACTCGGTAAGATATACGATACTCTTACTCTGTAAGTTTTCAAGTTTGCAAGTTTTGGTGGTAAAAATGAAACTGCACATAGTTTAAAAGAAATCATCATGCCTCTTCTGGGTTATTAAAAATGATTCTTACTGACTGAATGACAGAAACTAGAAGTATTTATTTTTCTGCACTATATTTAACTCGTTCAAAACCATGACGCCTCAACGTTTGCCGTTTCAGAATTTTCAGTCCAAAATCATGGATTCATGTGACTCAGCCTGTGCCCCTTTGTCGCGTGAAGTAAAAGCAGACTTGAACTTAACTACCTCAAGTTGCACTAATGTCTCGGTAAGCAACGAAGTTGTAGAGTTTTGTCTTAATTTTCTCATCGTGTGAATCCGATATGAGCTCGAATGATTGCACTATTCGATTTGAACAAATTATAATGGCTAAATCAAACTTAAAAGAATGCAATTAATTACCAAGCATCACATCGTGGACGGACAGGTCTCCCCTCTCTCGGTCGGGAGATGTTAAAGTTTTCACATATACTCCTTGGGGTTGAAAACGGTAGTCTGTTACCTCCCAGGGTATTTCCACCTCAGGAACGTTATTGCGTTGAGTACCATTTAAGCCAGCCTCAATCAAAGTTGCCAGTAATCAACACTTGTATAATGATTCCTGTGTTTTAGGCCATCTCACACTACTGGTTCCTTATACCAAGTTCTCAATAGGACTGAAACCTTACTTGATAATCTGCTTGATCATAAACATAAAGGAAACGATAATCAGTCAACGAGGAGTTCTCGGAACAGGCTAGGGTTGTCCAGCCACAACATAAGTTTCTGTAGGTTTCCTTTACCCATCTGGCTATCCTGTTATGATATGAATTGCAGTACACGTAAAATTTGACAGTTTTTTTTGCAATTCCATTTACTCAGACAAGTATAGTTCTGGAATTTCACCGAAGAATGTCTCAAGGGTACAGCCATTTGCTTAGAGAATTATTGGGAGAGCTATCACATCTTAAAAACTTGACAACTCCTTTAGCAGACCTCACTTTTCTGCAAGATTATGTGCAGAATACGATAAACAAGTTGGCTACAAAGGCAGTTAAAATTGTAAGTCTCATTCATGTGATTCAGAATAATACTTCTTAATGGCTAATACAAGTTAGGAATCATGCTGGGTTTGAAGGTAGGAACTTAAACAAGGATTATCGCTACTGCCGTAAAGGTTATTGTCACTTTATTCTTAAAGTAATGAGGCTTTGTAAGGATATTTCAGGCCGTTCTGTTTATGGCTTTGTTACCTACGAGCCTTTTTTACTTTAGCAGGCAGTAGTCTTTCACAGCATACTCTTGACCTTATGGCATTAAAACAACTTTGAATAATTCCTGAAAGCAGGAGATAAAATCGTCAAAGATTACTCCAGTTATACCATACCCCGTTAGTCCAGCTCTTTTGTAAAAATGGTTTCCATGTCTTGACAATTTCAACTTCCATATCAGGATCGGAGACTCAAGGGTCTTCCACCGCTAAACACTACGGCTTACCAGCAGCAGCTCTCCTCAACCATGCGCAAGAACAGTCTTCACTCTCAGTCTGCCTACAAAGTGATGCACCTTGCACAGTGTGTATTAGCTGACTTGCATGAAGCATCCACTCAGATGATCATCGATTTCTTTAAAATCAAAAGTGGTTGGTAAAAGACATTGAAAAGTGGTTGTTGTGTTCCTTCAAACAATGAAATCACATTAAATTGATGTTAATCCGACCCTTTGACTCAAGAAGAGCCCAATATTCGTTCTGAAATTCACCGAATGGCAAGACATCACACTCTTTTAGACAGCCATATCACAGTCACTTTGATTAGTTAAAGGACTCAATTCCTATAACGAGTTAAATATATCAAGATTTTCTCTTTGCACAGTTTTTTTCTTAGAAAACAAAATATTTTGTTTTATTATTGAGGAAAATCGTCGACTTAAGTTTTACCTTTGACTTTAAATTTTCTCCTCGTCAGTAAGATCGAAAAGGCAATAGACAAATGGTTAGTCAGTCAGTCAGTTAGTCCGTCAGACAAACAGGGACGGTCAGGCAGTCAGAGAGTAAATCGGACAAACGTTCTGTCGGTCAGTCAGCCAGTCAGTCAGACAGACAGTCAATCAGGCAGACAGGCAGTCAGTCTGATGATCGATTGGTCGGTCAGTCAGTCAGTAAGTCTGTCTGTGTCTGTCTGTCCGTCCGTCCGTCCGACAGACAATCAGACAGACAGACAGACAAACAGACAAATAAACTATCAGTTAGTAGATCAGTCAGTCAGTAGTCGTTCAGTCAGTTGATAAGTTAGCCATTCTTCAATTAATCAGCAGAAACCTAATTATCGTATGTTTAATGTAGTTTTGTGTTTTGGTAACTTTCCGTTTACATAACACAGGTGGCTTGGCGTCTAATTTTCTGGTCTGGTGTAATGTTGCCATAACGAAGTGTTTACCGGCTCAACTTCAGCCTTCTTGGCCATGTTCAAGGAACAGAGATATGAATGCATCCCTCACTGACGCCTTGATAATGTCTCGTCTATTGATAGAACAAGTCTCTAATCTCCTCCAAAATATGGTAATTTTACTTTTCCTTAAGTATATCTTCTGATACTGTCCGAACACATCATGTCTGAATTGATTTCAAAGAAAACGCTCATTGCATAGATGTAACATTCATTTTTTATGGTGTTTTTGCTTTTAATATCAGTCTCGACGCTGGCCGACGGATCCTTTTCAGGAATCCAACGTTGATTTTTATGTACCTCCTCGGAGATCCAACAAAACCACGATCAGGGTAATATAAGCTAGCTGGTATCATTACAAACGAATCTTTTCATTTTTCCTCAGAAAAGGTATTTAGAACTTCGCAATGAAGGCATTCTTTGTTTATTTGTGCCTTTGAGCGGTACTTTTAATGCAAAACTCACTTGAGTACCCATCATCATCAAACCAACGAAGACCTTATAGGACGGTGTTGTCTCATGAAATCTAACCTTTCTAGACTGTCTGTGTTTCAGGCGGAAGAGCTTCTTGAGGGAAATATTGATATCTTCACAACCTTCATCTCACTGATTGCTAACTCCACACGTCAACTGAAACAATTTCAAGTTGCCAATGGTTCTTTAACAAACAAACTGGAGGATCTGAAAAGGGACGCAATGAAGCTGATAAGCTTCTTGAGAAGAAGCATGGCGCTCATAGTCAGTAGATATCATTACGTTTGCGACTAATATTTAATTTAAATTTAAAATACTTTACCTATAGTAAAACTTAGCCATTAGGACCTCTCAATCATTAACGATCACATCGTTAACAAATATTCCTTAAGAATCTCAGAGGCTGTCGTAGGGGTGACTATCTTTAAATGAATTTAAAAGTTGTTTGATATTCCATCAATTTAATGAAAATTTAATTGATTGAATGCCATAACGCTTAATTCATAATTCCCATCAAATAATTAATTTTAACGAAAGAGAATAACTGAATTAAAAATTGGAAGCTTGAAATGAACTGTAGTGACTTCTCCAAAACTATAAATGGCAGTTCACATAAACTATATTTACTGGCCGTAAAATAATGTACATTGTGACGTTTTCTTGGTTTGCCATAATGGTCGTGTTACGTTTAAGTTAACAAACTTGGACAAGGACAAATATACAGTTTATCAAATCTGTAAATACTGATGTGACAATGCTTTTTTTATCATTATTTTTCATAACGTCGCGAACAGAGGCACAGCAGTACCAGCAAGCCATCAAGTCAGTCTGTCCAAACCAAAGCCTTAAATACTGGGTCTGTCACCATTCAGCATGTCACTCTACAAACTAAGGTTATCCTGGATGACCTTAGATTAAATTTATTCACTCTGATCACTGACATTTGGAAAATAAAAGGACTTACTTGCAATTGAAGGAAACCCTTTGTGTAATCATTGAAATAGGCTTCATAAAACAGTACGATGAAGTTATTTAAGTTACTCTATTTAACGTTGTAATAATATAATATTTCACATCAGGTCAATGTTATGGCATTGATTTGGTTTAAAGTAGTGGTGTTGACGAAATGATTTTATTGTAGCAGTTTTTAGTTTTGTATTGATATTTCCTTTACTTTTGAATAAAATGCTAACAAGTTAAAACTTTGTTTAATTTCTGACTAAGAGATTATTTGTGACGGAAGGAGTTTGAGGAGAGGGAAGCACAATCCAAGTACACTCACAAAATAGGTCCGTGGAGCATACCTAGGATACATACCTAGCTCTACATACCGTGTCGCAAAGTTTTAAAATGCCCACGCTACCATTCGCTCTGACGAAGGGCTAACGCTCGAAACGTCAGCTTTGAAACACTTTACAGTGGCCAAATTACCCTGTTATACTCTCCTACCTACGCAGCACCACAGTTTCTTTAGAAACTTACCCCTTTATCGAGAAATTAGTCTAAAACATACATTTAGCTATAATTATAAAGTTTGATCTGCAAAAGAAAGAGAAGGTGAGTGTGGGGATCAAACAGGATGCCATACCGAGATTAACAAAACAAGAAAGATAAACCTAGTTTTGGCTTCACTTTCCCTAAAGGTCTCCAAAGCTCACTGGCAGAGCGTTTGAGCGCTGAATCCAAAGGTTTGAGAGTCGATTCCTAAAGGAGCCTCAGAATGTTTTCTTTCTTTCTCCAACGCTCGTGTTGAACTTGGTATGAGATTTTGAAAGTATCCTCTGTAGCTTATTTTTCTCTTAATTTTTCTCCCTCACTGGGGAATATGTTGTATATCGAACGGGTTGATGTGTTCATCGAGGAGAATATGTTTGACTACCGCTGGAATCTAAGCACATTATTCTTATCAAATGAACCGATAATTTGGAACATTACAAAGGATCGGTAAATAGCCGCAAAATAATTGAAGTATCTTTACCAAACAAATACGTCCAGTTCAATCCTTTCGTTAATTCAACTGTTTATGAATATAAAATTTACTACCTGCGCTGATGCAGTCAAGTGCAAGTGATGTTTTAAACAGGCAACAGGTCGATGAATTTTCAGGTTTGCCTCACCGTGACTGGTCGCATTTTATGTGCGCTTGTTGTATCACCTGGTCGCTAAGATAGAAACCAAACAACTAATCGGATAAAATCATCGCGAGTATCAAACTACTCTTGTAGAAAGGGAAAAGTCAGTGCCATAAAAATTCTAGCGTGCGTTGCGTTGAGTAGAATGACTGTCCAAACGATTGGAGTTGTATGGAAAATTGTCCTACAGCTCGCAGAGAACATTATAGACGTTATACGCAGATTTTACCTCCATATGATTTACCAAGAATGCCTGTAAATCATATCAAAGAGGCAAGTTATTCAACTTATTCGGCCGTTGGTTTCTCTAACTTGAAATAAAACAAACGCTGGTGAATCACTGAACGCGGGATAACAAGTACAGGATGTTAAAGTTGTTTTAAAATTAGTAGAATTGCTTCTTACCTCAAAGTTATCATGGACGTAAATTTAGCGATGACAAAAGCGATGGAAGAGGAATCTAGCCGGAAGATGCATCTTAGTTAGCCACTGGAAGCCTGTATCTTATCTCCTTTGCCTTTATACTATTTAATATTTCTTCTTGTTTAGTGTAAAGATAACTCTACTTCTCTCAAAATACGTGTAAGGTCTGCAGTCATGATTGTGCCACCAATGAATCAAGCCTGATAGGAAGAGTAATTAGTCTTTTGTTGAACTCACTGTAATCGGAAGAACCCCGCCTGAAATGCCAACAGCGGACAGACTAAGACTGATTTACCAGCTGGAGATGTATTTTGAGACACAACTTCATCAATAGTTAATGAATTATTAAAAGAAATTTGAAGAGTCAAAAAGATTGACCTGATGTTAAGAACAAGAATACAGACTCTACGAATGTGAACAGTGAGGGTGTTGGAACCCGTATGTATTCTATGAAATTCACTTTGATGGCTTCTTGATACATGCTGAACATAAATTATAAATAAATGAAACGTTTGAGAGGTTTGATGAAAATTGAAAATGCTGGAATGAGAAATTGAAGGGACTCCATTCACGGTTTGGCCACCTGCTCTTATGACTGAAACCGAATAAACTCAAATTAGATTTACTCACCGGATGGTTGGGCTACGTTTACGTAGCAAAAACGTTGTCTACTAAGATGGGGAAGAAAATGTCTAAATTAGCCTCTGAGCTGACAAAGCAGGAACCTTTAGATAAGTATATAAGGATGAACACTTGGACGATCCAGCATTTTCAACTCAAAGTTAAGTGCAAAACAGTCTTCAAGTCACAAAGAGAAGAACAACAGTATCATGATGATAGGTAAGTGGAACATCATCTGCTCCATCATTTGTCGAAAGTGTCGTGAAAGGGACTATTCAGTGAAAGACGTTTTCCATCCAATGCATTTGAAACTTTTTTTCTGTATTGAATTGTAAGCAATAAGGAATGAGAATTAATTTTCTTTTAATTTTGTCCACAAGAATTTCAAGAGTGCTGATTGTACTTTTTGTCCAGGGCAAACCTCTGATTTTTTTTTCTTTTTTCATGTTTATATACTAAATGATCAATGCATTATACTCTAGGAACACGAGAATTTTTTCCTTTTTATGGAATCCTTCTGCTTTTGCTGTTATCACACAAAATTCAAGGCGAGGACGCCTGTAGTTCGGCATCATGCCATCTCCATCAGTCAATCGATCGACTGTCCCGTTCGGCGTATTCTCTCACTAACTTGACTTCTCATGCTGCTAGCTTTATGGTAAGTTGTACGATACTTTTTCATTCTTTAGGCAATTGCAGGATAAATTTGTATTTGTGACATTTATGAACCTGGAGTTTTTGAAACCAAGTCAACGGAAGTTTTAACATTTTTCTCTTTTTTTTTTGAGACTATAGTATCAAACCTAAGCCTTAGTGTAACGCTCTTCTTCAATCTGCACTTTCTATAGTGATAATTCTGATATTTTAAGTCAACTAGGTACCATGTTGTGGCTTAACGTGGCCTATCGTGTTTGAAAATACCCTGTTTGTGAGCAACTCAACAACCCGAAAATTTAAAATTAATTTTCATTAGCTTTACATTTTCACCCTAAAAAGCTCGACATTTTCATTCATCTTGTTTTCCCTTTCGTAAACTTCCATTTAGTGAATTTCAGTCCCTCAAACAGTACAAACTAAATAGACCTATATCCTTTTGTTTTGATGTAGGTTTTCCTAGGATCTCAAATTCTCAAGGAACTGAAAACTTTTTAAAAATTTAAACCTATCATTTACCTTTTTGTTGCAGAAATCTGATTATAACATTTCGGATTACTGTAACCCAGCATGTACTTCCCTGGCTGCTACAATAATGGCAGATATGAACCTCACTACATCCAACTTTGCTAATGAGTCGGTAAGCCGCTATATCCTAAGTTAATGAAGATATTATTGTTTTGCAATGCCCTCATTTCACAGATTGTGCTTCGTCGTACATTCCTTTAAACGTAAAATTTGAGGGTTTCTTTTTAATATTACTCGGTACTTAGTATTACGATACACTCAGGTATTTTGAAACATTTTACAACAGTTCTCCTTATTTCGCCACACGATCTCCTAAGAGGTGTAAGTTCTCTAAGATTAAGCAGGTTACTTAATTTTTTTCGTTTGTATCTTTTTAGAGAAGTAACATATTGGAATTTTACCGAAGAGTTGTGATTGGCTATGGATACCAGCTCACGCATTCCATAGTTGAATTATTACGAGTTCAGAAAGCATCGACTGCTCCAACATATTTGACGAAGTTGAAAAAAGAACTGAAACTCATCAAACCCTTGATTACAAGAGCAGTCAATCTCGTAAGTTGTTAATAATTTTTCTCCTTACATTTCATACTGTATCTCAGTTACTTTATCTCTCCAAAAACTGCATAGTATAGACAAGTTATGAAAAGATAACTTAAGGTGTATCCTTTAAGAAACATATGATATATCTTTTTGTTTTCTTCATCGGCTCTTGCAGTTCACGAGACAAAGTGGATTACATCTCATTCCATTTTATTATTTTGTCTCTTTTCCAGGATCGGCAACTCAAGGGCCTTCCTACACTTGGCACCACAACTGCCATCCCATCCAATCGCAATTCAAGGCCTCAGTCTCAGTCCCTCAGCTCTGTCGCATGCCATCTCAAGGAATGTGTTTTAAGTGACCTCGAAATATGGTCGAATGAAATGTTCATAGATTTTAAGAAATTAAAAGATAGTTCATAAGATGAGAATTGCTGCCCGGAAAACTTCATCGTTTTACGAAAAGTTAAATTCAGGTTATTAATTTTCATTGCGCTCTGTGAGCTTGAAATTAATTCATAGCAGCTATGTATTTACTCAATTACTATAGTTTTTAAAATTATGACAATTAAGCTATGGCACAAGGAGAGGATTTATTTATTTATTCAACAAACGTTGATACTAATACAGTGAAAATGCAAATGTACCACCCATTCCATGTAACTTATGGGAATAAAAAGAATGTCTACAGCATTATACTGTTATCTGAGGTTTACTATTCACAATAAAATTTGAAAATGCTCTTGAAGTCAATCTATGCAAGGTGGTCACACCATGCCTTGTGACTTAAGTGACACTCGTCGGATTCTTCTTGGTGCATTAGGGATGTCCACCTCCCACAAACTGCAAATGGAAGCAACTAAGAGATAATTTTATGGTCTCTTGAAACAAATGACTAACCGCAGTAGAGCCGTAAAGTGCGATGATAAGTTAAGGTTGAGGTTGCCACGATTTTTTGGCTTTCTAAAGTATAATTTCGGTCATTCGGCCACACCTGATCCACGGAATAGCAAATCCTCGCAGCCATACTAACTACGTTGAGTATGAACATATACGCAGCTGAAAATCACGATGCAAGCCTAAACATTATACTCAACCGGTTGGAAAGCACTTTCTTACTTATGCGTTCAACTCTTATCAAGGTTATCGTATAAATTCACTCCAACATCCAATTTTTATAATTGTTTTCAAATATTTCGATGGAAAAAGTACTCAGTCAAAGAGGATGTATTTTTAGAATAGTGGACGATGCTGGAACCCCTTTTTGAAGTTTAATAAAGGTGATAGAGATTTAATCACAAAAGCGGTGTTATTCACCTACTGTTGTGAATTAGTCTTGCACAATGCTTTTGGGATTTTAATGCGATACTGCCCACAGCAGGAACCTTGTCAATTGTTATAGAACTCTTTGAGAACCCGGGGTTGTTATTGGAACTGACAGTTGCCATAGTAGTGCATCATGATAATTATGTTAAAATCTACTTGTGTGTACCTGCTCTTGGGGTCATCAATTATTTATTCATTTCTTAAAGAGAATGCAGCCAGGATGAAATAAAGCAAGGAAACATTAATAGGACCTGAAAGATAGTTATTAGCCACGCATCCATCTCAACATCATGGGACGGAATGGGCGGCGCTGAGAGTTCAAACAAAACAATGTTTCAAGGTAGGTTTTACAAGATTCCTTGAAGTGCAAATCAATTGCCGCGAGCAAAGTTTGTCCACTCTACCATGGCTGCCGAGCGATTTTCAAAGATCTCGTATGTATGTTTACAGTCACGACACACGATATTACACTTAAATTTGCTCTGCTTCGATCTTTGAAAAACGACATTTCGTGGACAGAAAATGTAAAAAGAATAGCCGGCCTTCGTTCATATTTAAAATGGATGCACTTAAATATAATTTGTTTTGACATAATCACTCTGAGGCTTAAATTCAATGGTAGCATATTTTGAATGTATGATTCTTGACAGTTGTCTAATTGTCGAGTGAGTGCCCTGAGAAGGGCGCCTGAAGAAGTTCGATGGTGTCATGTGTTTTCTCCTTTGTGTCTTCGTATCTGCTTGGCATCTTCTTTCGAAACTGAAGGGCTTTTACCTCTGATAGCAAAAAGTTCATTTTTAATTTATTTTGCAACTTCAGTGTCATATTTAAAGATCCTCGTATTGAAGAAGTGAGAAAAGGAAAGCGATGCTGAATATTGATTCACCCGTATGCAAATACAAACCTCGTAAACGAACATCGTCCAATTGAAGTGATGTGATTATCATACAAGATTTCTTTCATAACTTCTCATTTATAATTGGTTTTATAAAATTCCGTGAGGCTGAGTTGAGCTGAGTTGTTTACAACTTGAGACACCTCTTCAATTAGATAGTCAGCGCTTGAGGTTGAAATTTGAAATTGCTGTAAAAGCTACGTCTGTCTTGCTGACTAACGGTATTTCTTAAATTTTTTTGACATCAACGCTTTTAGGTTAGAGACTATCAGAAATTTCGTTTTAGTCAGATACTGAACGAGTGAAATAGTCTTCAACTGATAAACGATTAACAAACCTAATGTTATTCGAGAAATCTTGATAGACTCTGTGATTCACTAATTTTGGAAAACATCGTGGGTGACAAGGTGAACACAGCTACCTTCATCCAGCTGAGTTCTGAAAGAAACTTTGATGTGGCATCAGTGAATGGAAAAAAAAAGATGAAGATAAGATAAAGAAGTATATTTTTCTTGTATTTTATACAATACTATTCAAACAGCATTGACATATGGCAGTACCTATTGTCTATTCAAAGCGTCATGAACGCGAACAGCTTCAGAAGCATCCAGAAATTGCCCTGCGGCGGTGCATTTAAAAATTAGTGAAAAACTTCCTTTGCCATTCGAGCGAGTACGCGCCACCAAGTTCTGAAGGAACCCAAGGACAAGAGCAACTCGTGGCCGACAAATTTCTATCGTCGCTTGAAAAATGGTAAAAATGAACAACAATTTAACGATAACGGCTCTTCATTTGCTCGGATAATTTTCCGCGGTCATTATTTGTCTCGCCGGAGAAGGGAAGAATTTTTTTCCAGAGCTGGGAGTGAAGAGAACACATCGATGAGTTTTCACGGAAGGTCAAGCTATCTCAGTACTCTCTGAAAACTCTATCTGGGTGAGTGCAAATCACTCATGATCGTATCGTAACAAGCTCTCTGTCTCTATTGCCCGTTAAGCTACCTTGATCTATAATCGTGAAGTAAGGCATAGCTATCGACAAGCCATTCGAGGAAATTGATTTTTCAGGCTGTTGAACCGTGCACTTTTCAAATTACACGTCTGAGAACGTTACTAAATTCCGGATTTCACTCCTCCAGAATACTAGTTCGAGAAAACTAATAATCCGCCTCTGGACTTCGTATTACCTTGCGTGGCTTACAGTGTAAATGGGGCGATTCAAAACTTGTATATTTAAAAGAAATTCTAGTCAATTGCAAGCAACCGATAGTAGACTACGTGTGCACGTGTCACTTCTCGCCTCAATTTTTTTTGCGTCCTCTCTTTAGTTTCCAAACATAGTTCGTCACCTCACTTAGAGAAAGATCAAATGCTGGAGGGAAAGAGTCCTGAGTCAAGCTGCAAAAATAATTTAGGCGACGAGGAATGCGAATGTCCCCATGATGAACGTCTGTCCAAGTTTGCGCACTTCAAGCAAGTCGTCAACGGTGAGTAGAAAGGCAGCTCAAGCTGGTTTGACAATCACGAATGCAATAATAGACTACGGGTATAGGTGGACTAAAGGCAAAGAAAGAAGAGGGAACGAATGGCGAAAGAGGTCTGGGGGTGATGAAACCTACAGTCATTTACAGCGGTCTTTTCCAAAACAGAAAAGTGTCATGCGCACAAGTTCTTGTTTCTTCACCTGCTGATTTCGTTACGTTCTGCGAGATATTCTGCGGGATTTTACCTTCTACGGATTTTTAAGTAATGGGTCAGGACTTAGGAAAAACAAGCAGACTCTTAAGTAAGCATTTCTCACACTGTTTTGCAAATTTCTGGGATTGCCGTGGCCGATCTGCTGACTTTTCGTCTTGTTTCAGGCATTCGGCGAAAAGGTGGAAAGAGAGGATTGGACACGAAATCGGATCTTGGGTCGTCTACAGGTAAGAAGTTGAGCTTGTTTTCCCGTAAATAACCGATGAAAGTCCCAAGGTTTGTCAAGGGCTGTGATTTATACGCTTACTAAATTAAATGCAATATAACTGGGGTGCATCTGTGGGAATTTGACCAATAATCAAATTTTTTTTTGCAAAGCAAGTTTATACATTTGTCTAGTAAGTTAGTTCATGTACATAGTGTTTGATAATTTAATTTATCTTCTTTACATTTACACGTTGGGGAGACATGTTGTATCGTAAATTTACTTTAGTCTTATGTTCTACAGTAGCTCTTTCTTTTTGCGATTCAAAATGTATTCGATTCATCTTTGTTTTGTTTATAGTTACATGTTCAGGAGACATTTTGTATGGAACATATATGTTATACATGCACCAGTATTCTCTCTCCAACTATATTTAACGTTAACCTACTGAAAGTCAAACATATCATGTTTGTGTTCAGTTCTGACTGCAGATTTACACACACTGTTCAAGACTTCTGAGAAAGATTTCCGTATAACCTCGCGCCGTACTAAAACAAAGCTGTCGTTCCAAAAGCAACCAATTGTTTTCTTTATCCAAGAACTGCATGTATAATGAGTATGAGGCTGTGTGGAAATATTGTTGACGTCTATACTATATGTGGTGGTGAAAATTTTCACTTTGTTTAAAAATTATTTAAGCTGCTCGATTGTGATTTTCCTTTGCTGTAGACCTATTGATGTAACCTTTGACAATGGAAAACATTCTATTGGTTTGGGAATTTTACAGACCAAGTACAATTTAAAAAAATAATTGATAACCTTTTGTGATAACAATTGCTTCATATGCCCTATATGTTGTGGTAGATGATAATTTTATGTCGGGTGCTTGTTGTTTACATGCATTTTTTGCAACAAATTATCTGGCTTGCCAGTACTGTCTGATATTCTGAACTAGATCTTAATATGCAGTCATTTGGCAGCAAGATAAGCCATGTTTTGAGAGCACAATATTCATTATAGTATTTTTTTATCTGCCCATTGTAATCCTAGACAATGATTATATCCCACAAAGATGAAATGGAAGATGGTTTTTTTTTCCTGCTATCATACATGTGGGAACCACTTTTCATACAATGCATTTCTGGCAAATCACATGTCAAATGGTGAAAATATCTTTGCTCAACATCCAGTCTTTCATTCCATTTCTGTGCTTTAGTAACAAAGTCTGTTTTGTATGCTCTTTGAAGCTTTCTTAGCTGTCTTGGGCAGGTTTGATATGTTAACATGAATGACTGAGAGAGTCTGGCAGAAACAATTTACTTGTGATAATGGCCTTACTTAGTCTTACTCATATCACCCTCTTCCTGCAACAGGGTAGTGAATATTTCCTACATGTGTGTTTGAACATCAATAAATTGCTTACACTCCTGTGTAAAATGGTGTTTATTTATTGATATTATGGGTAGTTTTAAATGTAATTGGCTAACTATCTTTATCTTCAGATCAAAATACATTCACTCATGTTCAATAGAGTGGAAAGTCAGTTCCTTGTTTTAATTTCATTGTCTTCATTTTCATATGAATACCAGGAACAGGTACATAAAATCCTGTTTTTATTTCAAAGCAAAACTTTCCTTTCTCTCTGGTCAAACCCTGAAATCCTACCACCAATACTTTCAATCTTATAATAATTCAAAACATTGTCCTCTTCCTCAGCAGGTTTGAATAATCACGATTCCCCCTTGTGTTGAATTATTAATGAACTTCTATTGTGCATGTACACATTATGAATCTGCATTAGTTCTGTGATGAAATGAAGAGTTGTCTCTGATGTATAATGTGATCATATCTGTAATCAAATCTGTATAGTTTTAATTTAATCTTGATTATATTCAGTACAAGGACTCGGGGAAATTTTTGGTTTTCATATACATTACTTTATACATAGCAACATAACATATGTCAGAGCATGTTAGAAGGCAAATGTGTTGACATTTTAAAGTTGCATTTTAGGCTTATTTGATTCAAACCACATGTTGTCACTGGCTGCTGCCTTATTTGAAAATCACTTGTGGTTGGATTATTCACTAGGATGAGTGCATTTACATGTGTTCTATATTTTATTCTATTCCTAAGATTAGAATTCAACAACACAGAGGACTCTAAAAATTACTAATCAATGTAATCTTTGAGCAGGTTTACATCCCTAAAACGAAATAATGTTCATTTATACATGTGCAAGGCTATTGGTCTAAATTTTCGCTTGTTATGTAGGTAATTAAATATGAAAACATGATTTTTTTATAATTCAGTACACTATTTTCCCTTTGCTGTTTTGCCTCTTTGTTTGCAATCTTCCATTAGAAACATACAGTCATTCCTTAAAATTTATTTAGTATATGTACAACCATCAGATGACTTTTGATGGTTTGTCTTTTTTTTTTTTTTTTTTGTCTAAATGTTGATCCAGCTTCCTCAAACTAAAAGTGGCTTTAAGATTTTATTACAGACAGGAACATAACAATAGTATTAATTATTGATAGAAATGTGTAACTATGTACTTATGCATGCGCATATTTATGTACATGCAGTAATTGCTAACTGAAAACAAATACTACTCACAAAGTATTTTATATGATATTTTACATTTTATATTTATTTACTCATACATTTAGATTTATGTGTCCATGTAGATGGATATGATACAAATGCATTTTAGAGACATCCATGTCTTGGCCAGTGAAATCATGATGGGGAATGGCTTCAGCAATAGTTAAAGTACAGCATTGAAGATATATGATACTTGTTTTAATACTTGTTATGACCACATTTATCTGGACCAGTTGCTGGCTTATTCTTGTCCCTTCTAATGTTGGTCTTTGCTAGACTGTTTACAAACTCTGTCTTCATTTTCTTTCATATAGACCATGAAAGTAGAGATGCCAGTTTACATTTTGGAGTACGAGTGGAGGGAATTGAAGAGCTGATGGCAAATACAAAATTCACCAGACAGGAATTACAAAGGATGTACAGAGGGTTTAAAAATGTTAGTGGCTTTACATGAACATGCATATGGCTGTTAATTTGATTGTAATGTGAATACCTGATTCATTGGCTTACTTAGATGTCCTCTCCTATACTCTGCGTGGAAGTATATGAACTGATGGATTACTGTTTTCAATTACTGTACTCTGATTTGTTTCTAAGCACCAAGCTAATAAGGCTCAAGAAGAAGGGGGAAGCATTACCTTTTATAGTTGAAAACCCTGTTCATTTTATCTGTTCCTTCTGCATTGTGCATGTTTACAACAGAGCAGAGATAAGTGTAGTCATAAGTAGCATTTTTTAGACCATTGAGTATTTTGAAACATTGTAAGTGTAATTGATTTTCACTCATTTTTCAGGAATGTCCCAATGGCACAGTTGACAGAGATACATTTAAGAAAATTTATGCCCAGTTTTTCCCATATGGAGGTATAGTAGTTTATATAAATAACCATTAAGTAATTAATCATTCGAGAAGAAAATTGGTTTTATAAATCCCTATGGACATTTAGTAGACCTTTGAGGACTAATTTCTTTCTTTTTTTTTTATGTTCCACCCAGAGATCTTTACTATCTGTCTGTGTTTAAAACTAGAATGCAATTGGAGAAAGATAAAAAGGAGAATAGTTTTATTAGTGTAACTGATTACTGTATGTGGATAGGGTGAATCAGATTACATGATTGTATATTGAACAGTTATAATCTTCCAGTTACAGGTTTTTGATTTTATGGTTGATGATAATATCTGTATCCACAGCTTACAGTAAATAGAAATGTATTGTGGAGTGTTGGCCATAATATTTTAAGGACCATTTTACTTTTAACAAATGAATGCGATTCACTGGTGTGTAACTGTACAGATTGATCTGCTTCATTTACCTGCTGTCAGAAAAGCAATTGCAAAGAGATCTTTTTATCACTGGGGTTGTATTGATTTTAATAAATTTTCTTGATAATGATATATTCAATAAGCATTTATTTTTAGTATAAAATTTTAATATTATGTATAAGTTGACATTAATTTTTTGAAACTTTTGTATAGAATTGATTTTATGAAACTTCCATGTAACTTAAATTTTATGCAGCTTTTATATGACAGTTATGTTACTGTGCTTCTGTTGATAGCAGGTTGCTTTCAAGCACCTGAAAAGACCACCTTGAACCTAAAAATTAGATTAAGGCGTCTGTCTGTCTATACTGCGATGTACAGAGTACAATTTCACATACAGTGTTCAACCTACTCCTAATTGTGAATACTGTTGTACACTTGGCTCAATATCTGTTTTCTCTTTAGATTCAAGTCTTTATGCAAACCATGTCTTCAATGTGTTTGACCATGATAGGGATGGAAAAGTCTCTTTTGAGGTAACTGGTTTTTGTACAGGCACCACATTTTTAAACATACACCTGTATATGTACATTTATCTATAAAGCAGGGAGGTAAATATCCAATGCTCTCATTGACATTACGGTGAATATTTTTATTCATATACATGTACATGTATGCCACACAGATACCAAAATCTAAGTTTATTCCTTTTAATATACTGAAAAATGATCAGAAATTAAACCCTTTATGTGTAATTTTGCCTCATTGTCTGAGCAGAGGTGTATAATACTTGCTAGTCACTTCCAAACTAGCAAATCAACACATGCAAAAAGTAATATTAACTTGTCTGGTGTATACTAAAAGCTGATATAAACTCATATTATTTTGCAATTTTATTGTCATGACAATAAACATACAGGAACTTTTCTAAAACAATAACATAAGTGAGGTGTTATACAGTGAGACAAGAGTATGACTATGCCACACTTAGTGAAACTCTTAGGTAAAAGGGGAATAGTTTAGTGATGTCAATAAAAATGAGATCAAGAGAAGTGAGACAAGTGTATGACTGTGCTGCACTCCTCTTGATCTCAATTTTATTGATTTTTATTTATTTTATTTCACTAAATTATTCCTCTTTCACTTAGGAGTTTCACTGTAAGTGGAAACCTTTTGTAAAATTAAGATTACAATTCAAGCAAATGCACAAAACACAGTTGAACTTTAAAATGTGTAAGATTGGTTGTTCCTGCTTGTTCAGTTTTAAGGTCACTAGTTACTGCATATTATTTTATTATTTTGAATTATAATATGTATTGTTTATTCATGAGTGTAGCGAACTTATTCTTATTATCATTTCAAGAAGTGGTAACTGTCAAATGCAGTAGTCACTGTGGTTATAGTCAGAAGATGCTTGATGAAAATTCTTATTTAACCCTTTAACCCCCAAGATCTCATTAATGGTTCTCCTTACTGTCTGCCATATAGTTCTTGTGATGTTAGTTTGGAGAATTTGGTGTTGGATCAACTAATAATCCCCTAATTAATATTTCTCATCATTCTCATCAGTTGTCTGCTTGATATTATATTGATATTGTAAGGAGAAATTCTGTCTTGGAGTGAAAGGGTTAAGACAGCTGTTGTTAATTTCCTAGGACTTTGTTACTGGCCTGTCATTGTCACTTTATGGCAGTAGGGAGGAAAAAATGAGATGGGCATTCCAGTTGTATGATCTCGATGGTGATGGGTTCATAACAAGAGAGGTTGGTTTAAACAAATGCATAAAATCTTTTATTTATTTAGTATACACATTTTTTAAAAACATACAAACATGTATGATCAAAATTCTACCACCAGTGTTGATTATGTTCATGCACATGCATTGTACTCAACTTAAATACTTTTAAAGTGGTAGAATCCAGAAAACGAGTCTTTTCTGACTATGCATGTAATTTTTGAGGTTTTTCCCAGTACTCACATTTTTTTTGTTTCCAATTCTTGCATAGAAGTCCATCTTCATGTCAATCTTATATTGCGAAGTTGTACTTATTTAAATTTGTACATCAAAGACACTTTTTTTTTTTAAGGATGTAAAACGTGTACATGTACATAAAAACATTTGAGAAGGGGAAAGGGAGGGCTTTTGCCTCACTGTCAGCAAAATGAATTTAATTTTTTTCATAAAGGTATAAACATTTGGTCTATAATGATTGTTATTATAGGAAATGGCTACTGTGGTTCATTCAGTGCACTGTATGATGGGTATTGACGCACTGCCTACAGGTGCTGAGATGGGTGTTGATGAACAAGTGGAGAGACTATTTATGGTGAGAAATGAGCATACATAGTTTTAGAAAGTTATACTGTGTGTATGTGTCATTTAAAACTGAAGGCTATGATTGGCATTATAAATGTCTGCTAGAATGGGGCCCTACCCATAACCTGAAACCTGAGGTACATGTTACCAATGATGATCATGAAGGTGTTATGCTACACCAACATCTGGGTGGGCATATAGGAGCTTACACTTTGCTTCATACAATCTTATTGAAAGTTATGTAAATTGAACAAAGAATTTGTATACAAATAAGGTCTAAACTCTAAATATGACTGAGCAATTGGGAGTAAATGAAGGGGTGGTCATTTTGATTAGAAACTAAATATATATACATTGTATTAAACAAAAATCAGTTAACTAAAGATTGTCAACTGGTCTGATTTCTTGATTCTGGGACCAAGTATTACCTAAACCCCGAATCCATTGTAGTTTGGTGTAATATTTAGTACTACATGTACTTTCTTAATATTTCCTCTAGCTAATGGACAAGAATCAAGATGGTGTTATATCAGAAGAGGAATTTTTACAAGGTTGTGAAAAGGTAAGGACATAAAGTTCACCAAATTACAGTGTATACCCTTTGAATGATAAAGACATGTCTATATGCATATATAATGCAGTATCTAGTGGGGAAGGAATTGTGTGGTCTTCATCAAAGTGAGGCTCCTTTCTTCCTATAACTTTTTATCCTAGAACTTATTTTACATGTACTTGTTGGTAACAGTACATTGTACAGCTGTGTATGATCAACCAGTCATATGGCACAAGATGTTGTCAGCTGTTTCTGATTCATAAACTTTGGTTTTATCAACTGAGTTGATAATGTAAGTTGGCCACTGTTAGGAGTTACTAAAGCTGACATTTCAAACATTGACCCTTCATTAGAAAGAAAGGTAAGGGCTAATGGTTGATACTTCAGCTTTAGAAGATCTTTACAATGGCCAATTTACACCATCAACTCAGTTGATAGAACCAAATTACAGCAACTTGTACTACCCCTCACTGAGGCAGCATATCAGTTTCTTTAGAAACTTATTACCCTTTGATTCATATACTTATGATTTTTGAAATTTATTACTAATAGTTAAAGTGGAATATATAAGTAGGATAATTTTTCCTTATCATCCAACTGCACAGAGGAGAGTACAAATAATGCACAAATCGAGTACAGATATCCTGCAATATTGTACAGTTGGTTATTTTGTACTGTAAAAACACTTGTCAACCTTTCAGCTACACATGCTAGGCTTCTTTAATCTGCCTGGCTTTTCTCATGTTTTAAGAAATGTGCATGAAATAAAGCAGTTGGATAATAAATAACTTATCAGACATTTTTGGTGTGAAGTAGGGCTGATTATTTTTGTTCTTTGTTAATATTTTGACCCACCCTATGGGCTCCTAAAAATATGGCACAATTTGTAAAAATACTCAGCAATATCTGTTAACAAACAATGTGTCTGAGTCAACATAATTAACCATTCTGTGCATTGGTCTCCCTATGGGACACTTTGAAAGCAACAGGCTGAAATCTTCCAAATTTATAAAACTCATCAGATGGATTTCATTTATTAATATTTGATAATTATTATTGATTGACTTTTCAGGATGAGTCAATAAAGCAAAGTCTGGCAATGTTTGACTCTGTTAGGTGAACAGAATACAAAGACAAGAAAATAACCGGCAATGACAAATTGATGTTAATTTATTATTAATTAATACTAATGCTTCATTAATTATAAAGAAAGTATTGTGCTATTTATGGCTATCAAAGGAATTGCTCAGGAATTTTGATATGAAATTGAAGATGTTCTAATCAATCACTAATAATTTAAGGTTGTCATTATAATAATGAGTGTTGTTGCTTGTTTTTCTTCCAAGCACCAGGAGTTATCAATATAAGATATTACAATATTCTTTTATGTAAATGAAACACTACACTGTTAAAAAGAGGGTATGTTAGATGAAAAGGTTAATGTAGCCAAACCCTTGGAGTTTAACTTTCCTCGGATTAATTGTAGAATTTTATGTGGTACCACAATCTGGTACCATGACAAAAATTTTTAAAACATGGCAAAGTGTTTTTAAAATCCAAATTAGTAATAAATTACGAGAAAGCAAAAGCTTTGGATCACTTAAGAAGGCAATTAGGACTTCATTTATCATGAACCATCATCATGAGGACATGATGTATAATTTAGATTCCACAGGGTATGCCAATTCAATAAGCTCTGTGAGTAGTGGCTCTCACAGGTGTAATATAACAGTAGTCAATTGATCTACTGTGGTGGGACCCATCACTTTTTTAATGATGAAGAACAAATTTTCTTGTTAGTTGATATAGAAACTCAGATAGCTATAATCAAATTTATTTATTATGGTTATAATCCATATTTAATGTCAAGTCTTATGAACCGATTTAGATATACAGCAACATTATTCTGAGGTGAGGTATTGCAACTCAGTAAGGATGCTAGCATTTTGAATTGTATTATTTACCTAATATTAAATGTTTTACGAGGCAGTGTGCCTATTTATGCAGTATCTATATTTAGTATTGCAAATATTATTATGTACATGCTGATGTTACTGATAAACGTGGATTAAACGATCTTCCACACAGCATTAATTTCCAATTGTTCATGGCTAGTTGTTTTTGTCAATGGTGCATTCTGGGTACAGTACAAAAAAGGCTCTGGCAGATCCTTTTTGTACAGTAAGCCAAAAGTTGTTCCTGTACAATCCAGTGTTTAAGCTCAATGAGATGTGATACCTGAGCTCTCTTAAGCAGTGTTTTCGATTTGTTCGAAAAAACTTTACCCTTTACACCCTAACATCAGTATGCATATTCTCTATACTGTTCTCCATACATTTCCAAAGAGGCTGACAAGGAGAATTTGTTTCACAATCAAGAGCTTCTTTGGTTGGTGATCATCTCGTCTATCCTCACGACTTTTATGATTGATTCAGGGGTGATATAGTAAGGAGAAATTAGATGCTAGTCACTCCAAGGGGCTAACGGGTAAAGAAAAGTGCGCCAGAATCATACGCAAGGTTGAATGTAAACAGGTGACAGAAAGTTAACATAAAATGATTGAACATAGAACTGACCAGAGGTTTACTTCTTTGGAGGAAAAAACTCCAGTGTAGCCTACTTTGCAAAACTTTATTAGAGAATATCGTTGGTTTTTGCAGTAGTTTACAACGTCACTGGGTTAACTCGATCACTGAACACATATCTTCTCTAAACAAGAATAGAAACCTAAGAGTTCTAAGAATCTCAAGGAAACTTATTCATTTACATTTACAGAGGCTACAGTATGAAATGTTTCACGATTTTTTACTTTTTTGCCTCTGCAAACCTACCTACATCTTGAACGAGACCACAAACTATTTGCGGAGTAGGATAGAAAAACCGAAAAGAGGCAATATTTAACTAAATGAGAAAAGCCATGACTGAGGATAAGGAAGATTTATACGGATAGCTAATAGTGACCATTGTGAATAGAACAAACTCTTCAAATTACACCAACCGTGATGTAAATTCTATTTTCAGTAAAGAAGCTGCTTTTCATTTAATTTAGGTAAGGAAGGATTACAGCAGCAACCGAAACTACGTCAAATTATCAATGAAAACAGCCAATGATCTGCGTTTTTGACTCCCTTTTGGATTTTTAACTACTTTTAAGATAATGTGGGAGTAAGTTATTGTTTGCCTTAACAGTTTTCAATTTTTTGGGAATTCCTTTTATGAAGTTCACAATATCAAGGATCTCTTGGTAAAATACACAGAAGTCACATCACTTTTGTGTTGAATTATATAATAACCTTCAAACGAATATAGGAAATGTTGATATCTGTTTTGTTTTGTTATTGTATTGTTATACATGAAGGAATACTTGAATTATATGTTAATTTGACGAAGACTTTGAGTGGAAATGACCTGTCATTTTCCTGAAGGCTCTGTTATCCTTTTGTTATTAAAAGTACGACGGAAAGGTGGTGCAAAAAGGGTCGAACCAAAGAGATAGAGGATTGTCTTTCAACACATTCTCAAAAACGAGGGCAAACGAGGAACAACAAAACTCACGTGATGTGCTTTCAAAATGAGTGAAAAATGGAGAAAGAGCTGTACTTCTCCTGGATTTTTTTTGCCATATACACTTAATTATTTTAATCATTTCTACATTTTCATTCATTTCAATTTTCGTGAACCTTTGGAGAGAGGTAACTAATGATGATAAATTGAAATTTTACATTGCAACATGAATATGCAATACAACTTGCATTAGCATTTGATGTCAAAAAGATCTCAGTGCTTACACGGTTAATTCCTATCATGTCTGCATTATCGCGTAAGATAAAGCGCTAAGTAAGCGGGTTCATATTATCAAACTGATCACCTGCTCAAGTCATCAAGGTAAATGTTACTTTCGACACGTTCGGAACCTAACAACAAAAGATTAACACCGGACAAGCTATTAAAGCTTCAGGGCAATTTGCATAGGGATTAGGTTCCATTGTCAAAGGCACTAATAGCATCGCTGTCTCCCACTGACATTTTAGCGAACCGTCACGAATCTAATCGTGCTGCCCTCTACTCACTTAGTGAAACAAATCGCAAGGATTCTATCCAACAAGACACAAAACTTTTCTCTTGCACGATGTTTTTCCCCTTCATTTGATTCAAAAGGCCTTAGGGAATGAGTAATTCATACGACATCCCGCCTCGCATGACAAGAAAACAAACATGAAAACTCGTTTTCTTGTTTCCAATTGGTGAGGAGAACATTTCCATGCGCGTTTATTCAAACAGGCCAACTTTCTCGCAGGGCTGTATTTGTTCTTAATGACGCAGGAGCTCTTATATCCGTTTCTTAATATTTCCCAACTGGACCTCAGAATTTACACTTTGAATCTAGAAAAAAGGAGAAAAAAATCACACACCCGGAAGGTAATTAAACAAGAACAAGAAGCTTAGGAGTGAATCTTTTTTACTGTCCTTGTTATTAAAAAAAAATTACAAATGATATTCATATGAAGTGATGTAGAGTCGTGTTTGAAGGCAGTTCAAATAGAATCTGCAAATAAACTGTACATTGGGAACTTCTGATTTGCAGTTTCTCGCGCTTGAAATATTTGAATAACTGCTCCTTGTTACGATGCTGTAAATGCCGGATCAATGTGAAATGCTTTTCGGCTTTAATAGATGTTATTAGTCGAGCCGGTTAAAAACGTGCAGAGATTATTCATGCCCCTAGGCAATAGTTTTGTTTAATCATTTTTCACGTCACTCATACTCATCGTCGATTTTCTTGAAGCATATTTTGAAACTCTTGGTTTGGCTTGTGTGAAATAGTGCTCATCTATGTTGGAGGCACGCTACGAATCGCCATCGCTGTCTCAAGTTCCCTGAGTCGACGTGCCGTAAGAGCCGTTTTACCTTGTGGCTAGCGCAACCTAAAACAAGAAACGACGTAACAGGATAAAATATACTTGGCATACAATGAAGCTTTTTTTGTTTGTCTTCTGTATTCTGGTAACCACTTCGAGCAAAGGACATTCAGCTGGAGTTAACCATGTTCAACACTGCGAGAATCCGAGAAGGATCTCCAACCTTGAGGCTGATTTGATTCTTGGTGGGTTGTTTCCTGTTCATGTTATGCAACCGACGGGTAAAGGGACACAACAAGAATACGATATCAATTTTTACGGAGTTAACTGGGTCGAAGCGATGTTGTTTACTATTAATGAAATCAACCACGATCCCCGCTTCTTCCCACTGAATTTTACTTTGGGCTATGACATTAAAGATTCATGCAACGATGTGCCTGTGGCATTGAAAGCTACCCTCGACTTTGTTCTCGATGCTGGAAATACGACTATCGACAAAATTATCTCCAAGAATTGCTCTACTCGGTATTGCAAATGTACTGACAAGCAGACACTTATATCTGCAGTAATTGGAGCGGCCTCATCGCCGATATCCACTAACGTAGCAAATCTTCTAGGAGTAGACAATACACCTCAAATTAGCTACTCCTCTACAAGCGTTCTTCTCAGTGATAAGACTGTGTATCATTCTTTCTTTAGGACGATACCATCCGATACGTATCAGGCTCAAGCCCTTGCTGATTTGCTGAAACAGTTTGGTTGGACGTATGTGTCTATCGTTGCATCTGATAACGCTTACGGGCGCGCAGGCCTAGACTCCTTGCGATCAGAACTTAAAAAGAAGAACATCTGCATCGCTCTGGAGGAAATTTTTAATCCCTCGCTGCCCCAAAATGAACTACGTCGCATTATCAAGTCTCTTAAGAGCACGCCACGCGTTAGAGTGATCATTTTATGGTGCGAAAGGCCGAATGCGCTAGGGTTCTTAAACGAAGCGTCCCGTAAAAGGTTGAAGGGCAAAACTTGGATTGGAACGGAAACCTGGGGAGACGCGTGGCAGCTGGAATCATTGGATGAAAACGTCGTAGGAGGGATGCTTGGAGTGTTGCCATTGCTGAAAAAGCATACTGCATATGAAGAACATCTGAAGAGTCTAAATCCAAACAATACCGATCATAATCCGTGGATGTGGGAATACTGGACAAAAAAATTTAACTGTAGCTGGGACACGGAAGGTTTAATGAACAGTACTTACAGCCGTGTCCATGTAAGAGAGAGAGAATTGTACGTTTACAAGACCAAGCATCCAAATATGACTATAATCTGTCCAAAATACCCACAGGCTGGTCCTCCAACTGGTGATCTACTGCCCCGGAATAAATACACAAATGTTATGGACGCTGTTTACGCAGTCGCTCATGCTGTGAAAAATATTTTGGATTGCAAGGATAGAGGCAGTTTTCTTTTGGATGCACGTGAAAAATGCCTTTCTGTTGATGAAATAACACCGAATGACATCCTGAAATTCCTAAAAAACGTGTCCTTCGAGGGAAGGTCTGGCTCACAAATCATGTTTGATGAAAAAGGGGATCTGCGTTACGGATCATACGCGATTAAAAACCTCCAACGGTCTGGCAATAACGAAATGAAATTTGTTGAGATAGGTAATTGGAGTGGAATTGATGGTAAACTTTCACTCAGTAACAACTCTAAGATCATGTGGAATGGTTGGAGTGCAGAACAACCAATCTCAACTTGTTCAGACGAGTGTCGTGCTGGGTTTTATCCGGTCAAAGAAAGTGTGAGATGCTGTTGGAAGTGCGTTGAATGCGAGACTGATTTTATAAAGCCTAAGGCTGGACAGGACAAATGTAGGAAATGCCCAAGTGGTTACGTCTCCAACGCGCCGAGGACCAAATGCGTGAAACTGAAATCTGACTTCCTCTCCTGGGGAGATGTTGAAGGGATTAGTGCAGCCATACTCGCTGTTATTGGAGTTTTTATATCTGTCAGTGTCTTGGCAGTTTTTTACAAGTATCGCAACACAGCTGTGGTAAAAGCATCCAATCGAGAGCTCTCGTTCGTGCACTTGGGATGCATCGTAGCTATTTTCGCTCTACCGTTGGTGACGATTGGTAAACCAACAGTAGCTGGCTGCACAGCATTTCCATTCTCCTTTGCAATTCCTTTGACCCTCTGTACTTCCATAATGCTGTTAAAGACAGACAGACTCCTGCGCATATTTCAAGCCAGGTCTCGGCTGACCGCTTCAAGCAGCTATCTCATCAGCAATAAGATGCAGGTGATCGTTGCGGTCATAATGACTTTAGTTCCAGTTATTCTGACAACGATTTGGCTGATTGTTGATCCACCCAATGTCATGATTAAGGTTGACAACTCAAGAGAAGGATGGCAAATAATTAGCTGCGACGAATCTCACGAACTCTTAAACATTGTTATTCTGGCGTACGTTTTGATTATTGCCCTGCTATGCACTTACTTTGCTTTTAAAGCCCGTAAGCTTCCTGAAAATTTCAACGAAGCAAAATTCATCTGTTTCGCCATGTTTGCGTTTTGTATTTTCTGGCTGAGTTTTTTCCCCGCCTATTATGACAGCACAGGCTCGACGCGCAATTTCGTGTTTTGTTTAGGAATTCTTAGTTCAGGCTATGCTGTTCTGTGCATCATGTACGTTCCAAAACTTCGCGTGATTCTCTTTCATCCTGAAAACAACACTACTGAGGCATTCAGGGCAACAACTATGGTGGCCATGAAGAAAGCAGGGGTAGTTGTTTCTTCCAATAGTGGGACGCCTCCCCGAATAACACCACTTCCTTCCCCTGTACCTTCAAGGCGTAATTCTCTCGACTTGGTTGTTACAAATGAAGGAAGAACTTCTGCAGTGAGCATTGGTCGGACGATTTTACCATCATTGACTCAGTAAGGTCACAGTTAGTTTTTAATGAACAATGCTCATTGTTCCTTCCCCTCTACCCTCAAGGCGTAATTTTCCCGAACCGGTTGTGACGAATGAAGGGATGACTTCTGCAGTGAGCGTTGGTCGTACGATTTTACAATCATTGCCTCAGTTAGGTCAAAATTAGTGTTTATATTTAACAATGCTCATTCTCTTGTTAAACTTACGACAGTACATTGGGTGGACTATTGCCATAACAATCTTGATTTCATGGCTTGACAAGAATGAACATAATTTGATTACTGGGAGTGAAATCCATAAAGAGAGCAATAAATCTTCGGCTGGCTTTGATTTTTAAGGCTCTAAATCTCTTCTCCTTATGTGATATCCTAACGACTCTGGTTTCGTAAGACGGAGTGAATAATTTTCATAATTGTTTGATGTTAGACATTTGCACTTGATTTAATAAGTAATACACAGACCTTTTACCCTAAGTAGTATATCTAATCAACTTAATTAATGTATCATGTCTTCAGGTGGAACTATCATAGATAATTTTAGAAAGAGAAAAAGGCTGTGCAGTGTAACATCTGATCGCTTTCTAATTATTTTTGGAATTAGTATTTAGTTAATAATTTTTGTTTTGTTGTCTCATACTTCCTCGTTAATATTTTTGATTAGTTTGTCATCGTTTTGTCATCAGTTACACCTTCACTTTCGTACGGTTGCATACCGAGCGTAGTTAAGCATTCCCCTTATGTAAAACCCGGTTTCCTTCTTAGCTTAGTTTAAGCTAGAGTTGCGCTAAGCGCAATTTTCTGTTATTAAAGCACTCTTTGACAGTTTATGTAGGCGATATCAATGTAAGAATTTTGCCGTTTGTTTGTATTTCGTTTATCCTAGTTAAATTATATTGTATTCACGGCTTCAGTTTTATGCAACCTGTAAGCTTGTTTATGTCAAATTAAAAATCAGGGTTTGAAAAGATATCTCTTTTGCAGTTTCTACCATCCTTTTCTTCTGTGCCGCTGTGGCGTGTTGAAAGTCTGCGAAATCTATCAGCTAAGAGATCTTTTTTAACCTTTGCTATGGATGGAACTTCTGAAAGAATTTAAGTCGCCGAGGTCCGCATTCTATAGAATGAATAAGATGCGGTTTGACGATTTGTCTCAAATTCAAAATTTACCGTTTGTGCATCAAAAAGGTAAATTTGGACTCTTTGCTCTATCCTCATGCGTAAATATCTCCACTGGCTTAAACATTTTAACTAATTAATAAACAATTAGACATCTTACCACAATAGACAATCTTTGTTTACCACAACCACCACAATCTTTGTCTACCACAATAGACAATCTTTGTTTTTTTTTTCCGAGAAAAGAGGCGGATGTTGGTTATGAAGTTCTACGAATTGTCGTAAAGGTGTTCATTGGCCCTTTACATTGTTTTGAATTTACAAAAGGTCAGTCAATTGATACGGTTCACTATTAAGAGAACTAACCAGCGAGCATCAACTGTGGCTTTCATCGGGTTTTTTTAGAGACATTTGGCGTGAGATTTGAAGGACAATTTGCAGTATACTTCCGCGAAAACAATATACCGGAAGCAACTGCATAATTTCTAAGAATTCTAAGTTTTCATTGCTGATTGGTCCATAAATAATCTTAATCGGTGGTTGTTTTAAAAAGGTTACTGAAAGATGTATTTCATGTTTTGCGTCACTCGAGGTACGAAACTCAATGAATTTTAGTGTGGTGCTTTCTGTCTGACGAATGAAGGACTTCCAATGTTTTTGAAGATGGAAAAACCGTTTGTAATTCATGAGGCCACAGACACTGTGATGTTATCATTTTCTCAGGTAAGAAACTTAAAACATCATCAGTTGCTGCAAGAGGCTGTCAGAGAACTATTACGCATGAATTATTATGCAATAATTTTAAGTAATGTGGAATACTAAATATTTCCTTTCACAAATAACATATTCAAGATCGTAAAATAAATCTCCTATAATTTTTTTCCACATCTGTGTTCCATAATTAGCATTTCAGCAGGTACCTTGACATAAACTAAGAAACAATTTTCTATAGAAAAATATTGAAAACATTTAGTTCCTTTGGCAAAGGTAACGTGCAAAGGGTTTTGTCCAGACATGCACTGAAAGGTCATTTCCTCCTTCAAAATTTCATGAACCAAATAATATTTTCAACATTTCATTTTGTACATTTAATTTATTAACGTAACTTTTTTGTTCCAATCCAAAAGCATTATTGTTAGTTAATCGTCTGAGATTGGATAATGATTCTGCAAGATTTTATGACGATACAGAAACAAACAGCCAAATAAGTTAATCCCAGGGGTGGCAAAATATTCTTATTCAGCAGTTCATTCATTTATTGTTTACAGCTGCGTTCTATTGTAAGTAGTGCTTCTAGTGAAGGATACATTCATTGTCCATTATTTTTAACTTACTGCCGTCATTTAAGAATTGTTATTTAGTGCTTTAATTTGCAAGGCGAGGCTTTCAGCGAGGAACTTGAACCTTACGTAAACTGGCACAGTTCATTTGAGACAATCTTTTGGGAAAGAGCTTAAAAAGTAATGAATGAAGACGTACCAGCCATTTCATGCCACTTCACGAAACTTGAAGAGTGTCATATCAAACGTGATTATCATTTCAAGTTACCTTCTGCATTTAAGTTATTCCAGAGTATTAAAAAAAACAAGTTTTTTTTTATTGCAAAATTAACATATTGGGAGATTACGTTTCGTTTGTCATCAGCAGTTTTCTTGAACCTGATATATCATTTCAGTTTCGATAGAAAACTGTTGGGAAATAGCTACTGGATGTAAAGGGGTATTGCCAATACAATGCAAGTTGTTACTGCCTGAAACATGTATATCTGTGTGTTTAATCCAGCTTGCCTCTTCCAAACCATATTAAAAAATATTTAATAATGAAGAAGAGCTACCAGCAGATTAAGGCAATTGAATAAGTTATTCGTTATGCATGTTACATAAGTGACACATGATTTACTGTAGAAGTCTGGAAATGATAGATCACTTGGTTTTTGAAAACCCTTTTAGAATGTTGTGAGCACTGTTATTTTGTTAGGGGTCTGATGTAAGTTACAGATTTGTTCCTTTGCATTCTGTATATGGCCAAGACTCGGCCATTACGTCACCTTTATAATTTGCTTCTACCTTTTTTGGACAACCAAAGCAATCAGAGCAAGGTCTACACTTAATCACCATCAGCCATAATGACACTGATCAAAGAAATATTAGCAAACCTGTATTGTTGTAGTCAGACATCCAATATGGGAGGGTCTGTATATCCAAGGGTGTTTATAAATGGTTGTAACTTACCTTTATGAAATAATTTTTATTGTCCAACTTGTGGTTCTTCTTGGCCTCTCCTGTCAAACAAAGCATACAGTGTTTGAAATGTCTAACATTTAGTGATGGATAAATGATAGTGTTTAAAGAGAACACCGAAGTCGTTATTATGTAAAAGAACACGAAATTCAAGACACTCCATACGATGATCCTAAAAGAACATTTCCCATCTTTCTTAGCTACCTCTGGCATACCTTTTTTGAGCAGAATTCATTGAGGTTATAACTGTTAATGCATTGGCTGGAAACACTGATCAGCTGCATTTGGGAACAGCTTCATTAAATAATATTTTTCTTGTTGTACATAGCTTGTTTACGTTACTTATTGCACTCACAATTATCTCTTTTATTTTAGCGCAGTTAGAAGGTTAGCGCTGGACGTTCAAACAGATATATACATTACACAAGTAATAGCCATCCTTCATAACCCACATTAGCGACGAGAAAATCTTCGAGTGGCTCTGGGAACGAAAACTTGCCGTCAGTCCCAGCCCTCACTCAGTCACTGACTGCGCAAGAGTGCAAGATGGCGATTTAGGTGGAACACGGTAACAAAATCTTATATATCTTTGTGTAATAAGATGTGTTCATAAATATTCTCAGGACGTTGTAATATGAATTACTATGGAAATTTTGGATACACACCTAAAGTGGGTTTAGATATTCTAGATAGCATAAATACATGCTGCTCGTGACTCTCTTCTGTCTTTATGTCTTGTTAATTTCCTCGAGAAAGTAACAAGAGTCATGCATTTATCTAGACCCGAAAACTTTTTAGAAACTGAAACGCGCAAAATACTTTCACAGCCTAGTTCCAATTTTCAGATTTGCTAAGGACTCACAGCGACACGTTATATTTAGGGCTTCAACGATGATTTTGTTGTTTGTTGAATCCCAGATCGATCTTTTTTGTCGAAACTGAATAAAGGGAATAAGCTTATCCTAGAAAAGTTCATAGAAGAACATAAGTTCGAAACACACAAAGATCCGACCACATTCAGTGTTATTCATCCTGATTAAAAAAGATGTGATCTAACACGAGCAAGCATGCGCAATGAATACAACTTGTTCATTAGGCCCGAAGAGGTATTTCAGCTTATAGCTGTTGATTTCTTTAAACAGGAAGCGCTCAAGATTACCGGCAAATTCACGCACAATGTTTATACCTATTGCCCTTTAAACGGAAACTATAATAACATTATTACCCAGGTAAGCAAAAACGTCTCAGGAAAGTATGTTCTCTTTAGGCGTCCGTATAATTTCGCTTGTTTATCAACCATGCATGTGTACATGGTTAGGGTAGTCCTTATATATATATTTGCATTTAACTCTACCACCTCATACATTTTGATACAAGCTGATATTATTTAGACGATTTTTACAAATATTTCTTTGGTTAGGTAGACGTTCGCCGACTTAGATCTCCGTCGTTAACTGTTGTTAGAATGTTGGCTTTAAAATGACGACATTCCGGCGCTTATGGCCTTTGCATGACATTCCAGAACAGCAAATAGCGGTAGCTTTATCTCTAATTTTTCTCAAGCAGCTAATTTCAAAGAATTGAAACAATGAGGTCATCAATGTTGAAGCTTTTCAAAAGACTCTAGCATGGTAATAGCACAAATGAAACGACAAATGACCGTAATGAATATTGCTTCAAGTTTTGCTTCTGCTGCACTGATTTTGAAATCCGAACACAGGTCACTAGCAGCAACACTGCTATTTGATAACATACACCAAGGTTGAAATGATGTTGAGCATATAGTGACGTCTTAATCATTTCGTAGAATTCTGCGAAAAGAGGCGGATGTAAAAATTGCTTTCTTCGAAAAGTTGTGTTTGTATAGTGTATTAGTTGTCATGCATACTCTCACTCGTGTCGGTCAGTTAGAGGGGAGGTTTCTGGCTATTGTTGCACGTAGATGTTTGTTGTCTTTCGCTGTCTTCTTAGGGCAATGTAAGGCTTGACCATGGATGCCACACACTCTTTGGTAAGTGAGTGTTTAGTCTGAAATAGTATTCGCGAATTGAAAAGCGTTTACCGGTATTAAGTTATACGCAATGAATTTATTTATAAGCAAACCTTACGAAGGATCTTCGCGGAAAAGCCATAAAAAATATATTATACTCGGTTTAAGACATTTGTATTCTTAGAATTACTACCGGAAATCAGTTATTGATTCCAAGAAAATCTCTTTTAAGACCGCAAACAGCCCTCGTTTCCCAAAGTTTATAAATTGAGACCCAAATGGAACATTCCCAGAAATGGCCCGGAAGTCAACATGCATATTCTGAGAATTCATTGTTCAGTTCTTGCAAAGCAGTAACAAGGCTTTCAATTATTGACTTTTGATTCCGTAAAGTATTGTTCTGATGCTTAACTTTTTTATCGACCGACTTCAATATGACGAAAAATATGTAACTGGAATATTTACTAATGTTTGAATTCAGAGCTTAACTCTCAATTTAAAATTCTCATTATCTTACCAGCGTGGCAACGAAAATTTCTGGTTATATATAAAGGAAAAAAGACATGTTTCGTCTCCTCTCACTGTAGTTAGTTGGTGTTTGGTGGCCGAATTTGCTGAAATAGTGCTTAACCTAGGGGTACTTATTAGATGCAGCAGTTTTATCATACAATGAGTTACACTATTCTTCCTTCTGCCAAAAAAAAAAACCAACAGTATTTCGAAGTAGTGTGTTTGCATCAAGATCTTGGAGTGTGTTTGCATCAACGAAGGGCTAACGCTCTTGGAAAATTTCTTTAGAAACTCTCTTGGAAAATCATCCTACCTACTATATTAGCATACCTCAACCTTTAGTCGATCAGGTCTGTGAGGTTTTGAAGTGAAATAAACTAATTTGAATAATAAATTCAGTAGTTGGCCAGTATTTCCATTGTTTAAATTTTGCACTGAGAATTGCATGCAGAGAGTTTTGTTGAGTTACAATGGACATGCTTTCTGATGCAGATGTACATTTGAAGCAAAAGTTTTACGTTTACCTTTGAGTTTGGGACATGTTAAAGAAGCTGAGTAGAGTCGACAATGTTGTTTCAATATTTCACTGTTTTATTACGGATAAGGTAAACTTAAAACGCACTGTATGTGGCACAGCATAATTTTACACTTATTTATTGTGTCCAGTTTTTCATCTACTGTATCAAAGACACAAAAAGGTGTGAATATGAAAGCTATCTTCGCAGTAATGAACATTACTGCTCAAATAGTGTTCATTACTGCGAAGATCGCTTTCATTTTCACGTCTTTTCCGCAGTTCACATGTATAATTTTCATATATTCACAGTCATTTATTTATCAATTCACGGGTTTATATGATACCAACGTAATGACCAGCTCCCAGTTGGCTCGTTAGCTCTGTCGGTAGAGCACTGCACCGGTATCACAAAGGTCATGGGTTCAAATCCTGTACAAGCCTGAATTTTTTTCAGGCCTTATTTTCACTACTGCTCAAGTAATGTTCATTACTGTGAAGATCGCTTTCATATTCATGTCTTTAACCGCAGTTCGCATATATGTTTTTTATTTATTCACAGTCACACAAAAAGGTGTTATCATACACGTTATAACCTTGTTTCTCTGCATATCGAGAGAATAAGAGGCTTGGACCCTGAGCAACCCCACAAAGGCCAAAATAATGTAATCCTGGACAAACTGGTCATGGTAATTTTTTTCATTTTTTCCCAGAAACCATATACAAAGTCCTGAAGTCTCTCGCTCACGTATGAGCACTCTTCAAAATGCCCAGAGTGGTAAAACCACAAATGGACAGTCCGAGAAGACAGGCCACGATAAAAAACCTATTATTCAGAGCCAGAGATTTAGTCACAAAAGAAAGCAGGTGGAGGACACAAGGAAAGGTGGGTCCACAGTAGCTGGCAAAAGTTTGATGGAGACCTCAAACGATCCTGGCTCAAAATATGCGCAAGATGATGGAACAGAGGGTAGAGGAGTACAAGGCACATCAGGGGCTGACAAGAGTTCAACGGTCTTGAACAATGAGCAGCAGAATACGACAGTAGAAGGAGGAGCACAAGACACGAATCGTAAAACGCCAAAGAGGCGGCGTTCAAGAACAAAACGCAAAAAAAACAAAAGTGCAGACAGCGGTGAAATTCCCGAGCTACAAAATAGACTGCCAGGTAAAGCGACAGAAAAAGACAGTGAAAGCCGAGATGGGATTCAAAAGCAAGAACATAGGCATTCGCCAAAGAAAGCTGGTAGTATTGATAGTGTTTCACAGTCAGCCACCGAGGGGCAGAAGAGCAGTAGTACAAAAGAAGTAACAAAGAAGCAAGACGCTGTCGAAAAGAACAAACAACCAAGCCAGAAAGTCAAGGAAAGAACAAACACGGTTGATTCCTCAGGGGGCAAAGATGTTACGATGGTTCAAAGTCATGTGCAAGCTGATGCGATGATAGCAGATAGCCGGAAGGAAGACGAATTTGGACAACGAGGGAGGACTACTCATCGGCAGAATAGACGTTCAGGGTCAAGAGGTGCTGTTGGGGAAAGCTCCCCCCTCCGTGCAGCTCAGGAAGGGCTAGAGAAAATAAAGGATCGAGAAAATGCCCAGAGCCGAAAAGAAAATCAAAGTCGAAACGAAACAAGCCAAACTGTAAGGATAGAGAGTAAAGAGAAACAACGACCAATTCCTAAAGAAAAGAGACTGGCAAACGAAAGACAGAGTGCAGTTCTCAATGGTAACAACAACCTGTCGGAAAACGAGGCACGTAGCAGAGAAACTGAAATTGTAAGTGATCACGTGAAAATCGTGTCCGCAACCAAGGAAGGAGTCCCTTCGAGCAGAGAAAAAAAAGCAAAACAAGCAATTAACAGATTGGAATCTCAAAGAAAGCCTCCATCAGTCAATGCTATGACAGGTTTCCTCACAAAAACTCCACAAGAAATCGTTAATTGGTTAATCCGAGATCATTCATCCTTGTTTAAAAAACAACTTAAAATCAAAGATGAAGCGGTTGCTGTCCTATTGAAACTTCTGGCCAAAGCTTGTGATTGCGAGTCTTCCAGTAACCTTAAGAAGCTTTTCAAAGTGTTATCATCATCCTGGCTGCTCAACCGAAGGGCTTTGGCCATTCTGAACCAGCTAACTGGGAAGGAATCGAAGACATCCCAAAACGAGCATTTTACTATGGAAACAATCAGGGAAATGGCTAAAGTGCAGACAGAGATCCTTAGAAGACACCCAACTAAAAAGTACCCTCTGATGGAGAAACTCCATGGGCTGGTAAATGCTCGCAAGTTACAAGATCAAGGCGTGATCTCTGTTGTGCAAGAGCAACAGAAACTGTTGAGTAAGGAGAAAGTTGAACAATGCAAAAAAGAGGCAGTGCAAAAGAGAAAAAGTGCCAAAGCTGGTAATGGTTTCTTTTTTTCCTTAAATTAAGCAATTGATTGTATTTTGGCCCCCAGGCTAACCATTTCCATTCCATTCTTGTGTCCTTTTATGACAAATGACTAAGTTAAAGAATAAAGGGTAAGAGCATTAACCCTTCGCTCTGAAGAAGGGCTAACGCACGAAACGTCAGCTTGACAACTCTTTACAGTTGCCAATTTACGTTATCAACTCAGTTGATAATACTAAATTACCCTGTTTTGACTAAGTTAAAAGCCTGTTCCGACACTGCATGGCAAAATGTGCAACAAGCTGCAGTTAATTCCTAAATCTTGTAATCGCTTTCTTAGTTTGCACAGAGTAATAACTATGTTTCGGTATCATTTTCAATCTACAGATGTTACCGATGTTAAGATGAAGCCGCCCGGGAAAAGCTCAGAACCTCCAAACTTGGAAGCAAAACAAACTGTTGCTACAACTATCGAAGGGAAGAAATTTCGCAAGAGTACCTTCCCTCTCGGTGCGGCCGAGCAAGGGCTGGAGCAAACAAAGGATGGAGAGTATGCGACAAGTCAACAAAAAGTTCAAAATGGAAATGAAATGAGTCAAACCGTTGGTCGAGAGAACAAATCAATAAAAGAAGGAATTCCTCATGAAACGAAAGAGGAAAATACAAGTCAAAATGGATTTATCAACGGCAATAGCAACTTTTCAGAGAACGGGGTACAAAGCGGGGAAATTGAAAGTGATCGGGTGAAAAACCGGTCCGAGAATAAGGCAGAAGTTCCTTCGAGCAACGGAAAAAAAGCAGAACAAGCAATTGACAGATTGGAATCTCAAAGAAAGCCTCCATCAGTCAAAGCTATGACAGATTTCCTCTTAAAAACTCCGCAAGAAATCGTGAAGTGGTTAATGCTGGATCATCCTTCCCTATTTAAAAGGCAACTTAAAATCAAAGATGAAGCGGTTGCTGTCCTACTGAAACTTCTGGCAAAAGCGTGTGATTCCGAGTCTTCCAGTAACCTTATAGCGCTTTTCAGAGTGTTATCAACATCCTGGCTGCTCAACCGAAGGGCTTTGGCCATTCTGAACCAGCTAACTGGGAAGGAATCGAAGACATCCCAAAATAAGCATTTTACTATGGAAACAATCAGGGAAATGGCTAAAGTGCAGACAGAGATCCTTAGAAGATACCCAAATAAAAAGTACCCGCTGATGGAGAAACTCCATAGGCTGGTAAATGCTCGCAAGTTACAAGATCAAGGCGTGATCTCTGTTGTGCAAGAGCAACAGAAACTGTTGAGTAAGGAGAAAGTTGCACAATGCAAAAAAGAGGCAGTGCAAAAGAGAAAAAGTGCCAAAGCTGGTAATGGTTTCCTTTTTTTCCTTAAATTAAGCAATTGATTGTTTTTTTGCCCCCAGCCTAACCATTTCCATTCCATTCCTGTGTCCATTTTTGAGCGTATCGACTATTGTCTATTAGACGCTGGCAAAAATTGCAACAAACTTCAATGAATCTTTACTAACTTGTATCGCTAAGGAGTATGATAAAACCCGCAAAACTACCACTTATTTTGCACAGCAGAGTAGCAAATATGTCTTGGTATCACCTTCAACTTACAGATATTACCGATGACAACTTGAAGCCTCCCGAGAATTTTCGCTTGCTGAGTGTTATTCCAACTCGTGAGGACATCATTTCAAACCAGGGCCAAGACCAAAAGCTGTTCCTCAGAAAGAACAAAGTTGAAGGGCACTACAACGACGAGGAACACTATTTAGACGTTCAGTTTCGGCTTCTACGTGAAGACTTCTTAAGACCTCTTCGCAAAGGGATCCAACACTTAATGGGCAAAGACGTCCCTGATGATACCGATGACGATAATGTAGGAGATGTCAGAGTCTACAAAGATGTGAGAATACTACGGCCTGCGTGTACTTCAAATGGAGTCGCATTCAAGATTAAGTTTGATGTTACAGGTTTCAGTCGAGTTCGATGGGAGAACAGTAAGAGACTGATATTTGGATCATTGTTGTGTCTATCGAAGGACAATTTTAAGAGCTTCGCTTTTGCCACCGTCGCAAATAGAGAACTAAGCGATATAAGAAAGGTAAGAGTACTAGTTACTGAAACAATAATCAATAATCATGGACTGCTTCCAAGTATTTTGTTTTAATGGACTCTAGCTATTTCTTTTCCCATACCCCAATATAATACGATCAGGAATTAAATGGATCACAGACGGACCATTTGCCCTTGCCTTTAAACCTTGTTCAGCTGTTTCGAGCGAGGAAACTCTGCACAGTGCACTAACCTCTTGGATTCAGTCACTATGTATCAGTGCAAACATCCAACTTACCTTTACTAGGAAAGAAAGAGAATTCAAGTTGTCCTTTATGTTGTCGTATTACAGCATGTGAATATAGAAGCTGTTATCCTGTCTGCGGGAATACAATTTTTTTAATCTTCTGAATTTTTTTTATTATAAAACTCAGGGCGAACTAGAAGTGCAGTTTGTCTCGCCTGGTGGTGAAGCCAGAATACACACGGGAGATTTATGCCAAATGGTCGAGTCCATAGCTTTCTTTGAGGCATATCGACCAGTGCTTGAAGGATTGAAGACGGTACCTTCCGGAGAATTTCCTTTTCAGGTAATAATCAATGTGTCAGTCTAGGAATGTTCGCCAACTTAAGACTGAGCATGTCGACATATAGTAGTGCTCGTAGTATTCAGGTCTCCTTCAATCCAACTTGTAAAACTTTTGCTCAATGGGTTGTGTCCTCCAGAGTAGTACAATAGGAAATTATTTATTCTGGCGTGAAGCCAAACTATATCATGGCGTGAAGCCAAATTATATAATAAGATCAAATGGAATTACTGGCGGATGACCGATGAAGCATGTACTGATCTTGAAGCCAAAGGAAAACACCTTTCCTCTAAGTAACCGTCAGTGGAATTCCTTAAAGCTTTTCCTTTGTTTCCAATGCCAACCGGCGTGGAATATTTATCAACATGGTGTTGACTTTTTTTCAGAGATACATTGTGAAGTGTCAGACAGATGTACAACCACCAGCCTACCTAAGGAAACCCGGTGGTCACCATGCAAAGTTCGATTTTTCTCCTCTTTTTTCAAACGAAGAATCACTTGATCACAAGTAAGTGAAGACTCGGCAGGTTCTCAGATGCTATGTTAATTCATCTGCTGACTAACTGACCACTTAAAACCAAATAAGTGCCCCTCTCATGTACCTTCGTTAATTTTATGTGTGATGTTCCAAAGATGTCTTCTGCCAGGAATTACGGATCATAGGAAAAAGGACTTGATTTTGATGGTTAACGGTTTAAGTTGTCCATTTTGATTGGTGGCGGTTAAATTTCCGCCTTTAATGGCCGACGGTTTGCCCCAATGATACCCTCTTACAGATGTGACTAATGAAGTATTAATAAATTGTAACGGTAACAGGGTTGTGATCAATCTGTTGAAATGTGTTCATAAGTTGTCATGAGGTAGTCTGCATTCATTTTCAGGTCGAGTCCCGCATGTGCGCCAAAGCGTGAGACTCCTGGTGGTGGTCTTAAAGTCTCAGGTAAAAGAGAAAAAAAAGTTACAGCAAAATCATGTTTTTATGCTCTCCTTTTTTTTTTAACTTTTAAAGAGGTTTAGTTGTGTTTCTGTCAATGAGGCACTTGTAAAGATAATTTCAAGGGTGATTTTAAAAAAGCTGTTTCGGAAAGACCTGATGCTAGTAGCATCAATGGATGATTTCAGTTCAACGGTTTTGTTTACATTATCTGTATGTTCAAAAGATACTACATAACTGGAACAAGAGCAAACATCATCTAGGGTGAAGTTGTTTTAATTTGAAGTATATACCCGGGGTGCCGGTGCGTACAGACAGAGAATTTTTTTCGATTAACCGTAGAAATAGCTCATATCAGACTTGAGTGTATGTGTGCACGTTTAGACCCACTTTGATATCATTTACTAATTTCTAGTCTCTTTTTGGGTATTAAAATTAGTCTCGCAGATATCATAGGAATCCCTCTCTTTATAGATAATATCATATTTATGAAGCTCTATGTCAAACCACACTTGTCAATCACGACAAGGTTGGCTACCGCAGACTCTCTCAATTCCAAGAAATATGTTTGTTACAGTAGTATGGTCAAATACAGGTTGCGTCAAATGTTGGCGCAGGCCAGCAGTTGACGCATAGCTGATTGTAACCCCTACTCTGAGTTCCTCTTTGGAATTACAATTTCTAGGTAACCATGCTGGACTATTGGTCTCAGTGTTGGACCCAGCCTCCTGGCCGGCAGCGGAGGATCTGAAGTTGGATGATTCACAATTTAACGCCTTACAGCTGGCGCTGACCAAAGAGTTTGCAGTAATCCAGGGACCGCCAGGCACCGGAAAAACCTACATTGGATTGATGGTATTTTCTCCTTTTTTTCAGGAGATTTTTTCTTAAGATCGAAATTAAAAATAGATAGTTGGCATTTACCTAATCTCATATCTCTCTCTAGCTGCTGGGGAGGCATGTCAAATTTTTTTATGAAGCTTTCCTAAATATGTACTTTCTAGAGTTAAGTGCTGTAATCGCTATTGACCAGAAGAAAACAAGAAGTTTTATCGATACCCTGCGCGCATAACGTCTAAAAGTACTTCTTTTAATAAGTGCTTTTCGTTGCTAAGGATATTGAACTCATTATTTTCTTTTTGTAAAATGTTTTACAGATAGCAAAGGTTCTTTTGCACAACACAAGCGTTTGGCACGGAAGAGAAGGAGGACCTATCCTTGTCGTCTGTTACACTAACCACGCCCTGGACCAATTCTTGGAAGGAATCCACGCCTTTCACCCGGAAGGAATTGTCCGTGTTGGAGGAAGAAGTAACAGCGAGACCATTCAAGAATGTAGTCTCGCAAAAATTAAACAAACAAGGAGGGAGGTAACTGAAAATCATATGTATAAAATCTTAAGCGAACAGACACTCCACTGGCAATTTAATGACGGAACAAATTCACTAGCAACGTTTTCTGGCACAGTGGAAGGTAGGCCTTGAGAGCTTTAAAACATTTAACAACTGTAAGTGATGAGAATTATGACCAAACACCGTCATATATTTAATAGAAACAGTTTCTTAAGATTCAGACACAAAGTTCACGGTTATGGCTTGTTGATCACCGAAGCGAGTGTAGAAACTACATAACTCAAATTCATATTTTAGAATGAAATGACTGAAACTGCTTTCAAAGCTTATGATACTAATAATTCTGTAAGTATATGGCATACCAAAGATACTAATTATTTGTGAAAGCATGGATGTATATATATGTTGATCTGTTAATTATTTAGGAGAATCTGACACCTGTTAAAATCAGAAAAACTTATGGTAAGATTCGAGGAGAAATGAAAAGTCTGTCAGCCATGATTGATGATCACGAGGAAATGTTGCACGAATTATTGAGGACTTTGCTTCACGAGGATGAGCTTGTGGATTACGGCATGGTCCAGAAGCACTACGATTCCTTGACGAGGGGATCACGAAATAATGGAGCAAAGAAAAGAGAATCAGTCATTCCTCAGTGGCTTGGGCTTCCCGTAGAGCCAGCGGACCCTTACCAGGAAGGTAGGATATTTTCGCAATATGGAAGGAGTAAAAATATCACGAGTTTTGATTTTTTTTTTGTTTCGGCAACTAAGTAGAGGGAATTTTTTTTTTTGTCTTGACACAAGTGTGGGGCAAACAAACAATTTTTTCATACATAGAAATATTTCTCAAGATGCACCTTTCGACAGATCTTTTTAAACAATCTAAATTGTAGGTGCAGAGCCACCTTAAGATATCTATGATTTCAGTCGAAGCAACCAGTTTTCGGTGGAAGTGACCGTCATTTCTTTTCGCTTTATTGGTTTTTAATCGACCACTTTACTTGATCCCACCTCACCAGCATTCATGACAATAAAATAGTGTATTCCGGGATACTTCTCTTGCATACTTTTTAACTGTGACATCATTTTATAATAACCTGTGAATTCTTTGCATCTGTTTCAGGTTTCTCTCAACCTCTTGCTATGTTTCCCTTTAATGCTGAGTGTGGAAGTCTGGAGTATTTCTCTCAAGAAAATATAGCTTATTTATCACCACGTGTTCGGTACGCCCCAGGTGTTGATGGGAGTCCAAGAGGCTCTATAGAACTAACTGGATCTGCTGACTCGTTCATAGAGATTCCAAATTGGTTGGGAGGGTTTGCAGACGCTGGGATTTCCATAACGTTGCTAGCATTTATCTACCCTTTGGGAGGATGCGGACCAGTTGTTAGCTATGAGGTTCACGGTTGTGGTGTTCAACTTTGGCATGGTGGTTTTGAGGGAGAAATGGGTGTATTGACAGCTTGCTTCACTCAAAGAGATCTTCTGCCTTCCGCGTCTTATCTAGGAGCAGCTGTTTTGCGCATGAATGAATGGAACTTCATCGGTGCCTCTTATGATCACGACTCTGGATTTGCTCGTTTGTGGCACGATGGAAATGAAGTAATGGCTGTATTTATTGGGGAGAATTCTTATTTGGCGACGCAGTTCCCCATAAGGATCGGTGCTCTCGCGAGCACCTGGGTGGGGTGTAGCTTCAAAGGGAGAATTTCGCATTTGCACATATACGCCGAGTCACTGACAGCCGAGAACATTCGAGCAGTCGGAGGCATGCCTTCACACGGTAAGTTTAATTAGTTTAAATCTCTCTAAAAGGAGATTAAAGTTTTAGCAGGAGTCAAAATAAGAGACTTTTTCCTCATGCTCCTCCTCACGCAGATTCAATCAATTCCAACCACTTTTCTTACAGAAAAATAGGCAAAGAAAAACTGCGTTACATTTAGATGCAATAGATGACGCCTACTATGTTGGATTTCATTCTTTTTCAGAGAGATTTCTGAAATGTGATTGGCTCAGACCAGAAGCATTTTAACCAAATTTTAAACACTTACATGTAAAAATCACAGTTTCCATGGTAACCAAATTATATTGAAAATATGTATAAAGAAAACGATTTGATTTGCAGTATAATTAAAAAAAGAATCATGATTTCTTCGGAGTATTTGGGATAAATGCCCGCTCATGATATTTCAACATTTCCCCAACATCACTTGCTTCCTCGCGGCTCGTAATATTTTGGTGAATTTTTAAATATCACGGGCAGTTTTTATCCCAATACCCCCTAGAAACCATGCTATTTCCTGCACTAATTTACTGTTTATCTTACTTCTGTGATAAATGATGAAACTCAATTTTTTAAACAGAGACTTACAGGTTCAGCGAAGAGAACGCAGGAGAGGCAGGAGGTAAAAACAACGAAGAACAAGGAGAATTTGACTACAAGGAGAGTTCAGCTGATTTTCGATTTGACGCTAATGTCTTGCAAGATCGAAGGATATTAGAAACGGATGAGGTTACCAGATTTGAGCGCGAGTCTTCCTCGTCTCATTTGAACACGAACGACACGAACGATGAGTGCGAGTTTCCAATGTGTACTCATGAAGGTGCATCAAGGGGCAACTGGCAATTCCAGAATTCAAAGCGAATCAAGCAAAAGATTAAACGAATTATTCAGAGAGAGCTTCAGCGAGAAGACGTTATGAGTGAAGAAGAAGCCTCTGAGGTAATTTCGCAAACCGAATTTGTTTGTCTATAACTTAACGAACGTATATCGAGAAATGATGAAGAAACCATTGAGGCACGTGGTTGATCCAAACCTCATCTCTTATGAGGGTAAATAGTGAAAATGTTCTTCTTGATGTCGATTGTTACGTTTTAGGTGGAGGATGTGTGGAATTTGTCTGAGAAAAACCGCTGGCGTCTATATCGCAGATGGATGTTCGATGCACGTGAGACTTGCGCCGAGCATATCTGTGATTTCCAAGAATTGTATGATGATCAAGTTCTTCAGTTAAAAGAAGTAAGGAAACAAGAGGAATGCGAGATCCTTAAAAAAGCTGATGTCATTGGAATGACCACGACAGGTAAGCGGCGACTTAACGAAAACCCGACAGTACTGAGTAGTCGTATAATAGAGGTTTCTTTCATTTTTATTTGTGCAAAGCAGTCGTCAAGATGTACTTAATTTGGCTAACCACGCGTCCTGTTAATTTCGTGGCCGACGAACTGTCGATATTTTCTGACTGAAGGAGTTCGACTATAGAAAGGATAACAAGACTATTGACATATAATTCTGCAAATACTGCTTGGTCCTTAATAGCTATTGCGTCAAAGAAAATGGTCTTTTTTGCCTTCCCAACAACAGCTCCGGGTTTCGGGTTGAATCACCTGGTACAAGGTATTCCTGTCACTCACACCAGGTTTAAGCGGATCGTTTTATCCCCATCTCTTTTGGTAAACGGTGTGTTTAAGCTTTGAAGAAAAGCCTGGTTTTAGTGAACGTACTTTGTCTCTCTCTTTGAAATTTGAGTTATAACAATTTAGCAACCTTGCAAAAAGACAGTGTTAGTGAAAAAATCATTATTTCATCAATGAGAACTTTAAATCCTGGTCTTAAATTTTTGTCTGTGATAGTGGAAGTAGCTTGGATCGTTTTATCTCCATCTCTTTTGGTAAACGGTGTGAGTAATTCATGTACACAGAATAATCTTCTTAGTTCTTCCCGCATTTTGGAAGAATAGTTAAAGTGTTTAGAGAATTTGAGAAGAAAACTCCAAAGATAATTACCACCAGCTAAATCGAAAACGAAGCTTTATGTTAAACTGATTCATTAATTGTTTAGAAATTAAACAAATGCTATGTCCTTAATGGTTTGTATCAAGGTGCTGCCCGGTATCACAGTTTGTTACAAGACATTCAACCGACAATTACTATCGTGGAAGAAGCCGCTGAAGTGCTAGAAGCGCACATTGTAACCTCTCTAACCAAAGGATGTAAGCATTTGATTCTGATTGGTGATCATCAGCAGCTCCGACCCAATCCCACAGTCTACGATCTCCAAATCAACTACGATTTAGACGTATCCTTGTTTGAGAGAATGGTAAAGAACGGAATGAAGTTCTCAAGGCTGAGCCTACAGCACCGAATGAGACCAGAGATCGCCAAGATGTTGGATCACATTTATGTAGAACCGAAACTGGAGAATCACGAGTCTGTTCTTAAATTTGAAAACGTAAAGGGCGTGGAAAGAAATTTGTTCTTTGTGGATCACAGAAACAAAGAGGTATTAGAAAGTGACTTGTTTTTTTGTCGTAAATTAGAAGAATCTTCTGCATATATTTTGTCCAAATAAGGGTGCATTATTATGGCATCATTTGAATTAAAAGAAAAAGAGAGCTTGATAGGGCGATGCAATCTAAAAGGCGCTCCTCGCCGCGTGTGCATGTTTTTTTACATGACACTTTGCATTATCCTGACTTCCCCTTTATGCTAGTTTTAATGTCTATTATACTCGGTCCTCAGTAGATCAGACCTTTCTGTTGAATTGTATATGCCATTTTTCGTTCTTTTGGATCATACCGATTGACTGTGTGAATCTTTTTATTTCTCCGTGCAGAATTTTATTCGTGAAGGAAAAAGCAAATCCAATGCCCACGAAGCAAAATTTTTGACAGCACTATGTCGTTACTTCATTCAACAAGGTTATCAGCCATCACAGATAACTATTCTCACAGCCTACAGTGGACAGCTCGTCGAATTCAGGAAAGAGATGATAGACGACAAAGAGTTTTTTGAAGGAGTTCGTGTTACAGCAGTGGATAATTTCCAAGGAGAAGAAAATGACATCATTCTTCTTTCGCTCGTCCGCAGTGAAAGGATTGGTTTCCTCAAAATTGCAAATCGTGTTTGTGTCGCTTTATCACGAGCTCGTAAAGGCTTCTACATCATTGGAAATTCGACACTTTTAGCAGAGGAAGACCCTAATCTTTGGGCAAAAATCATCGCAGATATGCAGGAGGATGGCAATCTAGGCAATGAATTGAAACTGGTTTGTCAGAACCATCCCCAGAATGTAATTCACGCTTCTTGTGCTGAGGATTTTGAAGACTCTCCCGAAGGAGGTTGCAAAGAAACGTGTATGATGACGCTGGAATGTGAACACGTCTGCGAGAGATTATGTCACCCGATTGATCTTGAGCACAAAGAGAAATTTGCTTGCGAGAAGCCTTGTACCAGAACCATTTGTGACCTTCAGCACATCTGCCCCAGGACATGTGCCGAAAAGTGTGGTCCTTGTATGGAGAGAGTGGTGAAGGTCATCCCGGGATGTGATCACGAGCAGCTTGTCCCTTGCTCCATCGATGCTACTGCCTTCAAGTGCCAGGTGAGGGTGTCAAAGGAAACCTCTCCCTGTGGCCATATCAATGAGGTGGAGTGTTTTGTGGCCCCCGCTGACATCACCTGCAAGGAGCCTTGTAGTAAATTAGAGTGTGGACATCCATGTCCCGGTAAGATAACAGGTCTAAGCTTTTCTTAGACATAATATTAGGATCTATCTTTTAGAAATAACGGGGGAGCAAATCCCTTCCAAGAGCTGCTGTCTGGAAATCAAAAGCAGACCGAAAGTGAATCTTTTAAGGGCAGCTGAAACATCTTTTGGGCATCGGCCGGAGTCATTTTCAGAGAGGATAAGTTTTATAGCTCCACGTAAACTCAAGTTTATCGTTTATTAAGTTCAGCAAGTAATGCACGGGTGGTAAGATCTGATGGTGCGTTACCTTAGCGTCCCTGTATGCATTCATTTTTTTCTCTAACGGGGCTAGGAGCGACAGAACGTTCAGCTAGAAAGGCCTCGGAAAATGTTATCTAGTCATAAAGAATGTTTGGAAGGTTTTTTCAAGTAACCAATTGTAATTAGCTGTTCAACTTTCACTCTAGAAAGAAAACAAATTAACTAGAAAACTCCTCTCCTCTGCGCACGTTGGCTGTGCTATTACCTACCTTCGTCACACATCAAAACGGTAAGGTATGTTGACGGGAAGCAACGATAGCGGCACCACTGTTGATGTTTGTTAATCCTTTATCTTAAAGTTTTTCTTTTAATGCTTTTCGTTTAGGTTACTGTGATCGATGTCAGGGAGGCCGTCTCCATTTGCCATGCCGGTCTCCATGCAGCCGAACACTTTTCTGCGGCCACACTTGTGTGGATAAATGTGTAAAGTCCTGTCCACCCTGCTCATCAAAATGTCGTAATCATTGCGATCACCAAATCTGCGAACGGAGTTGTGGTGATCCTTGTCAGCCATGCTTTGAGGAGTGCTTATGGCAGTGTCCACATCATAAATGTACTAAACGTTGCGGAGAGATTTGCGACCGACCGAGATGCGATGAGCCATGCTCTAGGCTGCTACCGTGTGGCCATGTGTGTGTCGGTGTTTGTGGCGATATTTGTCCCGAATTATGCCGAGTTTGCGATGCGGTTGAGTTCCGCGAGAGTGCGTCTGGAGCAATGTTCATTGAACTTGTTGACTGTGGTCACGTGGTTGAAGTTGGGCAACTGGACAAATGGATGGACGGAAGAGATAAAGCCGACGCACAGGCTGGAAAGGACGATGCCGAAATCAGATATAAAGTTTGCCCGGAGTGCAGAACTCCAATTCTGTACAGTCGTAGGTATGGAAAACTAGTCAAGGAAATTCGTGCCGATTTTGAAGCTATAAAGCGTCGAGTTCGTCTCGCTGATGTCACAAGCATTGACCAGATACAGAAGATTCGGCAAGAGGCTCAAGTGGTCAAAGAAATTCCGAAGAAATTGCTTGAGGACATCGCCAAATGTGGCACCGGTGGTCGTAGTGCTTGTGAAGAAGTCAACACTTATGAAAATCGAGTGACTTTCCTGAAATTTCTTGGAAGTTTAATCACAAAGCACAAGATCACAAAAGAATCCAACTGTGAGATATATGACAGAATAAATCTCCTGAAAGCACGGGTAATGATGAGGCGGGATTGCTTCAGTGAACAGGAACTCAATGAATTTCGGAATGAGTTGTTACGAACAAAGCTTCTGGTGTCTTTCAAAGGCTTGACGACTACTCTCGAAACTAACAAGTCAGTCCTCAGTCTCTGTTCTGGTGATGCCAAAACTGTAGAATCTATAAGAAGTGCTCTGGAATCCGGCAAAGTAATCGGTACGTATACGTAGTCACATAATTTATAGAAAGTTCAAAAACTCATTAATAATTCATAAGCCCATTAACCTATCAAATGGTAGATAATACATCACGTGCAGTGACTTTATATCGATAAACCTCATCCTTATTAGTATGCGGTGTTTTATCAGATATAAAGACACTGCACGTGACTTATGAATGTTTTTCTCGTATGCTAATTTGGATACGCTTGGATACTAATTTTATCTTCGAGTACGGTGTTAATAACTTCTTTCATGAGTGAGAGGAGTGATCGAGTGAGATGTACACGAGAAAATTAATTCGTGTCCGAAAGCAGGCATGTATTTTTCTGTTTAAAGTAGATTGGTCATTTGAAGCAAATACAATTTTGAAACTCCGCATGAAAGAGCAACGATTGCAGAGATCACCCGCACGTAATCTCAGCTCGAAGAAAGCTACTTCAACTTTCGGCATGAAATAGTGCAACAATTCCTCGTAATTTCCCCGCTAAAAAAGTTAAGTCAACCAGAAAGCGTTTCTTAGATGTAGTACACCTTTTCGAGAAAAGTAAGAACCGCCTTTTTGATTAATACGGTTATCCTGACAATATTAATAGCTTCACATGTGAAGATACTGATGGTATACGTCCACTACGCGTGGTGAAGACATTATGGTTTGGAAACTGGAGAAATTCCGTCATTTAATCGATATAAAAATGAAGATACAAGTTATGATAAGTTTTTCGATCATGGTTCGCCACCAAACGAATCCAGATTTACTGACGCCGTAGCGTCCCACCTAATTTTTTAGTCTTTTCCACAAAAACTCCTCTATTTGCCCTGTTTGTATATTCGAGTATTTATTTCACTTTGAATATCTAAATTTAGTATATACTAAAACAGTAAATAGCTTTGAAGGCACGCCCTGATTGGCTACCCAAACTCCAAATATCCGGTGCTATTCAACTCCGAGCGACTCGCGCGGGATTTGCCCTCGAAAATATTGTAATCGTTGCTGGAATAAATTAGATAAAATTGTTTTTATGTGCTACATTTTCTCACTGTTTTAGTGTATATAAAAACAACTGTTCACCTCAGGTCGGTGTCTAGCGATGGATATTTACCTCACTCCTTCGTGGTTCGGTAAATATCCACCACTAGCCACCTCAGTCCACTTCGGTTTATTGATGTCAAATATGATTTCTCTGCGCCTTCTCAAGTCATTCATTCCAGTCGGTGGGACTGTGGATAAGCATGTGATGAGAGGTTACCAACTCAGTTGCACAACCGAAATAGATTCAATGATGCTGTGTCTTTCATTTTATAGCTCGTAACAAAATAGAAGAGTTCTTGGATGATATCAATGGAATAGAGCAGAGGCATGGGCTCTCAAAGAAAGAGGAGGAAAATTTTTGCTTAGAAAAGTTGAGGGATGAGATTGTCAAGTCGAAGCACTTAACACAAGGACCCTGGTACAAATGCAAGAAAGGTTAGATACACCTTGTTAAGATTTCTTAAGGAGTTACTGCGGAGTAGAAGGGTGAATACTGCCAAGGAAAACTCAGTGAAAGCAATTGCTGTAAATACACGGATTGATTTTGTCGAGTCATTTATCATTACATTGAATTAATGCATTTATTATCCACATCATACACATCCATTCTTGTTCCCTTTAAGGTCATATTTACCCAGCTGCAGAATGCAGTGAAAACGAATTCTCGATTAAGTGTCCAGATTGTCTTGCAGCAGCAAGGACTACTGAATCACATACCAAGGTACTCATATCAAATATCTAGAGTGTTGCCAACTTGTCTCAGGTCTGAGAATGTACCTTCAGCGACAGGTAGAATTAAACCACAACAATAGAGTAGTAAAAAAATGGCGCTAAGGGAAAGAAAGCGTGCAACTTACCGCCACAAAGATACACTAAGCAGTATGGCTATCAAACGTGAGCAAGCCAGGCACTTGGTTCAAGAATTGAATATTTTTTAATAATTTGGCGTTTTATTTTTTATTGAGGAACATACGTTCTGGTTTTGTGGTATCCATTCACTTCAAAAACATCTGATACCAACATCAACTCTAATTGAGAGTGCTTTACTCATTTTTTCCACAGACCGTTCCTACTCCGGTGAAACTCAGCGAGTTCATGAATGCGACGTTTAAAAATGAGTTCGCGGTGAGCTCTAAAAGGCGGAGGAAAAAACGCCCATCCAAAACTTCCAAGGCCCACAAATGAGCTCTTGAATTTGAGAGATTTCTCAGACGTTCAATCATTTCAAACTGGGGATATTATTTTTATCGATTATCGTCTATCTTAACCGTTCCCTTCCTGATTTACAATTATATTCTTTTAGAAGTTCGACAAGCACTCTAATCAAAAAATGAACGTCACAAAAAGAATGATTTTATAGTCATAACCTACATGATTTACTGGTTACAAGAAACCAATCAACCGAAGAACTTAGTGTTAAATTGCTCCTTACCACACCAGTTGCGGGAGTTTGATTCTGCCGGCAACCAGTCTGAATATTGAGGGAAGATTACTGGCGAAGTAGTTCTCTCCAAGCTTTTCGATAAAAAATTAAGCGCCAATTTTAAATGACGGTTTTTTACTTCCTGTAGGGGAGGGGTAACGAGAATTTAAAGCCTTTGCATTTATCTTGAATACGGCTATTTTGAATTGTTATGACCTACTAAAATAAGAAGTGTTTGGGAACTACTAAAATTGGGGATGTTTTGACTAAGTGTTTGGAAATTGTTTCGGTCTGTTAGGTCATTTTGGAATCCTTATGCGAGTCTTATGAGCCTTGTTTTGTTATGAGCTGACCTCCTTTTATTTTTACCTCTTGAGTGATGTGTCCTTGACCGTTGTGATAGGACTTAATTCTCGCACGATTATCGCCATCGCTAGTCATGTTTGGGTTTGTCTTTGACCTTGCTTAGAATCTTCAATGGGAGGTTTTGTTTGGGTTTTGGTTCTCGAATATTGGTTGACGGATGTTAAGTACTTTGTTTTTCATTTCGAATGTCTTTTGAGGTTGTTTTGGTTAACCTTCTAAAAACATGTTTACTCTGCCGAGGTCAGTTGTCCTGTAAGCCCAAACATCCCTACCGATAAAGTATTTAAGAGCGTGTACTAAGAGCTGAAGTAATAGAAGTGAGACCGAGTCCCAGAGAGTGAAATAAAGGTCCTGAACAGACTCCTGGTGCCTCCTGTTTGCACGCGTGGTGTTTAAGTTAGTCTACGTCAACTGTCCAGCAGAATTAAAACGACCTTTTTTTTCGTACTTTTCCCACGATACTAAAACCTATGCTCTCCATTTTTCATGGTACCAAATTAACTTTGGTTCATTCAGATCTGTTGATCAGTCAGTCAAAATCGCCTGGTGAATGAAGTCGGTTTTAAAAAGCAAATCTAGAACTAATCATGACATGTTTACTGTACTGGTTGAACCCCCAGTTATTCACGCCTACGCTACGAAACAGATTTCGCCCCATAAACGATGAAAACATTTAATCAAGTGACTATCTATAAGAGCCTTATATCCTGATAAAGCCTTTATAGAAACAAAAATGGAACTTTGCCATTCCCTTTCCTTGCTTAACGCTTTTGAGGCAGCTCGCTTTTCAGTTTTCGTTGTCATCCTAGATGAATGGCAGCAGGTTGAGTTTTCTGTTTTGGCCCAGTAATCGATCTTCCTGGATTGAAAAGTCGATCCTGTATTAAGCGGTCACTCACAGGGAATGCCGGGCTACCGCTTAAAACAGGTTGACCACTTAATATTAGCTCCACAGAACAGAACTATTTCAAAAGTCGATAAAAATCCCCATTTCATGCCATAATTGACCACTTGATGTACATGTACTCGCTCAAAAATACTAGTAATTCCTAGTAATTGAAAGATTTTTCTTAGTTTTATTCTAGTGGTTCCTCAGGAGGAGAACAACATAAAAGGGCCGTTGGACTCATTTGAGGGTGACCGCGACCGCTTAAGAAAGTTTAACATTGCAGTAATTAAGGGTGGAAATTTGGGAACTTTGGAAACCTACCGCTTAATAAATGGTGACCGCTGAATACGGTGCCACTTAATACAGGTTCGACTGTATTTTCCAATTAATAAATAAGCGGAAAGCATCCTTCATTTCCTTTTTTCAGTCGTCCATCAACGATAAATCTTTCCACGCTTACTACAACTTTCCTCGTAATAGGAAAGTGTTTCTCGGTTATAACAGGTTTAACAGTAAAGGCAAAGCAAGCTTAAAAGGCAGAGAACGCCAGAAATCACAAAGTGCACACATAATGTGAGTAAGTTCTATCAATCATGCGTGTAAATGTTCATATTTCGAAATATTTATTGTTGTAAATCGACGATATTTCAGAAATTAATTGTTTTCATTTTCTCAAGACGTGAGCGTTGGAAAAAGCAAACGATTAATGAAAGCGTCACGCATTCCTTTGGGAAAAAATTCTTACGCGTGCTAGTTTCACTTAAATCCTAGCAAACTATAAATCAGAAGAAAGCTGAATAACTGTAGTTTATGATAAAAATATAATTTAAGCGAGTATTTCTTTTAGGAAGTGTCAGGAGCCGGTAAGGCGTGAAACGACCAAGGGTCCTTCTATTGAATTTATCGGGTATTGGACGCCGCAGCACAAGCAAATTGGCTGCACAGTCTATTCCCAAGGCATCAATCAACAAGAGTGTGTCAGGCTTCTTCTTTATTCTGATTGTTTGTTTAGATATCGGCATCTAGAGTTGGAGTAGCTAAAAATATATGAGGCGTGTTGCGTAAATGGACGCACGGGACAAATATTTCAGAATTAAAAATTTCCCGACACACTTTTGTTTGTCATTTTTCCTGGAATGTTTTGGCGAAATTTGACGAAAATCGGTGACATCTATATACCCTATAAATTCGCTCAAAGTAGATGTATTCCTCTCAAAATCAAGTGCAAGATTTTGGCTATCTTTAGAAGAAGGAACGGAGAATGGGAGAATGGAGAATGGGTATATACGTGGTACAACAAAGTCAACTTAAGGTAGAAGGGGTTAACGTGGAAGAATAAAGCTGACTAGGACATATCGTAAGTCTTACATGATTCTTATAGCATGAATATTGTCAGCCATTTTGTCGTCTATATGGCATTCAGCCATGGCGTATATACCGGAGAATGGGAAATGGGGAAATGGGGAAATGGGGAAATGGGGAAATGGGGAAATGGGGAAATGGGGAAATGGGGGAATGGGGGAATGGGGGAATGGGGGAATGGGGGAATGGGGGAATGGGGGAATGGGGGAATGGGGGAATGGGGGAAGGGGGGAATGGGGGAATGGGGGAATGGGGGAATGGGGGAATGGGGGAATGGGGGAATGGGGGACTGGGGGAATGGGGGAATGGGGGAATGGGGGAATGGGGGAATGGGGGAATGGGGGAATGGGGGAATGGGGGAATGGGGGAATGGGGGAATGGGGGAATGGGGGAATGGGGGAATGGGGGAATGGGGGAATGGGGGAATGGGGGAATGGGGGAATGGGGGAATGGGGGAATGGGGGAATGGGGGAATGGGGGAATGGGGGAATGGGGGAATGGGGGAATGGGGGAATGGGGGAATGGGGGAATGGGGGAATGGGGGAATGGGGGAATGGGGGAATGGGGGAATGGGGGAATGGGGGAATGGGGGAATGGGGGAATGGGGGAATGGGGGAATGGGGGAATGGAGGAATGGGGGAATGGGGGAATGGGGGAATGGGGGAATGGGGGAATGGGGGAATGGGGGAATGGGGGAATGGGGGAATGGGGGAATGGGGGAATGGGGGAATGGGGGAATGGGGGAATGGGGGAATGGGGGAATGGGGGAATGGGGAATCTTTAAAATAGGGAATCTTTAAAATGGGGAATCTTTAAAACGGGGAATCTTTAAAACGGGGAATCTTTAAAAGCGGAAATGGTTAATATGGACTAATATCGACTTCACAAAACGGAAAACCCTGTAGATCAGACTATTTAATCATAATTGCTAACCGGGCCGATGACTGACTTATCATTCAGTTAAAATCAAAAAAATAAATGCCGAGTACCACCGCCATCGGTCAAAAACAATTGTTACGTCGAGCAAACTTCAACCTTGAGGCGGGATTTCTACTGTTGCGTAGTTTTACTGGTGTCAACGAACCTGAATTTTAAAAGGATTCACTGGCGTAAAATAGAAAAAAAAAAAAGAACAACTTTTCCACAGACCGCTCATACATTTGGTCGATTTCATTCCACGCTTTAAAAGATTCTCCGTTTAAAGATTCTCGCTCTTAAAGATTCCCCGTTTTGAAGATTCCCCGTTTTAAAGATTCCCCGTTTTAAAGATTCCCCGTTTTAAAGATTCCTCATTTTAAAGATTCCCCATTTTAAAGATTCCCCATTTTAAAGATTCCCCATTTTAAAGATTCCCCATTTTAAAGATTCTACATTTTAAAGATTCCCCATTTTAAAGATTCCCCATATCCCATTCCTCATTCTCGATCGTTCAGTGGAGCGTTGAGAAGGACGACACAGTAATGGGCAAAGTTGCCAAAGGCAAAGGAAAACTCCCGCGGCAAAAATGGAAAAAACGGAAAATGTGCTGAGAAGCAAGACAGCGAATCGACAGTCAGCTTTCAAAATTACGGTTTGAGGCGGTTGTTTATGATTTTGTTTCATGGCTGGTACTTGAATAAATGACAGGAAACCTTGTTTTTTAACTTAATGTATGACAAATTTTGGTTTGACGCCGACTTCTGTGCTAGTCGCTTTCACAGATAATTTTTTCCTTTTCCTTGACAGAATGGTTCTCTTTCTTTCTCGTTTGGGCCTGTTCTTTTTTTTCTTTTTTTTTTTTTCTTTTTTCACCAAGGACTTTCTTCCGCTTTTATTTTTTCTAGGAGCAAATATTTTTTCCGAAGCAAAGAACTTCTACGTGTGAATTTCATCATTGATGTAAACAAAATATGTAAATAACGAAAACGAGGCTTAAGAGGAGCGGTTCCCGCGAAAATTCCCCCAGGGGATTCGCCCAGGTACGAGATATCACACCTTCCTGATTTGTTAATTTTTATTTGAAAATATGTTTTTTAAAATAACTCGGGTGCTTTTAAATTTTTCAGAAAATTTTTGTTTGTGGAAACGCTAGGTAAATTGTTTGAATTCAGTTAATCTAATAAAAGACAAACGATTTTTTCTGCCTCTGAAGGTGGGAAGTAACCTTAAGTTACGAGAGGAACTGTTGAGAATTTTAACACGGAATAGTATTTTAGTTTTTTGCGATTTCTGCTGTTTTAAACTTGCTTTTCCTTTTTTACAGGAATAACAGTGATGGTAAAGCAAGCTTGAAACGGCCGAGAACGCCAGAAACCACAACGGACGCACGAGGAGTGAGTAAGTTTTATTGATCTTACGGGTAAAATGTTCATATTTCGAAATATTTATCGTTGCAAATCGACCATACCATTCCCTATAACCAAAGGTGGCCCAACCTCCAGCTGTGAGATGACCATCTTGCGAAGTAAAGAGTGCATAAGAGAAGTAAACTGGATAACTCGCTAAGGTGGGTTCTCTAGCGAGGGGTTCTTAGCGGTAAGATAACAAGCGATGCACTGTGGAATGTGAGGTATTTTTATTGAGAATTTGACTTATTTTTTTTTTCATTCCTAAGAGCGGTCGTAAATATTCCCAAACAAACTCTCATAATTTCGCCTTGACTCTAATTTCGAAAAATGATCAGCTCACAGCTGGAGCTTGGGCTGCCTGTGTCATAACGGTTCCCCTCATGACTTAAACAACGCGTCACACAACGCGTGACGCTTTCATAACTTACTCATTTGCTTTTTCTCGAGACGTGAGCTTGGAATATACCTGTGGTTGGCCGAACCTGGCCACGCCTCAGCCTCGTCTCTATGAGAAACATGAAGTATCAAGGGCGCGACTAAACTACATGAGATAAGATTGCTTTCATGGCGTCCGTCTATTCGTTGAACGGTGACTGTCTTCGTCCGATTTTGTGTTTTCTAGATGACCCTGCATCATTTTACAATTTCGCATTGACATGTAAACGATTTCTTAAAGTTACAAAAAGTACAGAGAACGCTGTACATCCAAATATTTTAAGAACGAAAGCCGAATGTTACCTCAAGCATTATTTGGTCGAGTTACAAGTAGCTTACCCTAACCGTGTCTCATGGGCACCCCAGGACCCCCCCCCCTCACATATTTTTATGGATGGCCTCAATTCCAGTTTCCCTGTAAGAGCTTTGCCCCTACATGTAACATGGAAAAATTAGAAACTTGATATTATATCTCACTGTTGATTATTTCTGAATCAGTTGTAACAGAAGTAAAGTAACAGAACCATGAAAAATGACTAAGTATGAGACATGAGAGAATTTTAGGGGAGATCCAAAGCAATTCCTTGGGAGAGCTACATCTTTTTAGTAAGAAGTCATCATTTTTGTAATCTTAGATACAATGTTGTTGGCAGTTTGCCTATTTCCAGTTTCAAATAAGAATAAGAAATTAAAGCTGAGTGTATGTGGCTCTAGATCTGTGTTGGAAATGTGAAAGTGTGAAATCAGTAATGTTACATACCTGTATATATGATGTTGAAATGAGTGACAATGATATATAATCATTTATTTTATTTATTTAATTTTTTTAATACCATGACCCACTGATTTTACGTTGATACTTTGCACACTCCTATCTCTTGCCAAGTGGAAGCTGAGCTGACTTCAAAGTGATTAAGAAGAACAATTTCAATTAAGTTTGCCCTCTGACTTATGCCATCAGTTATGAAAACAAACCTTAGGTGTAAGTGAGTTAGTGAACCACAGACAAGGGATGACAAATGCTCAAAATAGTTGTGATTGCTGCAATGATGTTCTTTCAACTTGACTTTCTCTTTGAAATAGATGTAACATTACTGGCTTAATTAAAAAATAACAGAATTTTCAATGATGATTCTATTTTTACCATGCCACAGTCTGCTTTTTTTTTCTTTTAAATGTCTCATTTACGTGAGCATGTCCAAAGTTTAGTCTACTGCTCATCATGATTTATTTAATAAAAAATTGTGGAATTCATATGTGAAGTCTCTGAAACTTCTTACCTTTACAGTGTTTATAATTTTTTACACATCAGCTCTGCCCAATACATAACTAGTTCGGTAATGACTCAATTACTCACTTACTTAAAACTAGGATAACTGAGTAAGGTCTTATCACTGGAATTCCTTAAATTATATCTTGACTCGGGCTTGCGTGTAATTAAAAAACTTAGATAAGACAGTGCTAAACCCTTAAAAATCTTGAAAACAATTAATACGATCTTAAGTTCAATTCTTAACTTCATAGGTAACCAGTGCAACTCCATCAATAAAGGAGTAATGTGACAATATTTACTTTCATTGCATATTAATCTAGCACACGTGTTGAACACGTTGCAATTTGTTAATTTGATATTCCGGAGCACCATACAATAAACTATTGCAATAGTCAATTCTGCTTGAGATAAAGGCATGGACCAGAGTTTTTATTTTCTCTTTAGACAGGTACTTTCTTATCCTCCTCAGATTGTATAAGTAGTAAGAGTTTTGCATCGAACCATGAGCCCAAGTTCCTCGCAGATGACACGGGAGTAATTGCTGAGTTGCCAACACGGAGACTGGAAATAGTTACTTTAGCGAGTTGCTGGGATGCACCAATGATCAGAAACTCAGTCTTGTCGTCGTCCAGTTTCAATTTATCATTCAACATCCAATTACGAATATCATCAATACAGCTTTCCATTCTAGCCAAAGCAACCTCTTGGTTAACACTAGCATTGGGGCAGAAGGACAAATAAAGTTGGCTGTCATCTGCATAACAATGAATGCCAGGCGGATGTTTGTCCACGACTTGAAAAATCTTGCTCGCAAACAATAATGGGCCAAGGCACGAGCTCTGAGGGACACCACAAGTCAGTTCCAAGTGCATAGATATAATAGAAATTATAAGTGTGACGGAAACATTGTTCTCATAACACACCAAAAGACATCGGCCGATACAAAATTCTAAGGTACGTGTTAAGTATATTGAAAAAGCGAGTAAACAAAAGAAAAGAAACAATAAAAGCAAATGTACTTTTATTTGCTCTACAAAAGAGAAACGGAAAACAGCAACGGAAGCAAAGTATATTCCCCATGCTTACATTGAGCGTTTTTTTTTTTTTTTTTTTAATGAAGGTCACTTTATATTTGTCCGATTTCAGGAAGATTTCATGAAATACTGTTGAGTATACTTCCGACACAATTTCTGTATTAATCAACACACTGATTCATCACACGCACATAATAAAAACACTCAACAAAAGCCACTTCCGCTGGGCCAACTCTCGTCAGTTTATTTAATAGTTCCTCTCGCTTCGAAATGTCTTTCATCTCACTCTTAATAAATTCAGGTTAAAGCGTCTTTTTTTCAAAAAAATTGCAAAACGTGTAATCCTTAACTACAGGTTAAAGTGAAGGCAACTTTTAAATTTTTGCAGTTTTTGCGCGCAACACTTTTAAAGGCTCTCATAGGAGCTTTCTTTTTTAGCAAACTACTAACTTACAATTGCCAACGGTCCAATGAAATAACCACGAAAGGCAAAGTAATTCATGCAATAAACGGATAGAATAACAGCCATCTAACAGCTTCAACGGTGGTATTGGTGTAAATTTCTTGTATTTGACACGGTAATTGAATGAAGGAAGTCTGTTTATTTTCTTAATTACCCTAGCCTTGTTTTAAGTGATACTTGACGCAAAAGACTGAATTTTGTGAGGGGATCTGTCAGTTTGGTTACGTCAAGGCTTTTCACAACACATACGTCGATGCGATTAGCGAAGAAAAATTCAATTTGTACCATCCCATCAAAAAACAATTGAACATTGCCAACTTGCTACGGTGTCCAAATTGAACATCTGCGAGACTGCAAATCGTTCTTTCACTCGACAGCTTCGAGCTCTGAGCATTTTGCGCAAGGAAGGGATAGAGATGTCGGGAGACAATTCAAACCACTTACCTGTCGCCCACACCAATGCCTCTAACAGTTCAGACCTCGGAATATGCCACCTTCCTCCCACTTCAAAAAATCTTGCACTTTCATTGATTCTTGTTGCTATCTGCATAGTAACATTTTGTGGAAACTTGTTCGTTTGCGCCACTGTTTACATCCATTGCGCTCTTCGTTCCACAACAAATTATCTCATTGTTTCTCTAGCTTTGGCCGATCTGTTGGTGTCTCTTCTGTCGATGCCATTCAGAATCCACTTTACACTACGTAACAACAACTGGTGTCTTCGTTCTAATGTTTGCGGTCTTTGGATCTGGGTGGATTTTGTTGCATGTAGCTCATCTATAGGTAGTTTGGCCGCTGTGTCCATCGACAGATTCGTCGCTGTAAAATTCCCTCTTCGCTACCGTGTTCTCCTCACAAAACAGACCAGCTTGAAGATGATATGCTTCGTGTGGATGTACTCGATGATATTCGCTTCCCTTGGTAACTACAACTGGACATTTCACGCATTCGAGACTTTCACACAATGCCATAAAAATGACCGTGTGTTCTACACCACGGTGGCGAGCTTGGCGTTCTTCTTGCCCCTTGGAATCATTATTGGAACGTATTCTTATCTCACTAAAGTCGCTGTACACCAGCGCCGGCGGACTTTAACCAATACGGTCCGTCCGGAAGGTGAGAGGCCTTTTCGACGAGCCCGCATTTTGCACGAGCTGAAAGCAGCGAAAATGATGGCTTGTGTAGTTTTAATATTCATTGCTAGCTGGGCGCCTTTCTTTATCTTGATGCTCTCGGGTTTTTGGCACGACCGTCTAAACATACCTTATGCCGTCAGGGATATCTTTGTTCCTATACTACCCAACCTTAACAGTGCTATAAACCCTTTCATGTACATGGCGTTTACACGCGAATTACGAGAGCAAGTGGCAAAGTTGGTTGAGAGATTATTCTGTCGATCTTGCAAATGTCATGAGTCCAGAGTTCCGTAGGAAGATCGCGAACGTGGACTCAGCCTGTGATTTTCGGGAATCTGAAACACACGTGAGGCGCAGTATTCGAGCCAAAATCATCGCAAGCTGCACTGGAGAAATTGTTTCATTATTCATTCTATATATCACGAGAAGAAGTGAAAAAGTATATCAACGAAGGATGCAAATGTTTTCTTCCAAACCTGTGAATTCTGTACATATGAAATGTTGTATCTGATTACGACTTTGTTCTCAAAAATCTCCAGTGTTAATTGTAGAAATACAAAGCCTACTGTGCATTATAAAGCTATATAACGTTTTCATGTGACGATAAAGATTTCTCAGTTTGGTTAGCCCTCAATAGCCAAAAGTAACAAGACGTTAAAAATAACAAGAAATGTAGATCGATCAACAGCTATAAGGCTCAAGAGCAATTCGTAGTGTACAGTAAGCAAGAACAGATAATATACCCCGAAGTCCAAATTATATCTAAAGTAATAGTACAGAATAATAATTATGTACATTTTCTTGTTAAAATAACTACAAGTAATGACACTTTCTAGTTTTTTTTTAATTTTACCTTTCAACATCAGATAATCCCGTGTTTTTTCACCAGACAAAAAAAAGCAAATGAATCTGTGCAGTTTGTTCATGGATTCACCCACGCTTATTGTTATCATTTCAATTTGCCACTCTCTCGTTCACTGTAATCACAATAGGAAATAGTCAGATTGGTAACTAATATTAATTCACACTCACTTATAGAAGTAAGTAATTTAATAAAGTTGGCAGATGTCATATGCGTCAGTAAAGACAAGCTACTTAAATGTATTTCTTCTCTTGTTTTCATTCTACAAAGAGAAAAATCTCTTCAAAAGGCGAGACACATCTCAGAAGCACTATCCACAAACCTGATCATAAATTTCTTGCAAGATTACAGAATATCACACACCTCATCATGTTTCGAATGAGTTCGACATCTAGATTTTCCTTTTATTTTTTCCCGGATTAAAGGTAATTATTTGTATCCGAATGTCACGATGAAAATCTGCCGCGTGATGTTTAATAACTAACATACGAATTAAGTTTACTTTTATTAATTTCCTGCCAAGGTGACTCCACTTTACATATTACTGGCGACAACTGCCGGGAATTAGTTTGCATTCACACGGTCCCTACGAGTTCATGGCTTCGAGTAGCGCCGTTCCCCAGCAGATTCCATCGCGCGAGCCGATAGAAAACATAAAAAGTATATCCCAGTGGCACCTTAAGTATTTGAGAGGCGCGGCACGCATAGTTTGCGCGACTGACTTGCGCGTCGGACTTGCATGGAACTGCTTTTGGAACAACAGAACTTGCGTTTAAAATGACAGTATTGTATTCGAAATAAGTTACCTTTTTTTCTACAAAGGTATGTGATCTGTTGAAAATAATTACTGTTTAATTTTTTAATTTTGGTGATCTTCGAGAAAACGTATATACTAAAATCATTATTTCTCGTTTATAATAAAAATCATTACAATATAAGAGATACCTGCACATGAGCCGTCATCATTTCATCAAAACTATGTGCCCAAAAAGGACTGCTAAGAATAACATGACTATGATACAATGACTACACACAAGTTGAAAGCGACCTTCAGCACTGTACTTAACGATCGGTAACTTGCCAAAATGCAGCAGTGAAGATATACAATGCCATACTTCCTAGGGCAATCAAATCGAAGACTTCAACTGAAAAATTATTTCCAAATCAACTATACACCAATAGAATAGATTCACTCCTATATATTTTATATCAAAACAATTCATATATATCTTTTCTGACAATGAAAACTGGACAATTGGTGAAGATGAAGAAATTTATCTGAGGACGTAATATGTATTAAATGTTCAGTGGCGGATCCAGACCTTGAGCTAAGGGGGGGGGGGGGGGGGGGGGGGAACCGGTTTTTTTTGTCGCTTTCCCTGCCGGCTTTTCTTCCTTCTACGATTTTTTTTTTAAACCAAAATAAAGATGGGGGCTGACCCCCCAGGCCCCTCCTCTAGATCCGCCATCGCTGTTTTGCAGTCAACAAGGAGAAGAGGTCTTCAGATCTTGGGGCGTAATTCAAACCATACAAAAGTGAAGCATCAAACCAAGCCCTCAGCTGCGGCCAAGTTGAAAAGAAAGTTCTCTACAACTGGTGTTAGTTTTCGCTGTTTTAATGCCTCCAAAGTGATCCTGGCCTTGCCACCCTCCTCTAATTCAACAGCCAGCTTTTTTAGATTGTTTATGAGATCCTTCGTCTTGACGGACAATTCCTGAAAGGTTATTGAAGAACATTTTTAATTACACGTCTCAGTCTCTTAAAAAAACGACAAAAAACCTTATGTCGCGCTAATGTAAGTGATTAGATGTGCGGAACGAAGATTTTAGCTTGTATTCAGCCTCTCGCAAGAGCGAAGGGCGAGACAACCCATTCGCTCCTCGTTTTTTACAACCACTCAAACAATCAAATAGAAAATAGGTCAAAAGAGGGGGCTTTGATCAAACAGTTCATTAATAAGGATAATGACAGCTCTTTCTTTTGCTTTTGTGTTTGTTAGACGTTACGTTAGTTCGTATTTTCATCCATTCGTTCTTTCTTTCGGTCGCTCGTAACTTTGTTCGAGCATCAGTTCCTTCCTTGGTTTCTTCGCTTGTTCGTTATCAAACGTTCGCCAAAAAGTTTTGCGTAGTCACAACTACTAATTGTAAACTTAAATTAGCACCTGATCTTTCTTACACAGGTCTCGTGCAGGCTTGTACAGGTCTGAAAGAGTCTTTGTGTTATTACCTTGACGAGCCTTTGATCACTGTACTCCTCGTTTTTGGCAGCATCTACCATAAACATTGCTATGTCCTTGTGAATTTTTCCCATCTGAAAAGTATCTAGACAAGTAATGAGATCTTTCAGAAATACACATAAAGAGAAAATGACGTAACACGGGTCATATCTGATTTTATATTATACGCTAAATTATACAAGCATTTTGATTGGTTCTTGCTTATGATCTATTGGAGGACAGACACGTACATGACGTCACCACTGACAGCATTTTGTTTTTCATCATATAAAACAAAAAGATTCCATGTTGCCGTGGGTCTGTACAGTAGGAATCACACAAGACATCAAAATTTGGCTGCATCTCGTTTTTGTTCAAACCTCATTTTGACGTTATTTGTGATCTATTACCGTACAGTCCTGTACAGACACACAGTAACATGGAATCTATTTGTTAAATCAGTAATTAAAACTACATAGACTGACCATGATCAGTCAGAGCAAACCCATTAGTTAAAATGATTGTGACCTCACCTCCCCCCCTCCCCTCAAACTAACCACTCTTTTTTTCAATGTTAGCACTGATTGCATGCTTTCCTGTTCTTAACAATGATTAACGTGTACCCTGTAAATTCACGAAAGCACAGAGTGAAGATCCTTCAATTTTTAAAATAATAACTGAGAAGTTGGTTTTGTCCACATACCTCGTGCTTCAGGAGCAATGGATATCTCTCCAGCAGCAACTGGAAGATAAAAAGAAACAAAACAAGCTGAGCTGGGGAAAAATGTTTGCAATTCTTTTTTACAATCATTTTAGCATCAGCATAGTTGATCTTCTCTCAATAGTCCTACTTGTGACTGTACTGTCTTTGTAAGAGGATAATATATATCCATAATTGCAAAACGTACCATTAACAAACAAGTCATACAAGTCAGTTTTGCTTTCAACAGATGCATCAGTGAAGCCAGCCACATAAGTTATGTTTGCTGTTAGTTTCTCAAGTTCCTCATCTTCAAGATGAACGTAAGGATGGAGTATGCTCCAGTTCTGACGGTGCCACACTAATAAAGGTAATGCCCTTAAAAAAAGACAACAAATCCATCATTCATTTAACAATTACATGTACCAAGGTAGGAAGGGTAAAGTTTCAAAGAAATAATTTTTCAACTCCAAGTGTTTCTTGAGAGCTGTGATAAGAAAAACATCCCTCACCAGGCACAATCTTTTGTTCTTGTTTCAACAAATATAGCTAGATAAATTGATATGTTTTTGTAGTCAGTCAGGTCCACATGATTGAAAAGTTGAGCATGGTCAGGTTCCAAAAAACTTAACAAAAACTTAGAACAGAGAAAGAAATTGGGTTTCTTAACCAGTCGACCTTAGCTTATTGCAATATGTCTCACCATAAGAAATAGTATGAATTTTGAGAGTCAGTGGGGGAGGGGAGGGGGAAACCATGCCAATGACATCTCTGAAATGAACTTTTAGCATTCTGATACTGCTCTTGGCAACAAATGCCTCATTAACCCTCCATTAGTAAAATGATGACACTACACCATGGGAGTAATCTGCTCAGGAGATAACACTGCTTTAAAACAATATTTAGTAAACTAAACCATTCTTACTCACCTACAAATATCTAAAATAGTTTCAAGTTTGGGACTGTATACCACAACTTTCTTCTTTAGCAGTAGGGCTGTGTATATTAGGATTGTCTCCACCCCAAATATGTTAATAACATCTGTTAGTATAAAGAAAGGAGCAAAATTTATAAGGATAATTGTTGTTAGTACATTGAAATGTACAGCTTTTAAGGCACCCTAATGTTTAGAAAAATGTTTGTTCTTCTCATGAACAACTGTTACACCTAATAAGTAATTGCATGCTGTTAATTAATCAAATATTTAAACATTTTTATTCCAACTGTTCTACTGAGTAATGCTATTCGAGGTTAAGCTTATTCTTTGTCCAGAAAGTGCTCCTCTATCAAGCTGCAATGTTTGCCATATAACATTTTCTTAACATTTCCAAGCTCTAACTTGTTCACGGCTTAGGAGTGTATCCCTTATGTTAGTTCAAAAGCAGATCATGGTAACCTCAAGAAAGTGTCTTTGAAAAAACACATGCATGAATTTGTCAGAAAAAAAAGCAAGCACCAAGTTTTACTACAAATCATGAAGTGTATTCACCTGAGATGGGAGAGGCAACATATGACAAGCGAGGATCAAAGTCTTTGACTATTAACAAACCATCGTCATCATTAGGACAAGAGCCCTTTGTAATAACAGACAGGTATGGCTCCAGCATTGCACTAGCATCACCAGTTTTTATGAACTTGTTGCACATGATCTTGCACAGACTCTTGTATTTCTCAGGACAAAAGTCCTGCAGAAAAGGAAATAAAATCAACTAAATAAGTAGAACACATTATTTATGCATTCTTCCAGAATGATGTACCAGGTGCATGTGTACTTTAAAATGAATTTCACGCCATTATGATTTCAAATTAGTTTGATTTGTATATTTTCTTGGCTCATATACATAACAATGCACATCCTTAAACAATAAAAGATACAAATCATTTTAGCCATATTAAAGGCATACCAAATGTGTGTTAACATCCTCACCTTTGCTATCAGTGTCAGTGCCACATGGGTAACCTTGATAACCAAAAAGCAATTGAAAATAATAAACATATTGTTCATTATTTTTACTTCATAGACTTGTGTTATAAAATCATAAAACTTGTTTAATAATTACATACTTCAAATATTTCCCTTCAAGCACTCATTATATTTCTACGTATCACTCTGTTATAAGCAATTGCAAAGAAAAAAGTCAAGTTTAGCCTTAATTGTATCAGTTCCAAATTCATTCTTAGTTGTTTATTGAAAACCAGTTATAGTCAATCACAAGTACTGTATATGAAATAAGGTGAAAATGCACACATTCAAAAGGAGATTTTTTGCACCCTCCCCTTCAGACACTGAGGACATACTCAGAAAAATGCATAATAAGTAATTCCTAATTTTTAGAAACCATACTTTGTACTACAAAACATTAATACCTCTTTAGTGGATGGTACATGATACCCAAATTCACAATCCCAAAGGGTGGAGCATATTGCAAAAAATATTTGGCAGAGTCCCCAAGGGATAGCCCTACCCATCCCACCTCCTCATGATCAGTCTTTATTCCTCCAGCCCTGATGAAACCAAACCCACCTTGCTTAGAGCATCGGAGTTCTTAACTTCTGACGTGTAAATATAGAACCACTGCTTATTGAACTGGCCAAAACAAAAAGGTATGACTTCCTCTTTGTCGGTTTTAAGACAGCATTTCCTCAAAAGGACCTGCCGGAACGTTTCGGTTATAGTGGGGTAAGACCATGTCCAAAGGACGTCAGAATCAACATCTTTCTCTGCATTTTTAACCCAGAAAAGAAATCATAAATTTTTCTTTTTAAAAAAAATGTATGATGACGAATTTTTGAGCTAACAAAGAGAACATTTACCGATTAAACATGCAGCCAATAAGTCTCCAAGTCCCGCCATCTTGTTCAGCACTCTATGGAAAGAGCGCCCGGACAGTGGGTCAGCGGTAGAACAACATGGCGGTTATGGCGGCCTCCCAGTAATAAAGCTTGGTCCGATCGGTTTGATTTAATTGTTTTGGCTCATTTTCCATTAGCAGATGGAAAAAGGTAGAAAGAGGTCTTGTGATTATTATGAAAGAGAAAAGTCGCCCACCGGGAAAAGGAAAAGCTGCACTGTTTGGGAAGATCTACGTTCCACTCTAGACGAACTCTTCTTCCGCGACTGTGATTTGATTAAACGGTTTGTCTATGTTCATTCACTGTAAGATGAAGTTAATACAATCATTTCCCAGGATACGTCATTTTATGCTGAATAGCATATCTTGTATTTATCAGTGGAACTCAAGATTATAAGGACTTCTGGTTATTTCTGGAACGGTATGAAGCCTTTCACAGTAAGAGACAAAAAGAAAAGCAAACAAAAGGTGAGATATGTGAATTGCTTCGAGGTTAACTCTTTTACTCTCTCAATGGTTTTATTTGTTTATCTATTTGTATTTGTCAATTAGAGAAGAGCAATTTATGGAAACTACTGATTTAACCACCATTATTATTATTATTATTACTATTTGCAAAAAATGTTGTTCACCCTGTAATTGGGAGATTTACCATCATTATGAGCTAAGCTTAGTGTGAGTGATCATGTACTTTCATTAGCTCTTCATCACTTTTAATACTGTTTTCATTTATATTTTTTTCATAACAGCAAAGGACACTAAAGATTGGAGGTCCCCTAAACTAGGACTCCCTTTATCATATGACAGAAGGTATAAGATAAATGTTGCTCTGTTGTCAAAAGATATTTCTGATGTAACTGGATACAGCACCACTGGAACTAAGAAAGGTAAATTTACTGACAGACTTTGAATAATCATTAATGCAAATACTAGTCACCTGATAAACTTTAAATTAGACCAGTTTGATTTTTAGGTAATTTTTTTTCTGTTAATGAAGAAAAGACAAAACATACAGTGAAATGTGTGTGAATAGACTGAAAGAAAATAAAACACATTTTTTCTTTAAAGATACATTTTTTGTTATGTTTTCACAGTTTACTCCTCTTTGGACAAGAAAAGCAAGCCATTGGGTAATGAGCTATCAAGAGAAGAGTTTTTGGAATTTAAATCCATCATATTGTTTTATATTGATTTTTGTCAGAAGCAAAAGGTAATGGATTGTTATAATAATAATACATATAATAATAGTTTGAGCATAAACATTCTTTAGCATTCTTAAAACATGTTTAATGTGATTCTTCAGTATTACAATGTGTATCCTCTACTCTGTGTACAATCATATAATCAGAGGCAAAAATAGATATAGCTTAAAAAATAATGTGTATAAAGCCCATAGCTCAAGGATGTAAATTATGACCTTGAAAACAACTGTTTTGAGGTCATGTCATTTAAGAATTGCCTGATTTTTGATAAAGTACATATTAAATTGTTCCTTATGCTTGAAACTTTCTACCCATCAAGTATCAGCTACAAATGTACCATGAACTGATGAAATAATGTGCACGATCAGTAACAATGCAGGCAAACATTCGGGTAAGATTAGCGCACCACATCTCCTGAGCAAGCATGTTGACCTACCTTTTTTGTGTGGTTCTCAAAACAGAGAATGGTAGGGAACATTCAAAGGAAAGTTTTAGAAGGCCACCTCTGATACAAAACCACACACATAACTATTATAATAAATAAGTAACATGTTTTTTTTTTTTTCACTGCCTTTTGTAGTTTTCCAAATTAGTGAAGTTGAAGAAGGACCAGGCAAACCTTCCCATAAGCAATTTTAAAGAACAGATTATTGATGCATTGGGAAGCAACCAGGTGGTTATTATTGCTGGTGATACAGGGTGTGGAAAGTCAACACAGGTAATATAATGAGAGTACTGTACAATCATGTGATTGGAAATAACAATCTTTGCATACTATTATATCATATTCTATGGCTGGGAAGTTGGTGTGATCATGAATTAATGCATTGTAGTGTACAATCATATGGATGCATGTATACAGAAGTGCATTGGAAGGAAATTTCCAATCAGAATCACAAAATCTCTGTCTAGCCCTAAATTACAAACAATACCCACCTCTGTTGATTCTACATGTAATAAGGATGTTTCATTACACACTGTAGTTGATAGGACAGTAAGATTATTTGGACCTTTGAACTACTGGCTTAAGAGTCAATGAGTTAGATATATGTATGGGGTTTCCATTGAGAAATGTAGTAGCATGAGAATAGTGTAAAGTAATCATAGAAGATTCTCACCAGTACAAATAAAAAAACAGCTTAGGCCATTTAAATTTAATGGAAGAACTGTGTGCTGTTACCAGATAATTCTCCCTCTTCCAATGCACACAGCATTATAATGTGAAACATATTTTAATGAAAAACATGACAATCGTTTCTTCGTTTGGTTTTACTTTTTTTAAAGGTTCCTCAGTATCTTTTGCATGCTGGCTACACACAAATTGCATGCACTCAACCTCGACGGATTGCTTGCATTTCATTGGCCAAAAGAGTAGGGTATGAAACTCTGAATGAATATGGATCCCAAGTGGCTTATCAGGTACAATTTATGGTTCCTTTTGATTCTTGAGAAATAAAATAATCATCAAAATCATCACTCTATCACACTAGCCACAATTATGTCAAATTCAGAACCTCTGCATTTTTAAAGATTTTTCTAAACCTACTTGTGGGAAACAAACTCACTGTTGAGTACTGGTGCTCAGCCAGCCAGCATCAAGTAATCATTCCTTGTTGACTTCCAAAAGTTCTCTCATGATTAAGAAAAAAATGTCCTCTGTCACAGCTGTACACATACTGTATAATATATAAACAATTATAAGTATCTCTCAGTTGGTACTCTTGCTATGACTGGTCAATTTAGCCAGCTATATTTTATTGTACATCCTGCTAAATTCAATTGTTTGAATTGAATTTTCCCCTCTATTTGAAGCCAGAGGTGTAATAAATATCTTTACTTACTGACCTTATTTCTTTGTCTGTACTGTAAGTTATGGAATCTCACTCTTTCCCTTTGGGTTTATAACCCATGCACTCCTATCTTGGGCCATAAATCCACACAGAAAAAAAAGATAGGTCCATAACATGCAGTTATTGTAAAGATCTCAAAATCAGTTGGAAAGAGGTATCTATACACTAAGCATAGTTGCTAAGTATTATTAATAGTACATGCATTGGCAGTTTATTGCATACATATCCAATTCATCTGTTTACTTGTATTTTTTACTTAATAAGAAACCTCACCCAAGTTAAATGAATTGTTCAAAATATATGTTAAATGAATCAACTTTTGAAATGGATATTACTGCAGATTCGTTTTGAAAGCAGCAAGACCCTGGGCACCAGAATTTTGTTCCTGACTGAAGGTTTGTGAACAATTTTCTCTGTCTTTTTTGATCACTCATTCAATGGTGTATTTTAAATCATAGCTGCATTCAAGTTCACAAAATGTAGATTTCTTTATGTAGATTCAGATTTAATTATAAGTTGTAAAACCTTGCGAATCTGATTTGGTATTTTTTTTTTAAATTTTGTGATCAGTGGATTTAAAACTTTTTGTTTTGCACTTCAGATAGATAACAATCTAACCTGTATTAAGGGGTGCCACGTTAAGTGGTCACCCTCTATTAAGCAATCAGTTGTCAAAGTCCCAGATTTCTTTCCTCTTACTCACAGTAATTTTCACCTCTTTTTGGTGGTCACCTAGACTATTTTGTGGTTGTGATTGTCCCTTGCTAAGTCCCAACAGCCTGTTTGTATTTTCCTTCACCCTTATTGAACAGTTACTTAAGTGGATCCACTCAAATTAAACTAAGAATATTCTTTCTAGTAAAATTTATTCCATTTTTATTTCCCAAAATCAGTGGTAGTAGTATTTTTGGGCAATTTTTTTGTACATTAAGTGTTCAATTATGGCATAAAAATAGCAGTTTTTATGTTACCCCTCTTCTAAAGAAACTGTATAAAGTGGTCTCCTTGCCATTCCCCAGAGTGACTGCTTAATACAGGTTTGACTATAATTGGCTCTTTTCTTGTTGGTAAACAATGAAAACATTGAACATGCTCATGGACAGAAAACTTGAAATGGACTCAGGAAGGTGAACTCTTGCATAGGAATACAAAGTTGTATTTGTATTGCTGAAGTGAAATTTGGAATTCCTGAAAAAAGGAAAAAATGACAAGTGACATGGTATCTTTGACTATGAGGAAATGAACTGGTAACAAAGACTAAATATGCTTTGCATCCGTTGTGCTTGAAAATTATGATCCATTTCCTCTGTGCTTTCACCTTTTTTTATCTTGCCATTACTCTTGACGTGGTAAAGTGCTTTGTTTGGAGGGTATTGTCACAAATGCAGTCATTGTTGAAATTATATTCATTTTGATGTACACGTGTAGGCTTGTTGTTGCGTCAATTATCTACCGACCCCACCCTCAGTCAGTACAATGTTATCGTGGTGGATGAGGTACATGAGAGACATATTCACGGAGACTTTTTACTTGGTGTTTTACGTGGTTTGCTGCAGGCCCGTGCTGATCTTAAGCTGGTTCTAATGTCTGCCACTATAAATATCAGGTAAGAGGGAGAGAGGGGTGTATGCGGCAATTTTTAGACGAAATATGTGACTGAAAGGAACTAAATATTTTTTTACTTCTCTTGTTCTTTAGCCTGTTTGCCGGCTATTTTACAGGAGCGCCAGTTATTCAGGTTTGTGGCACTTGTTTGATAGATGAACCATTTATTAACACTGTAAAAGTTTCAGTTTGTCTGTCATTTTTCTGCTCTGCTTCCTGTCCATCATTATTGGGTCTTACCAGCTCATATTTTAGGCGTTTTTACCCTATTATGGCAAAATGAAGTATTGGTGGAAAATTGAATTTTTGTGAACTTTCCTTTTTACAGATTCCTGGTCGTTTGTATCCCATTGAAGTTCGGTACCAGCCTCCAAAAGTCGAGGTTAGTGACATGTAGGGAAGCTTATTTTTCTTAAGCTTCCTAATCTCCGTTCTGTCCCATTGCAAAGTAGGAGAAAAAACATTCCACCTAGAATTTGGGATGGCATGAGAGAGGCAAAATGAATTGTGCAGTAATCAGTTTTGTCATCTGATTGACCTTGGCACTAAAGGTTTTCGTCTCCCTATATGGTGAAATACCGTGTTTTGTGGCTTACGACGGTCAGACAACGACCAACTCAATATACTGCGGATAAAAACGTACCCTGTGGCATTTGTAGTATTATACCAGGCAAAATGATCTTACAGGCGAGCCTAGGGACCAAAACGGCTGGAGTTTATTGCGCTTTTCTTTGCACTGAGCGACTGGAAGTATTAATATTCCCTAGATAGAAGGCTTCTCTAGCGCTTGTTGCCTTCAGCTGTTCATAAGGTTTGCCTCACAGCTTCAGCTCCTCCCTTTGATAATTGCGGTTAGCTCGAGTGCACTAGTCCTGCTTCTGGTGAGTTCTGGAGCATAAGAACCAGACTCCATTCAGCCAAATCATCGAGGCATTTTTTAATCGGTGTTTGTTATTAAAAGCAGCTGTCTTTCTCAACAGTTTTCAAGCAGCTCAAAACGATGGGAGAGACTGGACCCCGCTCCTTACGTCAGAATCATGCAGCTTATTGATCATAAGGTTGATTAAAATGTTTTTATTGTTTCATCGTAAGCTCGATGTTGATTGAATTCAACAGATAAATATTTGACAAAGGGACACCATGCATCAGTTTTGTTGTTGTTATTTTCTTTTCCAGCTTTATTTTTATCTGTTAACCGAAACAAACCCGAGAACAAGACCTAGAAATAACCATGGTGACTTGAAAGTGTCTGTCATTTTTTTCGAATATCGTACATTTAGCCAATTTTAAACCTTATCGTGCTGTCCTAGTAGAATTTGAAAACAATCAGAATGCTCTCGGAGAGTAAATTAGATTCAAAACGCAAAATTATAATTCTCCCTAGGAAATCACAAACACAGAGTGCTTTGCGTTTTCACTAGATAAAATAGAAATGACAAGACAGCAAGAAAACAAAATGATAAAGAAGCATCTAATTAAAAAAAAAAGGTTTCCTTCGAGCCGGATTTGAACCAGCGACCTAAGGATATCATCTTTACCTCTACAGTCCTCCGCTCTACCAACTGAGCTATCGAAGGAAGGTCGATAGGTTTGTTGCTCATTCCGCTGCTGTTTTTGCCCTTGTGGCTATCGCAACTTATTGCAGCTTAGCCCAGAGCCTACTCATGGTCCCGACGCTGACGCGCAAGTGTTGTTTTCTTGCTCACATTTTTACATATTACACTTCGAGGGCTGTGAAAATTACCTTCAAGAAGGCTGATTGTCCATCAGATCAGTACCCGAACCCCGTTGCGTTTATTAGCCGCTCACCAGTTTGGTTATCTCTAACCTGATGTGTTTCTGTTCATACAAATAGTACCCGTCAACAGAGCGAGGAGATGTTCTGATGTTTCTCAGTGGCATGGCCGAAATTACAACGGTTGTTGCTGCTGCTAAGGAGTATGCGCAACAGTCTCGCCGGTGGATAATACTCCCGCTTCACAGCTCACTGTCTGTAGAGGAGCAAGATAAGGTGGATGTGGAAAAGAAGTTGTTATGTTTTATTTTATTTTCAGGTCTTAAATTGCACTAAGACCTTCAATTATCGATTAGTTTAACTACTTAAACAATTGATCGTAATACAAACTTTTCCTTATACCATTGAATTGACAGTACAATCTTTCGGACTTTGTCAATGGTACCAGTACATTGTTGGCCATAAAATGTTGTTGAGATATATATTGTTTTAATCAAAGATTAAACACAACTTGTATAATTTGGTTTTCTTGCTCCCGCTTTATAAAAATGCGGCACAGCTATTAAATGGACATCGACAGGGCCGCGACAGCTAGAGAAAGTCCAGCAAACTGCCTCCTACTTCCTTAGCGGTTTATTCCCATAAGAGTCACACCCCATAACCCCACCCACTCCTCCCGATATACGTAGACTAGCTAAAATGTCCATTTCAGTATTCTTTGTACATAAAGTGATGACGGATGTCTGGGCGAAGCTATAAACTGTTGGTCAGTATAGTAGACTCGCATGAACAGGCCTTTATTCGAGGGATAGGGATAGAAATAAATACTGAATGGCAAGAGACTGGGGGATACAAAGAATGTTGAAGAACGTTTTTTGGTCGGTAGGTTTTTGATGTGCCTCCTGAAGGTGTTCGCAAATGTGTTGTGTCCACAAACATCGCTGAGACTTCCATCACAATCGATGGCATCAGGTTCATTGTGGACTCTGGAAAGGTAACTTTACTTTTGTTATTTTTTATTTTCATAAGGAATATTAGTGGGCCGTTATTCTACAGATCTCGACATGCTCTTAACTTCGATTCTCCTTTAATGACGTGTAACTGTGAAATGCGCTTTTTACTACTTTACAACCACCTGATAAAGTAACAATTAAAATAACAGATACCTATTTCTTGCCTTTCGGTATATACTTTCGTCGTATTGAGCTTCCCTCGGTCACTGGTCCTGTGGTTTTATTTAACTAAGGAGGTTCTCGAAAGGATTTCCGTAGATTTGACGCCCCCTGATGAAGTAACTGTTTCTAAATGCAGAATATACGAAAAACTATGGTTTTAGGATGAATTGACCTCGCCTGTTTCTTGTTTTGGACTCAGTTAGATTGAGAATAATTTTTTAACGAAAATATTCGGTTTTGATTTATTCAAAGGTAAAGGAGATGAGCTATGATACTGAAGCTAAAATGCAGCGACTGCGTGAGTTCTGGATAAGTCAAGCGAGTGCAGAGCAGCGCAAAGGAAGGGCTGGTAAGTCACTGTCACAGCGTCTGAAACATATATACATTCGAAGTTTCATTCACATTTCATAATACGTGGGCGCGCGTAGATATGGAATTTCTCCTCGAGTATTTAACTCGATAGCTCACGAGTAAGCGCAGCGAACGAGTGAGATGTCGAGTTGAACATAAGAAGAGGAATTTATTATCTACAAGCAACCATGTATTATTTGTTTATCATATAAACACAATAGCCCTTTACTGACAAAAAAAGTCGACTTGACCAATGAATGAAAATAAAAGGATCGACATTCCTTGTATAAAAATCGTAAAGTGGGTTGGCGCTAAGGCTCAAGATGAAAACATGCGTTGAAACATTACGAGAACAAACAATGGGCGTAATTTTCAATGTACAAAATTCTTAGTTATCGACTTGGTCCTTACCGACAAAAGAAATCTTTCAGGTACACGGCCAAAATTGGCCTGTGGCAAATCTCCTTGTTGTCGATTTTCGTTCTCAGCCGCGAGAAATGCCATTACCAAAGCCACTGAATACGTAACTTTCGGTTTTTCTGGTGGTACCATTGAACGTCACCATCACTGGCTGTAAGCGATACGAATTTTTCAGTGTCTAAGCAGCCATTAATCCGAAAAGTTTCCGACAAACGACTTTGTGTTGAGAATGGTGAAGGCTTCGCCATTCATTCATCAACCTGACCGAGTGGCGCGAAAGGCGAGTAACGTGTCAGCAGCTGATTGGTGATATCAAACACACGTGAAAAAATATCGTATTTTTTCACGTGAGTTGTTACATCTTTTCTCGGGGTTGGAAATCCTTGTATAACACCGTTGTTTATACGAGTGAGATGCCGAGTTGAACACGAGAAGAGAAATTTTATATCCACAAGCAACCATGTATTATTTTGTTTATCATATAAACACAATAGCCCTTTTATTTAGAGGTAGAGTCGACTTTACTAATGAATGAAACTAAAAGGATCGACAATCCCCGAATGAAAATCGTAAAGTGCGTTGGTGCACTCAAGATGAAAACATGCGTTGAATCACTACAAAAACAAACAGTGGGCCTAATTTTCAATATAAAAAATTCTCAGTTTTTGAATTGGCCCTTACCGACAGAATAAATCTTTCAGGTACGAGGCCAAAATCGGCCTGTAGCAAATATTCCAGTTGTCAATTTTCGTTCTCAGCCACGAGAAATGCCATTACCAAAGCCACTGTATACGTAACTTACGGTTTTCTTCGCCTTCTAGGAAAGTTTGAACGTCACTGTAAGCGATACGGAATTTTGAGTGTTTAAGCAGCCATAGTCCGAAAAAATTTCCGACAAACGACCTTCGATTGAGAACGGTGAAGGCTTCGCCGTTCATAATCAACCTCACCGAGTGGCGCGAAAGGCGAGTGACGTGTCAGCAGCTGATTGGCGATGTAAAACACGTGAAAATATATCGTATTTTTTCACGTGCGTTGTTACGTCTTTTCTCAGGGCTGGAAATCCTTGTATAACACCGTTGTAAATATCATATGAATTGGCGAACGTAGAGAATTTCTAAAGTTGACCTCTCAAGCGTCAGACCTTCGTCAGAGCGAGGGGCTAACGCCTGCTTTGTCTCATGTTAGTCAGCTTCATCTGTGGTTACTCTTGGTTGCATCATTTTAGGTCGTACGGGTCCTGGTGTGTGTTTTCGTTTATATTCTGAGAGTGATTATCAAGCCTTTTCGCAATACACCACTCCTGAGATTCAGTTGGTACCTTTAGACTCCATCATTCTGCAGATGGTCTCTCTTGGTATTAATCGCATCCGCGAGTTCCCCTTCATAGAACCACCACCAGCATCCAACGTTGAAAACTCAATTTACACTCTTAAGCAACAAGGTGCTCTGACAGATGATGAAGCCTTGACACCTATTGGACAAATGTTGGCTCAGTTGCCTGTTGATGTCGTCATTGGAAAGATGCTTCTAATTGGCTCAGTGTTCCACGTGATTGAACCCGTTATGATCATAGCTGCAGCTCTCAGTGTTCAATCTCCTTTCACACAAAAGATGGGTTATGACTCTGTAGTGGCGTCACTAAGGCAGCCTCTAGAGTCTGACCATGGCGACCTGTTTACGCTGCTGAATGCCTACGATGAGTGGCTACAGGTTAGTTGACGATCACTATATATCTGCTGCTAAATAGCTATGACAGGTAATGAAATATAGTAAATAGGGCACAGATTACAAGTTTCGAACGAACCTGCCGTAACTCCTAGAAATTATCCCCGGGTTTGGAAACTTAGACTGATGCCTATTACCTGACCGCGAAGCCTCTTAGACTCCTTTTGGATTATCCTGATTGAACCCAATGAACTAATTAACATGACAGCGCTAAAGAGCTTCTTGTAATGCGCATGCTTCGGAAAAGAAACATCGTGGAGTAAGAATAGACTGTAAACGTTTACGTCAGTAACGAATTGGTTGTCCACCTACATTTTGTTTGAATACACTAATTGAAATGAACTTTTGAAATGTGAATATGTCGGTCAGTGAATAAGAAAGAGTTTTCTCCCTCATTTGGTTTTCTAGGTGAAGAGTCATGGAAGCTCTTCTCGGAAGTGGTGCAAGCGCAGAGGTCTGGAAGAACAGCGTTTTTATGAAATGTCCAAACTAAAACGTCAATTCGAATCGCTCCTGCGGGATCATCACTTGATGGATCTCGAGGAACGTGATGAGGATGCGGAAGACCGGGATCGGGAGGAAGATAAAAGGCGGGAATTGAAGAAACTGAAACGAAAACATCGCAAAGAAACACGGAAAACAAAAATGCTAAAACTGGACGAGGACCAGGAAAGCGGAGACGAAAGAGATGAGGAGACTGGAACTGACATCCGCGATCTAGAATTTAAGCTTACACACGACCTGGACAAACTTGAGGCAGGAAGTACAACGAGGCGCAGCTTCACGTTGCGAGACATAAATTTGCTGAAGATTATTCTCTGCAGTGGACTGTACCCTAACCTGGCTTTGCCAGATGAGAACAACACGAACAAAAGGGACTCGGAGCAGTTGTTTCATAGCAAGGCAAAGCAATTCCTTCAGGTTCTTCCTACCAGTGTGTTTGCCAGTCGACCTCAACTACTACAACTCACTGAGTCCCCAGTTAATTATCAGTTGCTCACGTATGTCTCTCTTTTGGAGACCAGCAAACCGTATTTAGTACAAGCCATGCGAGTCCCAGCGTTACAAACTCTTATGTTGTTTGCACAAAGCTTGGACACTAACGCAGATTTGACACGCTTTGTTGTAGACGGTTGGCTTGAAATCTCCTTTCCAGATAACAACACCGGGCAGGAGGTGATGTTCTCTGTCCAACGGCTACGCTCCACTTGGGTTCGCCTGTTGAAGCTAAGATTTGATGAGATTAAAGACAAGCAGGATCGTAGTGCTACACGACGAAACAGAGAACTGGACTTGGAAAGTCATCTGGCCAAAAAGTTGTCTGAATTCTTGGATAGTAATGTCACTTACTCACTCCGACGACTTCTGCCGTCTGAAAGCCGATACTTGTATCTTGGTCCTCTCGGTCAAAGTCAGAATGATGACAGGTTGGAGGATGCCTCTGGTTTGCCTTTCACGGGAAGCCTGGAACCGCACCCAACCAAGGGGGGCTTCCGTGTGAGTGATTATCTGACCTACAGCTGCCTACAAGACACTGTCATGGCCGAGGCTGCCTCTGCCGCCGCTCAATACATTGCTAAGCATTGGCGGTGCGAGAAATGCGGCCAGAAAATGTTGGTGACTGTTTTGGAAAGGTTGAGACATGAAGAAGAATGCCAGAATGAACAGGCCCATGACTCAAACGACCCAGTGGTTGAGTCTCATAAAGACAAAGTAGCCGTTAACCCATCAATCGAGAGGTTAAGAAAGTCATATTATTGCAACACATGTCAATCACAATTCTCATTTACAAGTACTGAAATTTTAAAGCATAAGAAGTCCCATTTGTCTTCTACATAGGTAGAAGTAATTAAAGTAAGTATTTCTTCTTTCTAGACCGTTTTCATCGGTACAATTCTGTATGCGTGGTACCCTCAGAGTCATTGTTGTCACATTTTTTTCTCTTTCAGTAGTGTGTTGAGACTGATAATAAATAAATACCAACTTCTGTGGAGGGGGATCATTTGGAAATCATTTGAGATTTAATAAATAGATCACGCATGACCAGTTGACCTCATCGCTTAAAGAAGACCAGCAGTATGCAGTCGAAATGTCGCGATCTACATCACACGTGACTACATCGCGAGACAAACGGAAAACCTAACTTTTATTGTTATTCACCACGATGAATAACCACAGCCTTTTTTACGTTTGAGATTTGTTTTCTTATTCTAAATTCACAAAGTTAATGTATCCGTTAAGCTTACTGCGCGGAAAAATTCTGTACTGTAGAGAACAAAAAAGCCGAGAAAGAATGCCAAAAATATGGAAATTAATGACTAAAATTTTCCTCCAAGCCCAAGACTTGTTTATTCAAGAAAACAAGAGGGATAGCTAGAGCCATCAAGTTTGAGGAGAAAAATACAATAACAGATCTTATAAAGGGCTATTTGTCACTTCCAAATATAAAATTTAAGGCGGAGACTAAGCTCGCGCAGCGCCGTTGGTTGCCACCGTAATTAAGAAAAAATGTTTACTCATTTAGGCGAGAAAGTGTGGTGCGAACGTAATGAAATTACGTACGTACGCATGTACTTTCATGATAGTATTGAACCACGGAACTACTTGTGCATGCAGGTTGAGTAAAATATAAGATACTTAATGAAGAGTCTGTGGTATTTATGCAGGAGTTGGTAGTATATGAACTCAAACGAGTGAGCGTAGCGAGGGAATGAGTTTTCTGATAAAAAGCGACGAGTACGTAACTAGCATACGGACAGACTTTTCATGGTGTATATGTTTATCATATACTTACGTAGATTCGCTTCTTGGTCAATGATAATTGTTAGTCAAAATTTATAAAATCGATCATGAAGTAAGGCAAGGCACCTTTGACAGCGAGCGAAAAACCAAATACTTGAAACGAGGCATCTAAAGCGTGAGGGTTCATCATTTTCTCTGTATTGACGTCGAACAAAGCGAAGGAACTCCGCAAATATATGGTTAATTCCTCGAACGCTATGGGAGTGTACTTTTCGTTCGTCGTTCTTTTTGTCTCTCAAAAAAATCTTTTAAAAGTTTTCAATCTTACTTTGTTATCTCTTTTGTGTTTTTTTTTCTCCATCCTTTCCAGATAACCCTCCACAAAAGTCTAATGAGAAACAAATCTTTTCTCGCTCGTCCTTTGTAAATAATTTGACTTAACAAACAGCCCTGAGAGTGGATTTTTAATTATAATTTTCCGAACGATTTGAAAAGCGAAACTCTGCCAGTGACTTCTGATTGGACATATCGTTTTCATCTCACCTGTAAGATGTGATACAAGCTCTTGGCTTGTGAATGAAAATTTATTTCGCGCCTTTTCAGTGGAAAATCTCAGTAGGTAAAGTGCATTATAAAGGAATGCGTTGAGCATTCCTTCCGGAACAAGATCATTTGGGAGCTATAGAGCATGAGCGAATGTGCTCAAGATTGAGTGTTGATATTTCTGTAAATTATGGTAAATATAATTGATTACTCGAAATAATTTGGGATTGCTGTTTGTTAAAACTTGGGTGTACTGACGAGTTTACTTCAATTCAAATAACCATGTTTTGAAACTCGAAACGCAGTTGATTTACACCTTAAGCGGGTAAATTTATTGCAACGGGAGCGAAAGGAAATGTGATGTTTAAGTCTATTAAGTCAATTGTAAAATTGAAATATTCTCGCTAGAAATGAAGCCTTTTCAGTGTTCTGAAGAATGTTACTTCTGTTTCATGTCAACTCAAATTTCTGATGAAATGTTTAACGCACTTATCGGGGCATAAAAATCAGAGTATGACTGAAACAAAAAACTAATTTGTGTATTTGAAGGAAGTCTTGCAAATTTTTGAGAGAGTTTCGGCCAGTGAAGTAATATTTTAACTGTTGATGTCTTGCAGCTATGGTTTTTAGATAAATTGAGAGAAGAGTCCATCTCACTGCAAGTTGAGTTTGTGTACTCATCTTCCTTAGCACGGACTAAGTTCGTTACTTCATTTATCAAATTTATATAAGGCAGAGTTACAGTAGAACACTAAGAGGAAGTAAGACGTTCACGTTTAGTCTGCTCTCATTTAATCCATGAGAATACAAGCTTTTTAATTGAAGCGTACGATCCTGAATTGTTGCAATAGAAATAAACTAAAGACTCTTTCTGCTTCGTAGATTTAAAATATTCGTTCTTTACTAAATTGGTGTTATGAAGTATAATCATTTTCCTCACAATGCAGTCACTTCCAGTGTGAGCAAGTGGTCATACTTTAGGACAAGTGTGTTTACCATGATGAATAATCGCATCGTACAGCCCATTTTAAACAAAGGACGTGTTAGAGAAAACAAACCTAAGTCTGTCTCTATTTGTTGTTAAGCTGGCCCCATAAACAGATTTCGACTGATCACTTCAATTTAAGTGAGAACGGTGAATTTACCTCTCATTTCGTTTACTTTCCTTCTAATCATTGCATAGATATTACAGAGGAATCAAGAAAGATTTCACTCTCAAACCAAACTCAAATACCCTAATGTTATTAAACAAATGGCTGAAATCCTGTGGAAGCTTAGAAATGTTCAACTATTCCCGTTTGCTTCTGGCGTAAATACTGTTTTAAACCTGTCAGTCTCACAGCTACTTTCCTTTGTATCCATCATTGTGATCCTGCGTAGTTTAAAGGTAGAAATCGACGCCTTGTTTGCCCCTTCCTTTGGATGGGTTTCCTGAAATGCTGATTGCAGAAACCTGTTCGAATCGTTCACTGTCTCTCGAGAAAACAAGCCCTTCAAGTCTTTTCTAAAACTACGACTTAACGTTGTATACAGAATGGGATTAAAACAACTATTTGCAGTGGTTAGAAGTCTGGCAAACTCATACAGCTGCCTAGTGGCATACGAGTTCAACAGTGATGGATTTGCAATGATACTTAAAATGATCACTTTGTGCGGTAAGATGCATGCCGCATAAACTAACACCAGACCCGTCAACAACTTCGTGGTCTTTCGGTTTTGCTTCTGCCGTTTTTCAGCAACATGCACGCTTGTGTAAATGCCTCGTCTATTGTTCTGCTTGTGAGCCTTTCGTAAGTGGCTGATAATTCCAACGTAAAAGTAAACGAGGCAGAATGCAGGAATTATGAACTGTGGATTAACCAACGCCATGATGTAAGTAAGGTTGAACGAAAGCTGGCTTGGCCACCATTGTATGTCAATGAGACACCTCCCATTTGGTTCCAAGGTTAGGGCAAACACGAATGGTAGTTGCAGTAAGCACGAGTAGACCCAACCAAACGTCACCATAGCCACAGCTTTTGTTTTGCTAAATGGACTCTTCAGCGTCTTCACAATCGCAAGGTATCGCTCATAGCCGATGCAAATCAACATCGACCCCGAAACCGTGACGGAAACAGCGCTCAAAATGTTAATTAGCTTGCAAAGAACAAAACCAAAAGGCCATATGGAGTGGTTCTCAAGGTAAGCCAGGTCAAAGGGAAGGTATAAAAACAAAACCAATAGGTCAGACATGGCCAAGTTTAATATGAAGTATCCTTTTGCGGAACCTAAGTTTTTCTTCTTTGTACCAAGGATAACAGCACAGACTAAGATATTTCCAAGTACACCGATCACAAAAACCACAGGGTACAATACCAGGCGTACTACGCGGATCGCGAGGTGCTCGTCAAAGGCGTAACTGCCGTTCGCCGTTGTATTGTTCATGGTGTTCTTTCAGTTCCTCGTACATGAAAATGAAATTTCTGAAACAAAGAGAGCAAAAATCCAATCATTAGACTTGAGGTTTTGTTTTCCAATTTATGTCATAGTCAATGCAGTAGGAGCGCATGAGAGGTTTCCCAGTGAATTGCAGTAAACGTTTCACGTAAGCATTCTCCATAAGCTATCGAATGTCAAGAAGGTGAAATTTGCTTTCGCACCTCAAGCGAAAAGGAGCACTTTCGAATCTGATCCGGCAAAATTTAATAACTTTTCCCGACAAGCTGACTAAGGGGTTTGTTCGTAGTCAATTTTGACACTTAATTGCACAATTGTATGCAGACGACTTAACAGATTATGTATTTAATGAAAAAATCAATGAGCTACTTTCGAGCAGTGTGAAAAGCGAACCAACTTTGTTTACAATTACGTTGTTGCAGAAATGCTTAAAAACATAGGAAAATCAAGGAGTCAACTCACAACCCTTGTGTTACTCAAACAGGTTAAGAATTGTGAATAAGTATAATTCTCTACCATGGCTAACTTATTTCTGAGACCATCTGAATTGGTAATTCTTTAAGAAAACAAAGTGTTACCATGAAAACATGGAAATGTGAACAGTTACCTTTACTGCGAAAGCCATACCAGAAAAGACACTTTCTTTACCATTTAAAAGGATAAAATGACCCAGTGCGATGTTCTAGGAATTAATGACACTATAAATCCAACTGTACTTTTCAAATCTTTAGCTTTATTCAAATATTATCCGTACCGCGGCTAAAGGACATATTTTTGAACTGTTTGAGTAACAATACACAAGGTGTCAAACCAAGATGAACTGTTTCAGTTTGAACCTATCGCTCCGCTTAGATGAATAAAATTACTCAAAACATTTTTAAGACCAACTTCGCTGGTAGACTTTGTCGAGAACGATGGGGACGAGAATTTAACAATTTATACATGAATCATGGAGAGAAACCCATTAGATACAGCTCGTGAAACCTGGGTCTTGTCCGGTAATGAAACAATCGACAACTTTAGTTCGTAAGTTGCTATAGCGACTAAAAACGAAGATTTATTTATTAGGGTGACTTTTACGTAGGTTTACCTGAGAAAGTATATTGAAGCTCATGAAAACGAAGATTTGAGAGGGAGAGACGATATGTTTGGAATTTTCTAAATCAATCGAGAACTGAAATATCAAAAGTGAGCCGTGGTAAATTTTGAACAGGAATTGGGAGAACACGCTCTGAAGTTGACATGCTATCTGCTACTTATATCAGTTAATTAAGAGGCTGACGTTAAGAAGCACTTAACCATGTCGCAGAAGTGTAACACCCGATACACACGCGTCGAGTTCCTGCCAAGATCTTCCCTGTGCCAAATTACTAGCGTTAATTCTGCTGGTAGTTTTTATCTGCCTTTATCTACCGATATTTTTTATCTTTTTTTTTTATTGAAGACTTTCGAATGCATGGCTTTACTTTGCTTCACTATGTCAAGTGAAGTTTGTGACAGCATTAAACTCATATCCAACTCAAACAACCACTTTAATTGTTTCTCTCTAAACCGCCGTCAGTTTCGAAATAGAGAATTCAATAGATGACATCACCCATCAAATTCAATCTTGCTCAATACCATTATTTTCAGTTCTTTCACAAGATATCATTACATAATCGAACTCTCCTGGTTTTTCCCTCTCAAAAATCAAAACTATATTTGGAACAAATCCCAAAGGAGAACTTGGCTTCCATATTCGTTTCTTCAACCGCAGTTCACATACCGTATTTATTCGACTATAAGCCGAGCGATTTTTACACAAATTGAAACTGAAGTGAGTTAAAATTTGGGCTGTAGAGGGTATACGATTTTCATATATTTACAGAGAACTTGGTTGTTACACAGGGTTTCAATCGTTATCGATAATATCTTCTTATTGCAAGAGTAATGATATTACTTACGGGAAGCTTGCCCAATCTTTGATGTGGAGAACTTGAATAACATTTTTTTTTTCAATCTAATTATGTTATGACGAAGTTCAAAATGGTTAATATTAAAATTTAATGATTGCCGATGAGACAACAATGTCTTGCAAGTCTATATATGCTGCGCTAAAAACATACTTTGATCCCTTATAGTCGGAAGAAACTTCGGCTTTGCACTCAGAGATATATTGCACCATGTATGATGTATTTAATATTTTGAAAACATGGAAGATACGTGTCGATAAATCTGACAACCATAGTATTCAGTATTTAATTAGAAATGTGGTTTGGCAATAGGAAAACTGATTCAGATTTGTGTTTACTGCAATTTCGAACGGTGAAATCAACTTCGCTTATTTCTCCTCGTATCCTTGAATACATCTGCAATGAAAGAACTCTCCCACAAGTAGCAGGATTTTTTCACAATGATGCAAAAGCCACCGAGAGGTGGGCATGAAGATTTTATTTCTTGCCCCTTATTGTCTGCATAAATTGGGTTGTAAACCCCTCTAAGATCAAATGGATCTCCGGAAAACGTTATGGTCGCATGAGGGGTTCTTGTAATGTCCAGTATGTTGTCAAAAAATGATTGACTGAAGACTCTCGATCAGGAATCCTTCATCAAAAGTGGCACAACTACCTATTCCTTTCCATCTTCGGCTCAACAAGACGCGAACAACAACGAAAATATTCGATTTGGTACGTGATGATGTAGATATGGGACCAAACTATAAACAGCATATAACCAGTTTAATTTCTGTGGAAAAACTGAAAAATTAATAGACTAGTTGAAGCTAAATCTTTTTTCCATGATGTCCTGCATGTAACAGAGGGTTAAACATGAAACAAAATAAAGATAGGCGTGAAAAGGGGAACAGATTGTAACCTAGTTGAGTTTAGCTCAGAAGGAATGAAGTGTGTTAAGTCTGTTGCGTCGATAATTCTTGTAGTACAATAATTCGCTTCCACTTCTAATCAATGATAACTTCCACAGCTACTAGATCTACAGCACTGATAAATAAAATCTGTAAATCATCCTATCTCCATCCCGGCTAGAATTATCCTGATCTTGAAGATTACTCATTTGATGAGCGACGTTCGACGAGAATCAAGAAATGATTTCGTTACGCACCTTTTGTGGATGATGATTACGATGAATAAAGAACTAAATTGTCTGCATAATGGTTTTCCTAGTTCAAAATATCCTCTGTCTCGTTATTGAAATATGAATTATGTGTTTTTACGGCAGACGAACCCTTCATTCGATCGGGAAAAAATGTGTTATACGATTTGCTAGATCACAAACAGATGTTAAGTAAATCGAAATATAATCAGGAAGAATTTTCAGCGTGTTATTGGTTCCTTTTCTCGATGCGTCAACAGCAGCGAATTTCGTCGTTAATAATCGGTTTGTCAAAATTAACATGGAACTTGTCACCGCTATTTTATTCCAACGTATCAACGTTTCTTTGATGCTGGAACAGTAATCCGCGGTGTCTTACAGGCAAATGTGGTACGTGCTAATTGTAACTAGCAGTTATTGAATCTTTCTCCATTAACTAAAAAAACGTAGGTGGATTATTTTCCCTTCTCCAATTAATTTTTTTTACGGAAGATAGTTAAAAACTTAATTTGCAACCCTTGTTCTGAGATAATGGCAATTAACAATTGACGTAAGTAAACCGTGAAAAGCAGCAAGACAAATCTGGGGAGGTTAAACAGACACCTGAACACAATCATGTTTTATAGGAGCTCATAACACTGGCTTAAGCTAAAAACATATTCATGTACTTCACTGAAAAACCGCTTCCTAAAATGATTAGTGAGTTGCCTCTTAATTGAGCCATAAAATATTAGTGAGTGGAAGAGAAACGAAGATTTCACAGCTCTATTACTGGACAAAAAAAACACTCACTTCAACATATTTGTGTGATTAAGTTTAGCACGTTCTGAAGAGATTTAAAACAAGGCGTTTTTCGTGTGATAGCTAGACAACATTATTTTCCTCTTCTCCAAGTGAACAATTATGTTTTTTCGCTGTCTAACGTTAGCAGTTAACGCCAAAACGTTTATTTCTTTCTTGGTCAGAAGCGCATTCGCCGTTGGAAGGCTATATAAAATGTCACTGTATGAGTATCTTTTGCTTTAACTTTTCATTTATGTGAATATTTGCATATTTCAAAGTAATTCAATGAGGAGAAATTCATCGAACACCTGGACTATCGAAAATATATTATGAACAATTTCTATCGTAATGAGAAGTGGTTCTAGAGGTATTAAAAATCAGTATTGACTAATTGATATGAAAAGTAGCCTGGCTATACTTTTACGTGATCATTAACTGAGAAAGTTTTCAGTGTTTCCTTCCATCAGGAATTGTGCAAAAGATAACTATCTCTTTCGTAATCCTCATTTCCTTAAGGTTTCTTTCGATTTCCGCTAAAACAGATCAACTTAATGCGGACACATTTTCAGTTTGAAATTTTTAATTTATTTATTGAAGAAACGTCAGTGAATCAGGCAAACGGCTATGTCGCTTTGAACATTAGTAGTATCTCGTATTTATAGAAGCAACGGCTTAAAAATTTTTTTTCAAAGCCCGTTATAAGCTATGAAGAGCAGAGAACACTAATGAGCTAAAGAACAGTTAGTTAACCTGTCGATGAAGGAACAAGTTTGTGTAAAAAGATAAGACTTCTGATGATCCCTGTTTGCGAACAATTAAGCTTTCGCTATTATACGCCTTTAACTTTTTTTCCTGGTTTTTTTTTTTCGAATAATTGAGCATAAAAATCCTGATCTCGCCATTTTTCCTCCGATAACCTACATTTCTTCAATTGTAATCTGTTACGTTAGCTTGCATATATATAGGACTCTATGAGTTTAATCAAACTTTCTTGACTGCACTTGTATTTGATAAGTGTTATCGTGTTTTCCGCTGAAAATATTTCCATCCCCTGTAAGAGTCCTGCAGCTTAGTAGAAGCTAATGTAATAGAGCGGCTTTTCGCTTGGGAGCATTTCTGACCTCCCTTAGTCTTACGGAACGAGCCTCTCCTAGGGAAGGTTTATTTTCCAGGGGTATTAAGAGCAAGAGCTTTCTGAAAAAACTGGTTAGGGGAAGAGGCTGAGTGTCCTGCTTCTGTAATGAGATTGCATTTGGTTTTTGTGTTGTAGATAACAGCAGTAGAAATGAAACATGTAGATGAGGTTTCAACTATCACATGCCAGAATAGATTTAAAGTCACGTTTTAAGCGTATCTCTTTTTTATCAGCCATTTCAGCTTATCTTTGATTCCACGTTTTATACCTAATTATTTTTCCCGACTTGCTAATTATTTTTCACAAACCACCGATCACGCAAATATCAGTGCAAAAGTCGCCTTGATTGTATTGTACGTGAGGAGGGCTGGTTTGGCCAGCCTCGTTATAGCACAGAAATTCTACATGGTATCGGGTTATGTTTAAAACATTTTACACTCGTCGCTTGAAAAATCACACCTGGCATCAGCTCGTCAGTTTGCTGTAGCGCATACCGACAACATTATCGTCAACCTTTGCTTGTTCATAAAATTCCATTACCTTACATGTTCTTTAGATAATCTCCGGGCCAAACATTGAACCTTACTGTAAAATATATCCTAATTTAATGGAAATCAGTTTATGTAGGATAAAATATACACGTTATTTGCATAAGATTTGACTGTCAGTAAGTTCGACGTTTTGAGGACTTTTGGCCGTGCCTTGTAGTATAACTTGACTAAATTTTAGAAGCTGACTCCTTTTTTGTTTCGGCTCTATCCTGTCACCCAATCTCTCACAAAGTAGTATCAACTTTTAAAATCGTGCATAGTCCTTAACTCCTCACCAATTATAAGGAATGTGAATCATCAGCGGAGAAGAAATTAATGTATATGGTGACAAACAATCTAGTTTTCATCCGCTTTAGTGATGAGCAAAAAAAAAAACGTCAACAATAGTCTGTTAGGATCTGATATTGGAACTGCTTTCTGAGGGTCCACTGAACCCCTCTGCAAATTGTTTTCACGTTAGAAATATTGAGGTTTTTGACACTTCATTCATAATCTTTTAGAACTGCATCGCGTTAAAATTCGCGGATGAATTGTTTCTTATCGACTGACCTGTTTTACTCTGTCTGGTGCTTCAAAAGAAACTCGTTTTTGTTGTAACCTCCATACCGCTAGGTCTGTGATAACTTGGATTTCATCCTTTGCAGATACCGTCAATGAAATGTTAGGGAATGGGTAGTGCCCACAATCACCTCCGTTCATGACATACACCAGAGTAAATTTTATAAAACGAGGAAACTCGAGTGAGCTGAAAAGGATAGTTGAGAATACACGTGAGCACGTGGCGCTGTCCAAAATGATATCATAAAAGGTCAGATGTACCAGAAAAAACCTTATTAACTCAACTACCAACTAGTTTAATTTCAATTCTCCGTAGAGTGGAATGGAAAGTAGAACATCTTGACTCACCTCACCTTCCATATGACACATGAACAGTGATTGACTGCTCATGGACCTTTGTGAAGAGATTGGAAAATTGTAGGACGTGACCATTGTCAAATCTGGTCGGTGTAGAAGTCAATCTAAAACTTTTCACCGGTGGATGCCGACACGTAACACTGGAAAACACGACGAAAAAGATCGAAGTAGTGTAGGATTTGAACCCGAGAAGAGTTCAACCTTTATTGTCTGTCAAACGTCATCGCGCAACAAAAGATTACTCAGACTTCGCTAAATTATGCGAGCCAGACGCCAGATTGAAGACATTTGAAAAAATTCAAGCAAAACATCTTGCAAAACAAAAGCTTCGTTCACATGTTATGTTCATTTAAAAAAAACGCTTCCACGTTCGCTCAGAATAAAAAGAGACAGTCACGAATCACGAGTAAATGGAAACTTTAATCACATTTCATGAGAGGAAAATAGCCCCAATAATGTTTCGCGAAAGATCACTGAAAAAGGGACCCTCTGCGCCTCATACTTGTCCATAACTATCAGCTGGAAGCAGAAGTTCATACGACTTTGCCCCTCAAAACAATTATTTCAAAACGATTAGTCGATCACTGGTCCGACTGATAGCTGACAACTACCACAGTGAGCCATTACTGAGTAACAAAACCTTATTTACATACATACATGTAACAGGAGCATCTGGCATTCCGGCAACAACGAGGAACCTTAAACAATCAGCATTTTAAATTTTATTCTATACTGACCGATATCCGTGTGGAAAGTAACTCGTCATGGACATGCAGCGTACTTAGCGTATCCCCATGATTGATATTAGCCAAAGAATTTGAATGAACTAACTAAGGAAAAGTATAAAACGGTAGTTACGAAAACGAAGGATCTTCGTTTTCGTAATGGGTCTTCGTTTTCGTAACTACCAGCATGAAACACAGTTAAGTCTTTGTTTACTTCATCGTTGTTCAGCGCACAGCACAAAGGGCTAGGTTTTCACACCATTTGGGTAAGGTAAGTGAAATTCGGTAAACGGAAGACTAAGGCTAAGGGAGAGGGCAGTGGGGTCCAATGGCTTTTATCCAATACTCCCATAAAACCGACTTGTTCCACTGGATTCATGTGATTCATATGCATAGAGTGAGACACCTGGAGTGGAAGTGTTTAAATAAGGTAAATTAAAGGCGATTGTGGAGCCATGGGGAGCCAGGATACCGAGTGAAAAGATGAATAAATTATAGTCGCTCAAGTATATCTATCTCTGCTGTTGTGCATCAAAGCGCTCGAAGTTATTTGTTCCCGGGGAATGTTTGGTAACTGGGAATCCTTTATCTAGTAGGTATTCCACGTTTCATTACAGCGCACTAATATGATAGTTTTTCATTGACATATTTTCATACGAACTTTTAACATTGTTTTATTGAGACAAAGTTATAAAGTCATAGTACTTCTTTCTTGCGAGAGTGAGCTACACAATTTGACAATACATCAGTGATTGTCGAATTATTAATTGTAACTCCAAAGCGAATAACTTGAAATAATGAGAAAACCGACTATTACGACAAAGTGTTGGTCTTAAATTCTTTGTGATTCGGAATGTCCGAATGATTATTTGCTATGTTTGGAATAGCTTTTTTCTTTTTTTTTTTCTTTAACGAAAAACACATATTTATTTATAGAAAAATTATCAGAAATTATCTTTCATTTTCTTAAATTGTAAGTCCAGGCTTTCACTTGGATTGTTGATAGTAAAAACAATTACATAAGAAAATACTTCCTTGGAAAAAAATTGTTGTGGCTTTTTCGAATCAACGGATACATCGATAAAGCAATTCTTGCTTTATGGCTGTTTTCAAAAAGCTTTTTTATTAATGATGGCTGTCGGGTTTATCTTAAAACGTTGTCTTAACTGATTAAAACTTTCACCCAAAGGAGTCACTCGTGATGAATTGGCCATAAGTAATATAATTATTTAGCGTAGACTTAAAGAGGAAAGATCAATACTGACGTTGAATAACCAGTAAAATGGAGTCACGCAATGAGCCAACTTAGTTCACAGTTAAACCTGCATGAAGAGGCCATCCACGGGCTCCTTTCCAGTGCCCGCCTAACTCAGAGGTGAGCCTTTCAGAGCTTTATTATCAACACATAAATAGGTAATAGTTAGCCTTATATTCAGATCAGGTTAAAAACGCGTAGAAATTCCAAGAAAGCAAACAAACTAATCGAATGATGTATGAAAATGTCGGGCATCAAAGGCTAACGCGGAGAGCAATTTTAAAGCTGTTGAGAGAAATGCAAGGAAAGAGAGAAATGATTTGCTTTGTAACGTCCGGCATGTCGCTGAAACCATTTATTAACCCTTAAATTCCCATGATTGAACAAGACAGAAATTCTCTTTACAATTTCGTTGCAATATTAAGCGAACAAGAGATGAGAATAAAGAAAAATATTGATTGGGGGATATAAGTAGATACAGTTCCAAATATTCTCCGAACAAACATCATAAGAAATGTATGGTTGGCAGTAAGGAGAATTGCTAAGGAAATCTTGGAAGCGAAAGGGGTCAAAAACATCTGCTAATCTAAATGTTTTAATAAAGGCGTCAGGCTTTTAAGTAGACTCTGACAGTTATTTTTAATCTGCATTTGGCTTCTGAAAGTATTTTGCAATTAGATCTGAAGACGATAATTATTCATTAGTGACATATTCGCTAAGCGCCGTTAATCCATCATAAGAAACTAACAATTTACTCGATGTCTAAGATCAATTAAAAGAAAAACTGCCTAGGGTCGAACATAGATAACGACAAAATACACAACGTTTCATAAATAAGAGGAATTGTTTGGCTCATTTTTGAAGGCAAATTTTATTACGGGACACCTGCAGTTGAATGATAAAGAGTTTTATGTTGATAAACTCAATTTTCTTCAGACGAATGTCCAGCCCTTGGAAAACGGAAGACACGCACATCTCTGACACTTTTCTCCGTAGTTTTGAAGCTAAACGTTGATGAAGAGTCATACAGTTAATGCACTAACACAATGCCAGGTAAATATTTCAGTGTTTTAATTACACAAGTGTTCAGCCGGTTAGATAACAGTGCCTCAAAAAGGAAAATGTTTTTTATAATGAGAGATCTAAGAAGTTAAAACTTAAACTTTTAAATTCAATGTACATTTGAGTAGGTACGAGAGGAAACAAATAACGAATTCAAATTTAAAATAAGCTGAATATTTCACTGTCACATCTAGTTATTGTTTTAAGATATCTTCATTACGAAAATACTGAGATCGGTAATTTCAAAATCCACTTCTGTCAAGATAAACTTGAACGTACTTGTTAAACATATCAGTGATGTTTTTCATTAATAGTTTTCCTGTAACTTCAATTTTTCTCGTGGCATATCACAAAAAATCTTCAGAGCCTGTGCAAATTCTCGTCGGTAGAGAAGATAAGATACATTGATCTCTCCGCCAAATATAAAAATATATTACCTCATCGAATAGAAATGTTTGAAATTGAAATTTTAAAATTGTAAGAATTGATTAGTCCGTACGATAATATGGCGCTCAGTTATAATTTCATTCTGGTTTTAAGTGCTTTTCAGTTTTTGTCGTTTATTTACGAAATTTAACAACACTACAGGGTCATAAAACTGCAGTTAACTTTCGCCTTTGAGTTCATTGAAAAGATAATTGAGACCAGGGCGCTAAATTTTGGCGTTTGTTTTTCTAAACAAAACCAAAGGTTACCTATGAACTAGCATTAACTCACAGTGGACCGGCCCCCAACCGATGAGAAACCGGTCGGAGTTTGCTCGACCTTCCTTACTTCTTGTTGTTGGTGTTTTTACTTTTCTCTGACTTTAAATTTCCAGTAAAGCTGCATGGAACGGGTGGACATCATATCCAGAGAAAAATTGAAATATTTTATTTCTGTTTACTGATCATTCGACTTTTTTATGATAACAATTTTGTGTTTATGTGTTAACCTTTGAAATAATTAATTCTTCCTAGTTAGGAATTCAAACATCTATCTTCCCGACAACTGGAACCTGCTGTTCATTGAAAACAGATTATTTAATCATCGAATGTTGCTCAGCGTCTGAAACGTAATGGGTTGAATGGCGAATTGAAGTAACACAGACACATTTTCAAAAATATCCATTGTTTTCTTATCGCAAATATTTAGATTACATATAATAAGGATACAGTCCCTGTAAAGACTAAATCGCTGATGCATCAACAAGTGAACCAGCTTTCGCAGCCGGACTGGCAGCATATTCCGATATCTCAAATTACCCTCCAGTAGCTTTTATCTCGAATGTTTTTCCTTTTTTCTTTTCATAAATTCATTCCAATTTGTCTTTCCTGAGAATTAATACTAATCAGATTACAAAAATAAAAAACATATCGATGCGTTAAGTGAGACAAACTCAAACAAAGGCATAGATATGCCTCACTGTAAAATGAACGCATTTTCAGCAAGCTCTTCGCTAAAAGGAAGCATTTCTTCTATGTCTGAAGGCTGAGTGAGAGTTGTAGGTTAATCATTTCTATTGGCAGAACTTAACTGATTGTTTGATTATTTATCGAAGTTGAGCTAGATTTTGTAACATTGTTCTGAAATATGTTGATTTTTACGAAATAGAATGATGTGTGTTTTCATCGTTTCCTGAGCAGTCATTCAAAGCACTTTAGTGCCAGCTGCATTATAGATAGAGGTAGCTTATATTTCTCATCACATATGCAGAGAAACAGGGGTGGTTAATAGCTTCAAATTGGTTTATTCGAATCGGGAAAGAACAGGGCCTAGGCGCAAGAAGAACAGAAATTGAACAACGTGAGTTATATGTCATTTCTTTTCCTTTTTTATTAAGTTTCCGACGGAATTGATTACTGAGGCCGTCATTTTTCCAACATATCAAAGACTCTATGAAAAGAAACAATTATATTGCATGCACGCCATGTCGACAAAAACATTTAATATCATCCGGCTAAACTTCGTAGTCAGAGGTCCTCCCGATTATGAGGCATGGAGGCGTTAGTCAGCCTGACCAATGTCAAATAATAGTTTCTTTTAGGATTTTAGTTCTGTGCAATGTGTCAAATCTTCCCACCAGTCATATATCAGAAACACTTTAGATATAAGGATCGGGTCGCATTAGAGCGAATTCAAATAACTATCGACTCAAAAATTGCTAACAATTTTGCGTTTTCCGAAGTTCTGCGACAGTTACATCAAACTAATATCCTTTGACCAAAACTCCACTGATTGATTCCTACGTTAATCACAACCCATCTCGCTCTAGAGGAAACTGAAAAAAAACTCGGGTTCATTTTCCTGCTAATCTTTTGCGTTGTGGTTCAAGATTGCGTTTCTTGAGATGGATTCGATACTTGCGAATGGAGGAGAGTTTCTAGTTGAAGCCAAAGGTTCTCCAAATTGCTGCCAGTTTAACAGTACCCAGGGTACCAAACACAGGCATTTGAATTAAAAGCTGCACCCAAAGTCGTTTTCTTCGACAGAAAAAGGTTCAGATGAACGAGGAGAATCCTGTAACCCCGCGTCAAAGACAAGCGGACTAAAGTTGACAGATTTTTTGCTTAAACAAACAAAAAAGCCCTTGTGTAACCCGTGCCTAACAACTAAGATCAGGATTTATTCCAACAACGTTATGTTCAATACACCTTCGATGTATAAAGAAACTCCTGACGAATACTAAAACCTTTGTCTTGATCCGCAGTGTGCATACAAAGTCGAATTGGCATCAGAGAAACCGTCAAGAAGTATCGTAATGAATTCTATACATGCGCATAAAGATTTATGTAACTCGAGGGACTGTTGATCATGATGACTTTCACGAGAACCTTTCGCAAAGAGGCTTCGATGTTCCAATTCTACTGCGAAAACGTTCACCTTGGCGCCTAACATTGTTTTTTGTTTTGTTTTTTTCTTTTTTTCAAAAAAATATGAACTTATTATGTCCGAAATGTGAGAGACGATTTTTACAAGAAATACCGTCTGGAATAGAGAGGAAAATCTTAGAAAATACTGCAGCTGTGAAATTAAGAATAGAAACGATTTCCTTGACAGGCCTAAGAGTGTATACTGTCTAATAACGACAAAATCGCAAAATGTGAAATATTGAACCTTTTGCAGTTCGTGACGAGCTGTCAGTCTAAATATCGCTTTTAAGAAATGATTGAGATTGTTATTGAACCTGGCAGACGGTTTAAATTACAACCAGAAGCAAATCGTGTATTGGTAGCGAGCGCATTTTTATCTTTATCATATACACGCAAATTCCACCCTAAGTCGATATCAGCTGATTTTTTTGCTGCTCTGCATTAAAAGACTCAACTTGTTATTAGAAAAAAAGGGGGAAAGCGAAATCACGAATTGACCAGAGACTTAATCGTGTCCTTGAAGAAGTTGCATTGAAACAAAATAGAAACATATAGCCTTACCAAATGATTATTCAGTTGTAAAGGCTACTCTGCTTTACTCAGTACTCTTTCGTTTGATGGTGCTTCAGCCCGTCTGACGGATTGATGCATTTTATTCATCACAGAAGGGCTTATTTGTGAAACATCGCTTTAATTTGACTGAGACATAATAACATTGACAGAAGCTTTTAGGCATAAGTATAAGGGTCCAATATCCTCACCGCAATAACCATATGAATAATAAAGCTATTCCAAGTTTTTGCTGAATAATTGCAAAATTTAACCAATTTCCTTAATGAGGGTATTTCGGCCTTCAAAAATTAGATTTAAAAGAAATGGATAAAAACGACAGAGAAAAAAACCTCTAATTTTAAATGTTAGCTTTATTTTCCTTTTTTTGTTGGCGCACATACCTTACACTGGTGAACAATTAACCAATGGCGTAGCGGTAAAAACAAGGATGATTAATATATTTATCTGTGCAAAGAATTGTCGTCAATTTCTGTTATGATAATCATTTTATGCTTGAACAAAATTGCAATCACTTGACTTGACGCGTGGTAAGATGCATTGCATAGCTGACGAATTCTTACCTTAAACCATAAGCGCTCGACATGCACGGAATTTGTAGCTGACTTCCATCAGGGGATCCAACCACCGTCGTGGAAATATGTGAGGTAACTTGAATAAACGGCGTTATAACATTTTTAAGAGTTACAACAACAGTGTATAATAATTGTGGAATATATGAGTTGTTTTGTTGACATACTTTGCTCCGAAGACCGTTACTTTGGCTTTGTGTAAAATAGACGCAAAATTAGTCTCTGAGCGAAAATCGAAAGGTTCAAATTTGTTTACCGAAAACTGTTGTCATCATCTTCCATAGCACACTTGTCCGATAACGAAGAAACACGAGTCGGACCGGATCTAGTACAACTTGAACTGCAGTAATTTAATTTGAAGTCTAGTTTTGATATTTGGCAAATCCAACAAAACAAACACAATAAAATTCATAGGATGTAAACATCAAATGGCTTATGTGCGAATGCTAGAAATGCAACTTATTGCGGATGAATAATGACAGCTGCTTACTGGCTTGACGGTTATACTTGAAAATTGATCGCCCCAACATGAGATTAACCCTAAGTACAAGCATAATTTTTTTCAATTTGGTGAAAATTTGTGACAGTTTGCATTTGAAATAGAGTAAGTAACCGGAGATACCAAAAAAACTAATATCGTATGCCGTGGAACTCACCATAAAATGTCGCTTGGTCGGTCACATGACTCAAAAAGCCATAAGACAAAAAGGAAAAAACAGTTTTTTTTAAAGCATCTGTACAGCTAACTCGTTATGACGGTCATTTGAGTCCAGTTCCATGAAAATAGAATTTTATTATCAGTTAAATAATGGAGCCAGCTCTGCTTTTCACTGAGGCAAAAAAAAAAGACACTTGAAAAATGAAGAAGACTGATCTTGAAGATGGCTACACCTTTGTACTCTCTTTAGTGCGCGGCGTTCAGGCGTGCGTGTGAGGCCTTTGAAAGCTATAAAATTTGACGCGCAGTCTACAGGGAGGACCGTGGATCTTAGGCGAAAGGTTGTAATTTTGACCCGTCACCTGAGATCATAAAAATAGATCATGTCTTAAGACGAAGAGGTGTCAGTATCTTTAATTACGAATTGTCGGTAGGAAATTAAAGGAAAATTTTGTTCAAAGGTAACATGTCTAATACAATATTGAAAAAATAAAGCGGCGTAGAATCTAATTAACAAAGGTCTTATTATGGAATAAAACTGGCAGAAACGTGAGTTACAAAGATATGTCAATTTTCGTTGGTATACATGTTAGATATGTGCGTTTTTGCTCTTTTCACGTTGGTTCAAGAAATATCATGTTAAAATAGGGTCATTAAATTGCTGATGATTAACTTTCCACATGCAATATTACAGTTTTTTCTCTATTGAAATGTGGCTATGGCGGTGAAAACAGCTAAAGTAAAAGAGGATGCTCTTCAGAACTAGACTTCGCTTTGGAAAATTCATTGCTAATCAAGAGGTACTTTCCCTCTTCCCAAAAGATTTCCGTGATGTCCATTCAATATGATAATTATTCTAAAGTGAGACACTACTTTGAGCTGAACATACATTTACTGAAATTGAAGAAGAACATCATTCTTGACACTCATGCATGATCGACAGGAGTACTTCATGAAAGAGACTTAATGCCCAACGATATTTATCGATTTTGTCTGATTTTGCGGATTTCATAACATGTAGGCTGAATAGCCGGTGTATATTACACAAAATGGCATCTACTATCATACAGTTGAATTCCAATTCTGAAACCCTCGGTTTCTTCAAACTCCTCGACGATAACTTGCACGAAAGTGTCTTTCCGTCTCGATCAAATACTGTGATTTTACCCCGCGTATTCCTTTTCACCCAGAGGTCTGGAGAATGGGGTTTTAATTTGCCTTCAACAAACGAAGTAAAAGAAATCGATAACTGGATATGTTCATTGTACTTTACATTTCACATGATTCCGAGAAAATTTGTTCTGCGTTTGAAATACTTCTTGCTGTCAACACGTCAATAGACCTTTAGAAAAATTTTGAAAAGTTCGCTAAAGCCTCATATCTTATTGATGATCTTTTGCAACACGTTTGATAAGTTGGTCGTCGAGACGTTCCTCGCCCTTTTCAAAGGAACAGCTGGAGATATAGAGACATTTACTAAATCCAATAATTTGATGTCAGTGCAGTTTGATGTTGAGTTACTACACAACCCGTGTATTCATTTTGGTGTTACAACCAAAGGTTATGACAGCACTTTGAATGTAGCGAATCATAAAATTATCAAGCATTTTTTTTAGCATTTGACAAAACAACTTTTGTAACGCATATTATTGCTCCTAATTATATTTTCTTCACATAGGTGTTTAGGATCCTTCTTGTTCATGAAAAGAATACTGAGTAACCAAGAAGTTCAGGATAGTATTTAAGACAACAATTTTCAGCTAAAGTAAATTAAGATTAAATAAAAGACGTAAAAACCGTGAACAGCCAATCCTATTACGGAAGACAAAACAATTCCACTAATCGGATTTAAGGATCACCTATTGTCGTAACTTTAAAGTTCACCAAATGTTGCGTAAATACTAAATGCAATCAAAGAGAAATGACGTGTTGGTTTGAAATCACAAGAAACACATACCAGATTGATTTATTGTCAGCAGTCAAGAAAGCGTATGTTTTTCTCACACATTTAATTACGTTCATAACAAAGCGTTTCTACTCCTACATCTCCAGGTGTATGCCTAAAAAAAAAGGTCAACAAAACACTAACTCAACATGAAAGCCGGGGAACATTTATTTTCTTGAGGTCGCTGATCAGCATTCCTAGTAAGGCATTACTATTTTTTAATTAAAAAATACTGAACGATAGAAATTTTGAAGTGCGATTCTTTGAGACTATCGCACTGGACTATTGAATTTAAATTTTATTTCTGCCAAATAGATGCAATTTCAAAATCCAAACACTTACCGCTGTGAACCTTTGTTATTAAGCTATCGTAGCTTGAGCGGCGGTAAAATATAACCAGCGGTTTATATGGAGATGACATTTCGTAAGTTAGGCATTTTGAAAAGTAACTATTAAACTGATGAAAACTAATCACACCTTCTCACATAACTCGAGTCCGAGACTGAAGAAGAAAGATCTTAAAAGTAAATCTATGGACGATAAAACAAATTGATAAATGATCAGTTTCCCACTGCCAGTAATAAAAGCTGACATCATTTCCTGGAAACAAAACAGTTCTTTAATTTTTCTATAATAATCTGATTTTTTCTGAAATCGAAACGTCCTCGAAGTGAAAGACGCCCCAAAATACGGTTGAGGAAAGCGTAAATTTAGACGTAAGTGACTGTTAACATTAAAAATTTTTACGTGCAAAGTTCGCAGAATAACTCCCTCACCACTTCGTTAAATGGATTAGACTTAATCATTCAAATTTTGCAGTGCTCATGCAACCAAAACGCACTTAAAAATAAGCCCTTGTCAATAGCTTTTGTGATCGAAAATTTAAGTGTAAGTAAAATATCTCACACTAAGGTAATCATGAAAATTGATCACTGAAAACGTTACTTTCTTACCTCACAAATTAAAAACGCATATAGAAAGTACAACTTGAGAGCATGCCCTGAAATTCATCGCTCGTTCCTTCCTCATTAACCGAGCAGGTGAAACAAAAACAATATGGCTTTTTTTTTTTTTCGCAGATATAGCTTTTATTTTCATAGTTTGTCTGCCTCCTTACCGCTTCATTGTGAAGCGGATATTTGTAGCTATTGGAAATGGTTTAATTAAACCTTCGCTGTTGGCAATCGGCAAAACAAAGTCATTGTGAAATGCGAGTCAAGAAAATTTGGTATTAGCATGGCGTGAAAATACTTGCTGAAAGGTCAAGCTCTAACCCAGCGTGTATACCTCTAATGCTTTCAATTTCAGTTTTTTTTGTATGACATACATTAACTCTTCGCTTCACAGAGCAGTGGCTATTTCGACCGACGAAATCAGCTGAAATGTGTGCTCATTCCTGTCGGAGTCACAGTTCAAATCAACACAAGGTATATCAATAGTTTTGTTCGAAAATAATTTAGAGCTTCGGAGGTTTTAACGTTAAAAACCCGATAGTACCGTTGATTTCAGTTTGCGGTCTGCTCTCATTTTTGTGCACTTCAATCAACAAAACAGATCTTAAATGTATCTCACATGTACTTAAAGAAGTGTTCACCAAGCGGTTTTCTAGCATATAGTGAAGTTCCAAAGTTATACATTAATTCTGAGGAATGTTTTTCTAGGCAAGATATCCTGTTGTTGTGCAAATTGTTTTAGGACTTATCATATACTAGTCCACTGAACTCATGTTATTCAACCAGACTGCGTCAAGAAAAGTAATTAGATAATCGGCGTCTCCTGCTACGCAGGGAGGAAGTTCAAGTTATAAATGCAAATGGCGTAACTCGTTTTTGTTTTTAATGAGAATAGTCTATCTGATAAGTTACCTAAATTCTCAGTGTTTTCAAAACTAAAAAGCATGGATGACACTTAAACATTATTACTATCATTATAAACCGAAGGAAACGGCGACTGAAAACTGAAAACATGCATTATCCATTATCGCAGAAAATCCTGCATGGAAGTGCCACCGTTCGCGAATTGACTAGAAGCGAGAGTCGGTGTATTACAACATCCTTTCAAAATTCTTAGCAACAATCGCTATTTATTGAATGTTTTCAATTATCTTACAAAATTTTTGCAAAAGTTCATTTCAAGAGCGTTCATATAAAGAAAAACCGAATTCAATACAGTTCAAATTATCGGTAATTGATATGTTAACATCATCGAAAAGAAAATCTGGGAAAAACGTAAACAATACCCTTTTGCGTGTTTTAAATCGTGAGGAGCATTGAGCTTTCGAGAACATTTTTTACGGACGAGCTATGGATGAGATGATGCCAAAAGCATGCAATGAAGCAGATAGAGTGCAAGAAAGGGAGGGAGAGGGGGAGGGGAGGGGAGGGGAAGGGGAAGGGGGAGGGGAGAGGAAAGGGGAGGGGGAGGGGAAAGGGAAAAGGTAACATGCAGGGTCTAGTAGCGGGCCGTGGTTTTCCATAGGGCATGAAGTTCTGAATTAGTGACGAAAAATTTAGCAGAAACGTCAGTGAAAAGGATCTTATAATTAAAAATGATCTAATACTTTAAGTTTGCAAGCCTTCATCATATCAGATGGGTTTCTATTTCTCGCAGAACGATGAGCGATAGACATAAAACACTGAATTGATGTATCATGGCCGACAACAGCACAACGTCTCCTACTCCTTCCCAGGCTTCTGCTCTGACAGCCGGCAATGTTGGTCTCATTTTATATCTGTCTTTCTTGGTTGTAATTGCTTTGTTTGGAAATGGCCTGTTGTTAACAGTAATTGTCAAGAGGCAACTTCTACAAAACGTTCATTACTATTTCATACTCAGCCTAGCTACGTCAGATTTCCTGAACGCTTTGCTGAAGATTCCCACCACTATTCTTGGAAAATTTGATCGCGGCTGGTATCCAAGTTACATCATCTGCTACTTTACTACTCCTCTAGGGGTACTTTTTGGTGCAGCGTCCGTTTTCAGTTTGTCAGCGGTAGCCGTCAATAGATACTTTGTAATTTCGTCACCGCTGAATTACTCGGACAGAATGCCGCCTTTACTAGCCAAGATCATTCTGGCCGTGATTTGGCTCAGCAGTTTTTGTCTCGCGACTCCACCTGTGTTGTGGAGGGAAAAAGAAGCAATCTGCCGTAGTGGAAACATCTCGAAAGAACATTACACTTCTGAAGTGTTGTATTTTTTTCTAGCGTTATGGCTATTCGTGATCCTGATTCCAAGCATAGTTATGAGCGTGTCGTACGTGAAAATTTATTTGATCGCTCGTTATCATGCTTTACAAATAGACTCACAAAACCAGGCCAGTACACTGTGCCAACAGACAAAGAAAAGACGAAAGGATTTCAAAGCTGCTGCGGTGTTAGCCGTGATTGGTGGAATTTTCATCCTTTGCTGGTTTCCTTTCTTCGTCGTGCAGACTGTTCACAAGTTTGGTAAAAGTAAAATCAGTCCGATCTATTTTAACGTTTTCTTATGTGTCATGTATACAAACTCGGCGTTAGACCCTATTCTGTTGTTTCTTTTTAATGCCGAGATACGAAGAGCATTGATAAAAATGCTCTGCAAAGCGCTCTTCAAACCCAAGGCACTCTCATCTCAATCAGAGCTGTCTTCGTTTTTAAATCAAGGAACATGACGGAAGGAAGAAAGACCAAAGAGTGATCCCGAAATATGATAAATAAGAGCTGTACTTATGTAACATACTGAAAACGGCGGTAAAATGTTTTAAATCTTTCTATTACAGGTCGTCGTAATAAAATGCTTCGACCAAGACTCTTATCTAAAACACACCCAAGTAAACTAGCGAGGAATGTGACACTTGTCAGAATATCAAAGGAGGATACACCAGTAGATTCTATGATACAAAGTTTCTGAAAGATAACCATCACTAACTTAATTACACATGAAACCGTTAATAGACAATAGAACACAAATGTACCATGAAAAATTTCTGAGGGAAGAAGTGAAATGAAGAGCGTCGATAAACACTTGGAAAATGCGAACACAATATGCCCAAAGCAAAGGGTTGTAACTTTTAAGTGATGGAGAAGTTTTAAGCTCACAAAATCGATATTTCAGGTTTAGGCTTTACTTCAGATCATTTCAAAAGGATAGATGTTGAAGCTTTGTAAAGAGATTGATGTTCACATTAGTCTTAAATTTGTTTAAAGTTCACAACTAGACTGACTGAACACAAACGAGTGACAACAGTCCTTCTCAGGACTACACTCATCCGGATGATCAAACTACACTATTACATGTTACCCCTGGGTTCAAACCATTTACTGTTTTAAATTTTAATTCAGAATTTTTCTACCAAAATGCCAAACATTTGGCTTAATCTTTCGGTCATCCTTGCTTCTTCAGTCATCTGAAATATAAAACAAATGAAATTATTTCAGTCGAGGGTAGTTTACACCATAGGCTTTTGAAAGCAATATAGGAGTCATACCGTAGCTAGGTTTTAATTCCCATCGTATATTGTGGATCAAAAGCGGGAACCTTTCAAACTCCTGCCCATTAGAATACTTCTCATGAAATTTGAGCATGCGCAAACTTTACCACCTAAGGTAGCAGATGACAAGACATCACTCTGCTCCGCCAGCCACACCCTACAAAATCTGAAATTTTGAACACGCACCGACATGTTGACCCACCTAGTTGAAGCAGAGTCCCCATTTCTTGTCCCTGCTGTAACTAGGAGTTGTTGAGCACCATTTCCTTTTGTATCTGTGTCCATCAGTTGTACAAGAATGGTATAGTTTATCTTTAAAACGGAAAGGAAACTCGCAGCATTTCCCACGTGAATTTCCTCCATACGTATCGACGCCGCTTTCGCAAGTTTCTAAAAACAATGTTCTAATGCTTGATTCAGCTCTAAAAATGTGTTCTAAGATCCCTTAAACATTCTGATATTTAAGTAGTGAGTACATAATTCCTTAGATCGTTCCCCAGTTGAGCGTGATAACTAAACTTGCCGCGCAAAATTTGGAAGAGGAAGCCTCAGTAACTGTTGGCACTGAAAATTCTTTACGTAATCACATGACAAAGGTTCTTTTACAGCAAATATATATAATTCGCCACTCAGTGCACAGTCTTGGGTACCTCTGGCTACATTACAGCGATGCTTTAAGCCCAATTATTTTGTTCCCTCTGTGTGAAATCTTCGGCAATCTCATATGGTATTATTGTAATAATAACAATTCTTAGTATCATGGTTATACTGCTATCATTATCTTAATTACTATTAAAAAAGTATACTCCAACACTTTCTTGTGCCTACATTCTACAGCATACACCAGTACGTTTTTCTTTTGTGACTTTGAATTCAGAACATAAAACTGACTTACCAATCCAGCACTTGTGAGCCATAAAAAAACTCCCGTAGTCATAAACAGAGCACTTTGCAACATTGTTCTTGAAGTCTGACTCAGCCACTTGGTTTCCAGGATTGAGTTGAATTCGAAGAAAAAAAGCTCCGCTGAAGATGCCGGTGTAGTCGATCCACTGACAGTCAATCTTATGACTGTAAATATCAAAGCATCCGGGAGATAAGCCTTGGTCACCGCCCCTGGTGCAATCCCATTTCTTCTCGAAGCCCGGATCACAATCTGTATCTTCCAAACAAAAACTGGCCTTATGCCCGTCAGCGGCTTTTCCCCAGTTACCCCGACCTTTAAAGCAAAAAGCGATTTTGTTATATATAGATAAAAGATTGAAGTGGCAAAATTGTGGAACAGTGAGAATATTTCGTTCCACCTCTTTGACAAACTAATCGCGAAGAAACTTTTGAGGTAAAAAATAAAATTAATCAACTGTATAACGATCTGGCGCCAATAACGCTTCCAACAAGAGGAATTAGTTTCCAAATGGTGGATTCGAATCGCGAATTTTTTAAACCTGGAAACATACTTTTTCCTTTTCTCGAGTTATTTTTAAAATGATACCCAATTTTTCGTAGTTATTTTTCCAACAACCTCGGCGATCTTTTTTTAAGCTCCTACTGAGTGTGGTATCGATTTCTTGTAGATTTCGACGGTGGAGTTTTGACAAACTAATTGAGGATTTTTTTTCATTCTTTGCAAGAGAAAATTCAGGGACATCATTCTTTTCTGTTGTTCTACGATTCCTCTTTATTCTCATTATGAAATTGGAATTTAATGAAGATAAATATTTTAGCCTGAAAAACTCTAAGCGAAAATCTCGCTGAGAAAATGTACTGATGGATGGAGCATGTCATTTGATAACTGAGTCCTTGCGCGCAACTGAGTTAAAAATTAGATTTCTAAAATATATTCATAAATTTCGTTACAAGAAATAATTTCGAAAAACCAAACATCAGCCGGTCAGATCGAAGGAAGTGTAATGAGCCATGAGAACAAAGATGTTGTTCGTGAGACGAGCGCTACAAGCACGGGAAAAGTGTACATCTGATTAACTAAGAATTTTAGTCTGGCTCCTTTTTTAAGGAACCAGATCCTGAGGGCAAAGTGGTTGAGTAAATACTACTGAAACCATTTCGATCTAAGTTAGACACTCAATAGGAAATCTCTCTATCCCAAAAGACTAGCTGACAAGAGCAATCATGGCTCGTACTCACGTAGCAGAGCATAGGTAGCAAATGTCTCCATAGAGTGATGGTGGCCATGACACTGGTGGTACTGCCAGGCTGACCTGGGCGAGTTCGGTCGGAAATGGTCCCATCCTCTGTTTTCAATCTTTGTTGTAAATCGTAACAGTTTTCGCATCCGGTTTCGCCTAGCCCCACTTGAACTGAGTGGCAAAAATGATTAGGATAGGTTAATTTGTACGACTATTAATTCCAAATTAATATTTTTATTAATTAATTAATAAAAATTCCAAGCGTGAAGTAGAAAGGGTTAATGGGAAATTATTGCTCACAGTCGTTAATTGTGGAAAACTACCAACGGAGCTGGCATTAAAAACATTTGCATAACATTTCCTCTTTAAATTTCCTGAACTGGCCTTGTAACAGAAGGCTAACTCTGGGCAAGGTCACTAACGAAATGTCGTTGTCAAATAAGTCCAGGAAATGAAATATTATAGTCAATTTTAAGCAAACACTCAAGAGTTTCTGGAAGATTTTTCGTGAGATCTCGAGAACATCACAAAACTCAGTTACATCACTGTTACATCAACACTTCGTTAGTTAAAATCTTACCGTCAGGGGACAACATACCTAAAGAGAACATCTGCACTTTTTGCCAAACAGTTCTCCTCATATGCACATTGCAGAAAGTCAACGTGGAGTGACTGCGTACGCATCTCTTCTCTCAAAGCTTCAGTATCGATGACGAGATCTGGTAACTCTGTTAACCAAAAGACGGTACACTGATTAGTCCAAGCTGTTATCGTTCTCTTTTTCTTTCCCTTCTTTTCATCTGCTGCCTTTACAAAATCATCTGATGGCGGATTTTTCATATAGATTTATTTATAATCAGCTTGGAATTATTATTAACAGATGTCATCCGACTCTAAATAATTCCTCTTAATATCCTAATTCTTAGGATACTCGCTATTGCTCCATCGACTACCTTAATTTCAAAAATATTTCTCCTGTCATTTTAATGTAAAGTGGTATAAGAAAGTGCCCCATCATTACATCACCCTTAATGTCTACTGTCGAAATACTCGAGCTTGTTCTTGTTTTTTTCCACGTGTATAGTCCTTGAAAGGGAAGACAGCTTTCCTCTTGTGCATTGAACAACAAGAATAACCCAGAAACTGTAATGAATGGATCTGAAATCAGTGAGACTTATCTTCTACGGAAACTGATTTCATTTTGTTTGCTTTTACGCCAATTAAAACAAAATTCGTCCAGGGATACAAGTTCTCAGGCAAATCTGAACGGAAAAGTTATTGAACCTTACCATCTATGCAAATGACTCCTGCTAATTTGTGTTTGTGGCTGCAAGTTGTATTGTCCCACTGATGACGTTGACAGTTGTAAATGGAGATCTCGTCCACGCGACATATTACTCCAGACATTATAACTTTCAGATTTGTGGGGCCAAAATAATTCTGCGTAGCTGCTTGACTAGCGTATCCAAGATTCAACTGTCGGCACACCACCATTGCTTCTTCTATTCGCCAGTTATCTGCACAAACAGTTCCCCATCGTCCGTCACGAAAAACTTCCACTCGACCTTCGAAGGAATTTGCACCACCAGCGAGCCTAATCTAGGAGACAAGAACAAAGCTTGAAATTTACGACTCGAGACTCGATTCCTGTTAAATTGCATCATTATAAACAACTACATATCACGTTGTGGTAAAAATGGAAAGGATACTTTTGAAACCCACCCTTGTTCTGCATATTTACATCATGAAGTTAGGTATGTCCTTCATTGGTGTCCCCCCCACCCAACGGCACTACTTCAGGATTTTTAGACAGTTCACCAATAGCTATCATTTTTTCGTGGCAATAGAGAGGCGCTGTAAGACAAACTGACCACTCAATCCATCTTTTAGCGCGTTAACCAAAGGCGAACGCTTTTTCTAGTATCTTACATCAGTTACCGTGATTCTCCTTTTCATGGTGCATAACTATTTTTGACGCATTTAACTTTGCATGATTTTTGAGGTTTGCCCGTCGCATCGTCGTAATATACCAAACTGAAAAGTCGTGTGCCTGAGTTAGCCTCTCATATAGCGCCTAACTTAAAGTATCTCAGCCAAGTATTTGGGTCGGAGCGACCACTTCACACAACTTCAGCGCAGTCTTGGATCAGCAGTGATTGGTCCTCCATCAAATTTGTATTTAAAATAATTGCAACGGAAGTTGTTCTTCGTTTGTTTGAAATTCTCGCTTCTCTATGGTGTTTTGATCCCTTACCAAACTATTTTGTCACAAGTAGCTTTGTATAATTTGAAACACATCTGAACAGAATTGTAGTTCCCTTGAACTGAGTTTATGAAGTAGAACCCTTTGCAATTGAAAAAAAGTTTAATATTTGTTATTTAAACAAATCAATAAATTGTTAAGAAATCCAGGGATATAACCTTATGGCCTTGAAGTTTTGGAGAATGACATTTGACGCTAGCGTCTTCATAGTGATTACATTCTGTTCTGCGCCAACCGTGATGTTGACATTGGTTGATGTTTCTCTCGTCACCCTGACAGCGTAAATTGTGCAGCATCTCCTAGAAAAGTACACAAATACGCTTAGTCAATTTTGAAAACACTCATTTGTAATGCTTCCATGGTTTCATGGTAATATGAAAAAGAAGTGCGATTTTTTCCCTATTCCGTATTTGAACCCTTATCTTAGCCCCATTCCCCCGATTAAAATCAGGTCATTTGACCAAACTGCCTTCGACTTTCACCCAACATCTTTCGCTAATATAAATATATATATAACAAATATAAATAATATATTGAAAAACATATCAGTAAAGAACTTTACCTTTCCAATACCTCTCCCAAAGTACGCGCTGTGGGCTGCTACTGCCGCTGACCCATAGCCTAAAAACCTGCAGATTACATTAGCTTCCTTCAGTGTCCAGTGGTCGTCGCATATGGTTCTCCATTCATTACGGTACTTCATTTCCACTCGCCCCTCAGAAACCATGGCACCACCTCGAAGTCGCACCACTGGAGGCTACGAATGTGCAAGTGAATTTTTTAACAATGTTAACTACCTGTCCAAGTAAAATTTAGAACCGAAATTCTTGCTTCTGTTTTTGATGTTTATTTGTTTGTTCCATCATCTCTGCAATCAAATTAATATTTTGACAAGTGTTATTGTCAAAAAAACTACTGAACAAGAGTTTTAACCACCTGCGTGATATTTTTGCGCGCGCATTTGATCCTCAGTGCTCCTCCAATCTCACATTTGTGGTGAATCCAACCTGCATGGTCACACGACACAATCGATGACTCCCATCCTTTACATGTGACTTGGTCCAGCCAATAGACGGGCTCCAAATCTTGGATGGTTTCTGTATAGGACCCATTTTTCTCAGCATTAGGAAATCCCAGTTGGCCGCACAACACGAACGAGTTCAGTTGAGTCCACTGAGAAGGACAAATGTAACCCCACTCTCCCTCGTGCTCCACTTGAACGACACCTTCTGATATGTAGTCATCAACAACTGGGCCTTGTAACTTTAAGTTCACGTGTATCACCTCAATAAAAGAAGAATCGAAATCATAACTTAAATGAGCAACAGATCTGATTTTATTACATCCTTGGGGTAAGGAATTAATTAATACTTTGTGAGTTTTCGTCAAAGAGACGGAGATATATAAGGCTTATCATGAGCCGGGTTAACCCTTTTACACCCTATCATCAGTATGCATATTCTCCATACTGTTCTCCATACATTTCCTAAGATGCTGACGGGGAGAATTTGGTTAACAATCAAGAGCTTCTTCAGTTGGTAATCATTTCCTTTATTCATGTGACTTTAATGAGTGATGCAGGAGCGATATTGTACGGAGAAATTAGATAGTGGTTACTCTTACGGGTCAGAAGGTTAATGTAGAGATGTGATAATTAAGTAGGACGGTATGTCCGTCACCCGATTTATTTATTCTATTCTCTTTTTAATCTCAGCTTCATTTGGTGCAAAGTCATGCTCACCGAGACTTGAACCCAGCCAAGTCTATCGGATGGTGCACCACTGAGAGTATTGAAAGCCACACGTGCTTTTTGAATACCCTGCCAATGATGTTAAGAATGCTCATTATGGCTCGCTTATAAGTGACATAGTATTCTTCATACCTCTCCGCTGGCTGATGATGGCTCGGGCTCGAATATTGTGTCACTTCGATGTAGCTTGCATATAACACCAGCCTGATGAGTTGAACGACAGTTGTGTTGTCCCCAGTCTCTGTGTGAGCATCTTTCAATGTCATATTCTCTACCACCGCATATGACGTCATCTAACCAAAATTTTCCATCTCCACGACCAAAGGTTAGGTGTCTAAGGACATTTTAAGCAAAATGTTAAAAATTGTTATAGATGCTGTTTGGTAAGTTATCCACACAGGGAACTCCACATAACATAAGTTATCCGCATAGGGAGATTTATTTTCTGCATACAAACCCACAGACAACCCACAATTCCTCCAATCGCTCTGACGAAGGGCTAACGCTCGAAACGTCAGCCTTTTAACTCATTACGGTGGCCTATTCACGTTTTCAACTCAGTTGTTAACACTAAATTACTTGCTATTCTCTCCCAGCGACACAGCACCACGGTCTCTTTAGAAACCTACCCCTTTTACACATAGGGAAAACTTTCCTATATACTTTCCAAATCGCTATAGGGGTAAGTTTCTAAAGAAACTATGGAAGTGCGTCGGTGAGGGGTAATTTCGTGTCATCACCTGAATTGATAATGTAAATTGGCCCAGAGAAAGAGATTTTAAAGCTGACGTTTCGAGCGTTAGCCCTCAATCAAAACGAATCAAGGGGTGGGGGTTATGTGTGGTTTAGATACCGAAAGATGGAGCTACACCATTGGTTGGGACATATGATAACGTGAAAAACACAAGAATAAATAAGTAAGTTTTTAAGTTAAAATAATCATCTTTATTGTCAAACTTCTCCTGAATTGTTCAAATGGACAATTTCGTATGGTCGACCTTCAAACTGCAGTATGCATGACAAGCGTGGCGAGTGCGAGACAAACGCGAAGTGCGTGACTTGCCCTTCGTGCTGTCATCGCTCATGCCTCGCTTTTGTTATCGCTTACCTGAAAATTGACAGAATATTAACGCTCTTTCTGTTTCTGTGTTCCCTATGCACTTAGGAACCTTTAAACACCACGCATACAAAAATCATCAGCACAAAACACTAGAGGATGACATTTGCTGACCCACAAGATAGAAACGTATGCTCACCCTTTTGTAAAGCGCAACGCATCTGGATATCCAAGCATTCTACAAACTACATTGGCCGCCTTCTTGTTCCATCCATGGTCACAAACTGCTCTCCATTCGTCGTCGTATTTCACCTCAACTCGGCCTTCAAACTCGTGCTTTCCACCAATAAGTCTCACCTCTGTGCCACCGGCAAACCTCAGGCAAGAGACGAACGCGATAAGCAAAACACACATCATGTTGAGTCGATCTTCATTTGGTGCCGTCCGTTGCATAAGTGAACAAAACAATGTATTTTTATGGGTAGACATTGATAAAATTTATAAAAACGTAAACATCACTAAAATATGAGTAAAAAACTAGCTAATAAAAAATCTGTAATGATGAGAGTAAAAAACTGTGAAATTTATAATAGAAAAACAACTATCTTTTGTATTTGAAAATTTGTGTCGACATCTGACACGCAAGTAAAAGTATCAAATTCCCTTTTGACATGTGGTACTTTTGACATTACGCAATGTAACTAGGGGCTTGTCCGTTGAGCGCTTTGAAAGTCAAAAGTAATATCTTGTAATCTTGTAGCCCATAACATTCCAAAGAACGCACGCGAGGAAGACTACAAGTATGAAAACTTTCCGCGAAGAAGGATTTGAGACAAAACAAAATAAAGGTGCTTTCATCAAGTTGTAATAAGATTAACAAACCATGGAGATCTTAGAAAAGCTTAATAGACCATGATGAGATTTTTTGTAATCATAATTGTCAGTTACATGTACTAAGAAAGAATATAAAAGCGGTTTTATTTGAGAGTTGCAGTGCTTGAGTAACAACTTGGAGTTGGGTTTGATTCGCTAGTTTAATATTCAATATAAATTCCGTGTTTCGAACAATTGACTTCGGAGTCATTACATTAATTATCTATTTTTGTAACGTTCCGCAAACTTTACTCGTGATTTACCTATTCGCTAAAAAAATACCCTTAATTCAAAACTAGAAAGAACCATTTCTCTAAAAATGAAACCACAAAAAGTATTACCTATGTATGTGATTCAGTCCCCGGTCAGGGGCGCTTCCATATCAATAATCAACCGCTCCTTAAAATAATGATCAGTTCCTCTTCTCTCATGACCCTTACATTTGATTCAAGCGTGATGTTGTAAGGAGAAATTAGAAATCAGTCACTCTGTGAGCTAAAGGGTTAAACAGCAACGTCTTCTTTACACTCATCCTTACTTTTTGGAAAATAAACAAAATAACGTCGAAAAGACGCCGGCTCAAAACCAATAGAGACCCCGATTCATCTATTTCAACGGCAGTCAACCAAATGTTGGTGTGCTCGCAGTAATGCGAAACTGCTTCTCAGTGGTACTGTATTTCATGGGTTGAACGCAAACTGCAGCAATATATTGCACTGAAACAGTTGGCAATTGATGACGATGGGGGAGGGGGGGGAAGGGGGTGAGTGAAAGAGTAAATGATTTGGAAACAAGACTAAAAAAAATGTTGAGGGTAATTTTTAACATTCAATAAGAACACAAATAACCTGCGATACGAAATGAAAAGTAAAAGCAGTGATATTTATTTGAACAGCAAGCTCATTAAGATAGAGCGAGCACCCACGCTGAGAGCATTACACAGCGAGCATAACTACATAACAAAATGAGGTTTAATTGTGAAATTTGATCTAAAGAATGTGTTATGATGGAAGTTAAGGAAAGAAAGATAAGATAAAATAAATACTTACTCGATATTTAAGGAAGAGCAAACATCGATTGTGTAAAAAGAGTGAAATAAATACTAGAGGAGTAACAATCACATGAGCATGTTCACACGTAGCTCCCTCGGACATCTTAGAAATTATAGAGATTAACGATTTTTTTGAGCGGCTTAAGCTCTTAGAAGCCTAGTGAGTGAGGAAAAATTTCGTGCCTGAATATTTCTCGTATACGTAGGCAGAAAGATGTTGACAATGTAGTGTCAAAACTTTGCTTGTAATTTGTATAAGTTACACCAAACTCTCTCAACATTGAACCATGTAAACCCGGAGAGCGTGAGAAATATTATCTCCTACTAGCACCGAATTAAAATTTCCTGATAGTCATGTCTCAAGACATCCAAGCGGTTAAAGGCGCCCAATTACTTAACTTTCTCTGGGGTGGGTAATCTAAGAAAAATGCGCTCTACGCTTCCTTATACCTGGACAACTTTAACAGGTACATTAGAAATGTAAAATTTTTTCCAGAGATTGTATAATATATTTTCGAGGCAAAAGCTTGTAGGAAACAAATTCAATTGGCAGAAAAAGGTTTTGGAATAAAAACACTGTTACACCGAGTAATTCGCAGTATCTTCAGCTCCTGATGCAATAAAAGTTATACAAAGAGTTGCCAACAAAGGTTGCAACAAAAGTTGCAACAAAAGTTGCAACAAAAGTTTGCAAACAGTTGCAACAAAAGTTTGCAAACAGTTGCAACAAAAGTTTGCAAACAGTTGCAACAAAAGTTTGCAAACAGTTGCTAAGGCTTCCGAGGGAGAACTGCCAGCAAACGTCCAAGGCTAGACATGCTCGACGTAAACCCCCCCCCCCCCCCCGAAGGTGCTAAATGTTAACTGAAGGCTCATTTGAGTCATGTTATGAGATCGACAAGTAATAGTAGAAAAGTAATAATAAAATATGATAACTACTTTTTAAGCTTACGATAACTCTATGGTTGATATATTGCCAACATTGTAGGACACAAAAATCCTTGATTTCCACCCCTTCCCTACTAGCAACGACTTGCACCTCCCTCCCCTCCCGCCTTGAGCAAAGTCATATTTCACATTGCATTCGATATATGGCTTTTGAAATAATCATGTTTGGGATGCAGGTCAGTTTAATATTTTAATCGTAACATATTCCCCACTTTTTGTCTTTTTTAAACTCATAAGTGGTAGAGCACCACCTTTTGATAAAACCATCCGTGGTACAGTCATGATAGAGTTTGCCTTTATAGAGGAACGGGAACACGCAGCAGTTCCCTCCGGAATTTCCACCGTGTGTATCGATCCCACTCTCACAGTCCTCTGCGAAGAAAACAAACAAACAAACTCCGATTGTTATTTAGAAACCCCTCTGAGCAGTCACAAAGTCCAAAAACGGTGTAAATTTGAAAATATATATGAAATTTTTATACCTTTATTTTCTCATAAAAAAGAAACTTTTTACAAGAAAACAAGATATATATATATATATATATATTTATATTTAATATGCACAATGGAGAATGTGCTTCCGTTTTCAACGCTTTATTAAAGACCCGACGCGTTTCGGCATTTGCCTTCCTCAGGGGCCTTAACATGCAATTGTTACAGAGTCGTAATTGGTTAATTGTGTGACGTAGTACAGTGCATGTTGCTTAATTAAATGCTGAGTAAAATCTCTCGTAAACAATTAGTGTTTCTAATTGGTTAACAGTTTTAAAACCTTTATAACGTATGTTATAAACAATTTATGTACCTAAAACTTTATAAAGGTTTTCGCGTAAAAGCTTTATCCAGTTCTTTTGTTTAGTCCATATGGCTGAAAGGAGTTTAATGTTCTTTGCCAAAAAATTTCTCTTTCTCTAAGGACTTCTTTCTTTTTGTCAGTCTCTAAATGATCTTTTCGGATTTGCTCTATAATGGTTATGGTAACATTATTGTTAAAGTCGTGAGTTCGTTTGTTATGTAAAAAGTGTTCCGTGAGTTCGCAGCTACTCACTCCCTTTTTAATATGGTTTCTGTGATTGTTTAACCGTAGGTTAAATGCAGTTTCGCTTTTGCCAATGTATTGAAGTTTGCAAATGTTGCACTCGATTATGTAAATGATCCATGACGATTGGCAGTCCACTGTATGAAATATGGTATAGGTCTTGTTGTTATTGGGACTGGTGAAAGTTGTGGTCTGGTTGATCTTTTTACACCAACTACACTTCGTTCTTTCACATGCTCTACATCCCTTTGGTATCAAATTCTGAGGTGTTTCATTTACAAATCTTGAACGAACAAGTCTGTCTCGTAGACTTTTCGGTCGTCGGTAGGCTACTAAAGGTGGCTTGTTGAAGATGAGTGATAATCTTTCTTTTGATTTGAGAAAGTTCCAATTTCGTTTAGCAATTTCTGCAATAAATGTGGTATGGGGGTTGAATGTAGTAACCAGAGGAATTCGATCTGTTGGTTCACGTTCTTTGGTCTGTAAACATTCCTCTTGAGTCAATGTTAGCACTTTCTGCATTTCGTGGAGAACTTTGCGTTGTGCATAACCACACGCTATATATATATATATATATATATATATATATATATATATATATATATATATATATATATATATATATATTCGACGACCTATAGTCATCGATGAAAATGCCTTAAATTGGAAATGAAGTTGATGAATACGGGAGATCATCATCTGTTACATCAATCTTGCATACCAATATTTTCAGTTTTCCCGAAACAGATAAAAAATGATAAAAAAAAATTGCGCATAGTTTCCACAAAACAAAACGCTGAAAATCTACCATCTTCCTTCAAGAGCAACGATCGGCGCAGGACACTCTGTATCTCTTTACTTAACTGTAGAACTTGAAAAGTTCGAAAATTGGAACATAGTAGTTTTATTGCTTCGTTGATGTTCCGGTACTAAAGTTAAAAAATCACAAATATTAGTTCGTAGTTGAGATATCAGTCATCTCTGATGGAAACTAGAAACTTTCCGTATTTATTCAGTTACCACACTATTGTTTGCAAGAAATAAATTGGATTCTAAATAAACGCCGCCCTCGAATAAACGCCACACTCGAATCACGAAAAATATAATAAACGCCGCGGCGTTTAATCGAGTAAATACGGCAGTTCCCTCAAAACACAAAAATTGCCAGCATGTAAAATAGTACCCCTGCAAGAATTGAATACTTTACGGTAGCAGAAGATTCATCACGTTATTGTGATCTATTATCAGACTCACCCAGCCAACACCTGAGTGCATAAACATAGGTTCCGTAATCATACACTGAACATTTGGCTACGTTGTTCTTGAAATCTGATTCAGCCACTTGGTTGCCTGGATTGATGTGAACACGAAGATAAAACGCGCCGTGTACGAAATCAGTACAGTCCACCCACTGGCAGTCGATGTTATAGTGATAAATGTCATAACATCCTGGTGATATGCCCTGATCTCCCATATCAGTACAGTTCCAAACTTTGTCAAACCCAGAATCGCATTTGGTGTCTTCTAAACAGAAACTAGCTTTGTGTCCTTGGGAAACCTTTTTCCCGCTCCTCTGACCTAAAACGCAAGGAGTGAAACTTAAAGACTTTATTTAAGCCCTTATGGTAGAATGAAACAGCTATATCATCACCTATCAAAACTCCTATCTATTGGCTGACTCAATATTTGCCCAGCTTAAGTGAAAGGAGGATCTATGAGGATTTTGAAATGGTTTGTGATGATTTCCGGAAACGTAGCACATCCCACGCTAGCATCTCTCAAAAACAACACAAAAAGGAACTAAAGCACCGACGAACAATAGCAAAAAAAACACAATTGTGTGAAACAAAAAGGTCTTTATCGGAGCTTTCTACAATTCTTAAAAAAATGAAATAAAATAGGATACAACAAAGATCAAAATATAGTTAACCAAAGGGAGAATTTGATCGTGTTCCATTTATGGAACTGATTCATTTCGTTCAAACACCGTCAGCAGACCCAATACATTCGCAATTTAAAGTGTCGCCATGGTGATTGACTATTTCGTTTTTACCTTTAAACTGACCGTTGGTTCACGGCATCAGCAATAATTTGTACTTACGAAGGAGGTCGTAAGAAGAGAATGTTTCCATGGAGTGATAATGTTGGTGGCATTTGTGCCACTGCCAAGTTGACTTGTCAGCTTTTGGTCTGAAGTGATCCAACCCTCTGTTTTCAACTTGAACACTGAATCGTAATAGTCGCCTGCGATAAGTGTCTGAATATCTGAAACCGACATGAGAACATGATCAACGTCATTGTGTAAGTCGTAAAACTGTTGAGACAAGGTAGAACTAAGTTCTTGTCTACAAATATTTTTGAAAATTTTACCTTAAAAAACGTGCTGCAGACGGACTGAGACAGTTTTCTTCCATAGCACATCTCAGCGCCGATAAGGGAAAAACATTCAATTCCATGTAACTTCTGAGAATATCGGTGTTAACGACAAGGTCAGGTAGAGCTAAGGAGGGAAAGAATACTTCAATCACGCGACTCTATTTTCTGAAAGAGATTCATAGATCTCCAGAAAAAGTCGGGAAGGGATTTCGATCTCGTTTGAGTGAGCAAAGGAAAGGTTACGAATGCGTGTTAGACAGCTACATCTCTGTGAAAAACAGACCGAGTGAGTACAAATAGCTACTCATAGGTACACAAGAGAAATGCAAAGTCATTGTTGAAAATTTTCTGACCGTCATCTTTTTTTATCGAGTGGCTATGGCAATGGTATAACTTATGATGTTAAAGTGCGAAAGCACACATCTTTCATCATCAAATGACCATTCCCTCAAAAAGAAAACAAGTTAACTTCACAACCACTTTAACATTTCTGCAAATTTCTTTCGTTAAATGATAATATAAATGATAAAAAATCACACGCGTCTGATTGGCTGAAAACAATTGTATTTTTCATGTGACAAGAGTGCAAAGTTGCAACAAGAATAAAAGCGCGCGCGCTGCCAATATTTCGTCCGTCTTGACCTTCTGTGATGCGTTTTTCATGTAAATTATTAACAAGCAACATCATGACATGATTTCTCGTGCAACTTGGTGAAAATAAGCACCTGTAAATTTTCAAAGAAAAAAAAACTACACGAGCTCGTTTGAAAAATTTACTCTTGTTAATCAACCCCAAATTGCACGTGAAATCATATTGTTACCTGTACGAAATGGACCGCTAAGTGCCACGTGCAAACTCTTAAGAACCATAATACTGAGTGTTATTGAATATAGCTTTTGTATCACACGTGACTGAACATGCAAAGAGTGTAAAAGTCTTACCACTAACGCACACGACTCCAGCTGACTTCTTCTTGTCACTGCAGGTGGTGTTTTTCCACTCATCATGCTCACAATGGTAAATAGAGATATCGTTTATATGACATTGAACTCCAGACATGATAACTTCAAGATCTGTTCGACTGAAGTTTTGTTCCGTAACTGCTTCACTGGCATATCCAAGATTCAACTGTCGGCAAACTGTCATAGCTTCTTCTATTCCCCACCCTTCAGCGCAGACGGTTCCCCATTTTCCATCATATAAGACTTCAACCCGACCCTCAAGATGGTTTGCGCCGCCCCTAATGCGAACCTGCAACAGAAGGCCAAAACTAAATGGTACTTGTGTGAACTTGTCGAATCCAAAGTCAACATGCTACTGCCTTCTTAAAACCAAACGTTAGTGTAAAAGCCTATTCTCATTTGCTGGCCAAATACAAACCAGTATCTTTTTAACCACATCAGTTACACAGTTTCGTTATTTACTAGAACAGTGGATACCGTGGAAGGTGCGCTCTGATTGGCTACTCGAACTCTGAATATTCTTTGTTATTCACCTCTAAGCAACTCGCGCCGGAAAAATATTGGAATCGTCGCAGGAATAAATAAGTTAAAATCATCTTTTCATGCTATATTTTCTCATTGTTTTAGTATACATTAATATATCATATCAATAAAGGAATTCCACCAATATCCCTCTTTAAACACCTCAGGTGGGAAACATTGATTTCCTTCCTTGCTCCCAGCAAAACAAATTGTCCAAGTTACCTTTTCACATGAAATTAGATTTCATTTACGGTGATATACATATGATATACATATACAGACAGATGTATTATTTTAGTTAACATTATATTGCCTACCTCATGGCCTTGAAGGGAAGGCACGTGACATCTAACACCAGCGTCCTCGTGATGATTACAGTTGGACTTGAGCCATCTTCTTTTCTTACACTGTCTAATACTCTTCTCAGTACCCACACAATATACATCATCGAGCATGATCTGAGTTCAAAATTAAAATAACGAAATCAACGGTTGTCATTTCCTATATACGTTAACACGTAAAGAAACACAGCTACCTCTTGGCTTAATAGCAAACCACCGTTTGGGAAATGAGTTCACGCTTCTCCCCCTCCTCTTCTCTCGGAAAGGCACAGACTCGAGAGAGATGGACATCGAGCATACGGTTCTTCCCAGGTTGGTCCATTGCAAGTTTCTCCGGGAATTTGTCATGATGGCTTGACACATTACCCCGCCCATTCCGTATTGTGTGCTCGCTTTTTTTTTGGATAAGGCTCTTAGAGAATTTTTTTCCTGGTACAGTCGGCTCTCACCTTGCGGACACCTCGCTATTACGGACACCCCGCCATTGAAGACAAGAGTCAGTCCCCCCGGCGAAACGCATAAAGAAATGACTGAAATTAACTCTCGTTATTACGGACTCTCTCTATTACGGAAATGCAGACACTTTCATGCCCCCCCCCCCCCCCCCCAGCGCGACATTTTACTTTTTTTTTTCTCTCGCAATAACGGACACTTGAGTACGTCATCCAAAATCCTGACTCACATGATAAAAAGCGACATTACGACAAAGGAAAATAAACAAACCGTTCTTCAATTGGATGCGAACATGAAATGATTTCTGTTTGCGGCCGGATTTTGTCCGGTTCACGAAGCCACGTTAGAATCTTTCTGTTAGCATAGTTGCATATTATTTCATATGTACAGAGACAAAATGATTTTTTTCTCTCGTACCCCGCTATTACGGACTCTCGTTATTACGGACACGTCTCTGAGAGTGTCTGCAATAACGGGAGTCGACTGTAATCGCTTAATACTCTTAGCCCGACACCGTTACTCGCGGTAGAAACAGTGCAAATAAATAAAAAAATAAAAAATACCACTGAGTATAGATTATTGTAAAGGTAGACGACAGTGTTTCCTGGGCATGATATAATACCTTTCCAATTCCTCTTCCATAGTACGCATTTTTTGTTGCTATTTCCGCTGTACCGTAACCCATTGACCTGCAGACCACATTAGCTTCTCTTATGGTCCAGTGATCATCACAAATGGTGCCCCAATATCTGTTATTCTGTACCTCCACACGCCCCTCCGATACCAGGGCCCCACTTCGCAATCTCACGTCTGGTGGCTACAAAGAGGAAAAACAAGGTCCAAAAGTGCTACCTGATGTCAAAAGGCAGCAGTGTAGTGGCCCAAATTTCTGCAGTGAAAACCGAAACCTTGCAGTTTGGCTGCTTTTGCTAACATTAAGTTTTACGTCTAGAAGAAAAACTGGTGTCACATGATGAACGCTGTCCGATCTCTTGAAAGGATAACCGCAACAAAGAGATCAAAAATTGATACAAACTTTTGTTTCCTGGCTTACAGACGGACCCTCATTGAATGTTTAAAAACGAAACAACCCCCCCTCCTGGCTCTTCGGTAAATCAGGGTGTAATGCGCGAGGCTGTAAAATAGTCCTGAATATCTAATATCTACTTTTGAAGCTTCTCTTACTGCGCTTATTCGCGTTGTGCAAAACATGTAATCTGTTAGTGAATAAAATTATCTTTCTGGTCCCGTGCTGCCGATCTGACGATAACGGGCGAGAGAGTTAGCTTTTTTTCGTATTCAGTGCTTCAAACAGGCAGTATTTAACTTTCACATTGCGCTATCATCGAGAGAGAAAGCCCAAAGCAAGTTAAATTCGATCGAAAGGAAAGCATAAGACTTGAAAAAAAATAAAATTCCGATAGCTGCTTTAAGACTAGAGAGATTTGATTCCTTTTGGCTTCCCTGTATCTGTTAACTGCGGTTTGTATCAAGATACTCACTTTTTTGATTAATCGTCTGACACACTCGATCCTCACCGCTTCCCCCTCTTCACATTGATGACTACCCCACCCTGCATGGTCACATGACACAATCGATGACTCCCATCCTTTGCACGTCACCTGGTCCAGCCAATAGACGGGCTCCAAATCTTGGATGGTTTCTTTATGGGACTTAAGTTTCTCAGCGTTAGGAAATCCCAGTTGGCCGCACAGCACGAACGAGTTTAGTTGAGTCCATTGCGAAGGACAAATATAACCCCACTTTCCTTCATGCTCCACTTGAACAACACCTTCTGATATGTAGTCATCAACAACTGGGCCTTTTAACCTTATGTTGACTTTTGAAACCTGTATTGAGATTAGAAAGAAAGAAACATGTCATGCAATCTTGGATTCCCTTTGCGTGAATGAAACATGTACGGTTTTTTCACCATCCTTAAGAGGAGGTCTATTCCAACAGAACCAACACAGATCCGCCCACAGTTTTTTTTAAAGGTTGGTCTTTCAGGCACTATAAACAAAAACGTTTCTTAAATCATTAATTGGTAGATACGTATATTTTTCGGCACCTTTTTGAAGTCTGATCGATCATTGTTTACGCTATATTCTAGACTGACTTTTTTTTTCATCATAGTCCGGAGAAATAAAGCGTCATATAACGATTGATTTGTTCAAGTAATGCGCACCCTCTGATTGGTAGAGGATTACATCGTGTCTTGCTCGCTCTCATTGAATCTACAAGCAAAATCATTGGAAATTTCAATCTAGTTTGTGATTAGGAACCGGATTAAAAAATGATGTTATCGACTAAATTTAACAAGATTATACCTGACCGCTGGCTTGCGAAGGCTTGGGCTCAACAATGAGGTCATTCAAACGCTGTCTGCAAACAGCACCAGCCTGACTATAGATTTGACAGTTGTTTCGGCCCCAGGGCCTATGCGAACACTTATCAATCGAATCCTCCTCTCCAGAGCATTTGACGTCATCAAGCCAGAACTTCCCATTTCCAACGCCAAATGCATGATGCCTAGGGAGCCAAGCAAATGGAATACTCAGAGTTAACTTGAGTTTGGGTAGAAGTTGTGAGATTTAACCAAAATTAGCCATGTGTTGTGATGATTTTTAAGGCGCGAGTGCTTATTTTTCAATTTCCTTGCCATGCAAATGACTTTTACTACGACTCAAACTTGAAAGGATGACTTCTTTGAAGGGCTTAGATTGTGCTGTTACTCGGAGATGTCTGTTGGGAACTATCAAAAAACCCGGTTCCTGGTGATTTGACAATCTGTGTACCCTAGTAACAAATTTCACAATGATCAATTGTATATGGACTTTATGTTAACCAATCCTTAAATTGTACATACATTAAACATCCCCGCAGACTTTGCGACGAGTGACAGCCAATGATGGTCATGCTGACTTGCATACCGTAGAACTTTCCAGAACATTTCATCCAGTCACGAATTTATTATGTAATATTACTAAACTGAACAGTTATTATATAAGCTTCTGGAATGTTCTAGAACACTTTGTGAATATACATAAAGACTCACTTATGTAGTAGCAGAAGTAGTTGTTGTTGTCGGAGCGACGACTATTTTGAAAGCTATACCGAGAGAGAATTACTGCGGAAGATTGCTTATTTCAAGGAACTTTGGAGACAGCAGTGAGAATGTGTCAGTGGTGAGCCAGGATATAGACTGTGGTGGGCTTAATTAAGTTTATTAACGATAAGTATTGTATTGTTTTTAGAAGTCGCTCCTTGTTAAGAACATTACTCGCTGTTTAATAAAGTAGTTGAGTTTGTGGGATTGTAGTGTTTCTCTGTCCGTTAGATTATACCATAACAGTGAATTAAAATCGATTACTACCGAATTTCCGTCATATATTAAAAATGATTTCATCCGCAGTAACTGGAATCCTTCATGGCAGGAACAAGTTTTCATTTCCCTTCAGAGCCCAAAATAAAAAAATAAAATAAGAACGTTCAGCCTCAGCCCCAAAGTCAGACGTTTTTATAAAAAAAAGATAGTGTACTGTATGACAGTTTTTTTTGGTCAGAGTGGTTCTGTTTAAGTTAATGCCAATTGGTTGCTGCGAAAAGCCGTTCTGTGAAACAAATAGCCGAGATTTACATGAATATTTGGAAGGTGGAAAGCTGAGAGCTAGAAGGGTAAAAATTTCAAAAAGGAAGTCATTTCGACAAACGATTATCATTCATCACGGACCGTTTAACAGCAAACATGTCAATCAAATTATGGTAGCGAATCACTAACCATCCTCGATCTTTGATTGGACAAAGAGAAATACAAGATGGACAGAGGAAAGAAAGCTCTAAATATATATTTTTCCTTAGCATTACATCTTTTGGTTCTCCAAAATTACCAGCTATGCAGGATGCAGGCTATTCAGTGCTCAAAATTATATACATGTACCAGATGTAAGTTACGCAATAGTTTAAGACTGGTAACAGAAGGCCAGCACTTAACGACATACTTTGTAGAGCAGATACACCAAGTCACAAATGCATTAATAGTAGCAGGAGGGTGTCTGAGAACGTAATAACATCTCACGCAGTCATTTTGTTATCTGACATGAAACATTTTTCAATTTGTTGCCCATATATCTTCACCGCGGGCATTTCCGTGCGAAGACTTAGTGTCACACAATCTTTCCTCCAAGGGGCAAGAGATGAGCCCAAGAGAAGATCTCTACTCAGACCTGTACAGACAGAACTCCAGCTTAGTCGCCTCCCAATGACTCGTGTTCTCACGGACAATTTAAAATGGCTCTAGCGGATGAGCCCTAATGCTAAACTTTAGTCCATTACGTAATTGCTGGGTTCTTTTACAATTAAAATTAAAAATAACATTAGCCATACAGTTTCTTAATTTTACTTGTTGAGTCAACTGGAATTTCCTCTTATTCATGACATCACCAAAATGTAAACGGTCTTACAAAGAGTCGCAGACTGAGCTCAAAATTATGCTACTTACAAAAATTTCAGTGCAGCCCTAAACAGAAACTTTTGACCATCAACCTAAGATGTTTCTTCAGGTATACAAGCAACAAATCATATGATACAGACCCCTTGGTATACCGCAGCACATCGGGGAATCCAAGCATGCGGCAGACTACTCTGGCCCCGTTCCTGTCCCAGCCGTGATCACAAACAGCTTTCCACGTACCATTGTATAACACCTCAACTCGTCCCTCGTAAAAGTGCTTTCCACCTTTTAAACGAACTAGAACGCCTCTTGAAATCTCAATGCTTGTCAGTACTAATCCGAGTAAAATCCAATTCATTGCACTTAAAACGTCGATAACGAGAATTCCAACGACAACAACAAATTCGTTTCGATCTGTTCCACCAAAATAATTCGAATCAGCTATGTAAGCAGCGCGAGGACAAAGGTATATGCGACATTTCACTCAATTTATCCAAAACATGAAATCAGATCTCCCCCGGGACTGCTGGTGAGTTCACTGAACAGACATCCCTTGTTTCAATTCCAGCAGTAGTCAGAACACAATAATTCTTTATGATGTCACAAAACGCTGAGAAGCGTGTTCACAGTATCCGGTTCCAACGTCACGTTCTACAGCTTTTGGAAGCAGCGGGGAATGAAAAAATGTGTTTTTTATCATGCATTCTTACTAAATGATTGGTTGTAAAGTCTGAGTTTGAACGAAGACGAATCTAAAAAAAGAAAGTTGTGGCCATTATTTCATATATCAGTTCATGTCATCACCAAGAGCACGTCTTCTGGAACTTAGTTTTTAGCTTTCTTGACAGTATTCATTCATTTACCCACCCGTCTATCCACTTCTCGTTAGTACGTTGGTTCGTTTGTTCATCAGTTGCATACATTCTTCACTTGTTGTTGTTTTTGCTTTTGTTTTTATTTTGTATGCTTTGCGCAAACGAAGGAAAGGTGGACAATGTAAGCAATTGCAATCAGATGAAATGGATTCAATAACTCATTGAATTTTTGTTATGATTAGTGCGAAGCCGAATCTTCACAAAGCCTTAACGTGCTTGTGATAAGTCATAAAATTTTTACCCTAAACTATTCAAATCAACGCCTTTGCTCTGTTGATCTTAGAAATTACAGGAGCCCAGCAGGGCTCCTGGTTGTGGTAGGATCGTACATGTTAGTGGATGTTGACTGAGAGCGCGGAATGCAATATCTGGATTTTGTCTGATATCATTGGAAAACAAGGTGAAAACATTGATCATTCACTTGAGCAGGGATTATGTCTCAATAAAAGGTTTTTGTGTTAGTGTCATTCACTTAGCACGCGAGGAATCAATTAACCGTCATTTGACCCCAGCTCACGAGGTCAGTGAATCACACAGACCAAGAACCTGATGTTGTATCTGGAAGAACAGAGAACCCACTTAGGAAGCATCGAAAATAGCACGAACACAGCTCTGAAAGATTGTTAAGAGTTTAATCAAGATTCTTAAATCCATCTGAAAGTGATTATCTACTTACTGATGATTAGATTAGGTTCTCTCTAAATGAGCATGTACAGGCCTAAGGAAGAGGGCACAAATGAATATGTGGGAAGTCACTCGCATATTGGGAAGAACTTTTTAGAGAACGACCTTCTATTTTCAATAGCTTTGAGTTGTAAATCTGTATCTTGACAACAACCATTACAAGGAGTTATTTCTCAATGTTTACTCTAAAAGGATTATTTGGGCCGTTTCCACCCCGCCATTTTATGGGCAAATTGTGGGCCAAAGATTACGCGATAAGGTACGCGAAGGAGACAAAGCAATGACTTTAAAAGGATTACTTAATGGTTTTGAGAACTTTTCTTATCTTTTAAGGCTGTCTTCTTAGCTCAATATCCAAAGATTCACTGCCATATGGCTGTGTTCTCGGTCTGATGAGTGAGTGATTGTTTTCTGATCCTTCAAGTGCCTTCTGATAGGGGACGTATCCAATTTCATTTTAGGGCCTCTCGTACGACTGTCATTTGTCACGCGCGGTTGGCGCCAGCCAAGGAAAACCTTCATCGTGCAGGTTTTTCTTTGGTTGTGCGTTTCCGAGACTCCAAATTTCCGCTTTGGATTCGCACATTTTCATTAAAGAAGGCGTATCCCAACATAACAAAATTCTTTCCTTGATATTAGGCCAACATATCACACCGTATTGACCCACGAATCGCTGTTGTATTCGTTTGTATCGTGGTGAGTTCAACCAAATACAATATGGCGCTGTTACGGTATACATGGGTAGTTCTTCTGCTCGCCGGCGTTACTAGTGCTTTGACTGGAATTCGCCTCAGAGGAGGGAAGCATCAGCACGAAGGTCGGGTTGAAATTGAACATGATGGACAGTGGAAAGCAGTATGTGACCATGGATGGAACAAATACGCAGCTAGAGTGGTATGCCGAATGCTTGGGTTTCCAGACATGCTGCGCTACACAAAAGGGTTAGTTGCACAATTGTTTTCCACCTAAGTTGTCTGCGGGTTTGTTATTACTCAAATCGTGCAAAGAATGGTTTCTGAATATTTCGAGGATTTTAGTAGTGCTTGCGAAGATATATCCTTGTTGAGCAAGTTCTCCTGACACCATGCAAACCAGCGCTGGCTAAAAAAGTTTTATTTTCATTTCACGTCCCAGCGAATCGAATTTCAAGTGATCGTGTCGACACCTCATAACATATCTCGTGTTTAAACTGTTCACAGTGTTCTATTTCTCCGTTTTTGTGTTTATGACGCGCAAAATATTTTTGCAGTCGTACTCTTGCTTCCACTAACCTTACTCGAGGTTTCTTTCCTCAGATGAAACTACAGTCTACATCAATTTCTTTTAATAAAGTACATATTTCTCTAGTTTTTCGAAGGTTCGGCCTCATTCTACGAGATTCTAATCTACCTCACCCTACACCCTTGGATCTTGGAAGTCGAATTGTCTTAGCTCCTTTCTAGAAACAAATTATTACATAATGTAGTAGATACGCCGGCTAAAGCATGCAAACTCAATGAACAGACTAATTATCGTACATCAAAACCACATGCACCTAGGGTTTCTCCGATTACGTTAGTGTCTCGAGCAGTTTTAGCTTACATTATATTTATTATTTATTTATATAGTACGTTATAAAATCTCGCGCCATTACGCGATAGGGACAATCGCCCTATTGTTTTAATCAAGACATTCCAGCTGCTCTGTAGATTCAAAACAATCATGGCACAGATTACTTTCTCATTTCCTCCGCGAATCGTTTCATACTTCTCATTGGATGGATCGAGTCAGGTTTATTTTTTTGTACTTTTATCAACAGTTGAACTTAAAAAAGTCTTCAGAATACTTTTTGGTCATAAAAAAGACAAGAAAGAAAGAAAAAGCTATGCTTTGTAATATTCTAACCGGCCCTCCTTCAATTTCTCTTTTCTTTTTATTTTTAAGTCAGTCATCAGGTGCTTTGCGTTTCCGTCAATTTAACTAAATGTGGTTTTCAGTGTGCCCTTATTCGCTGCTCAAATATAGCATGTTACGTCATCATGTTGACGTAAAAAAAAAAAAAAGAACCGATTTTCTATCTAACGGCTCTTTTTTCAGGCCGGCAATACCGGAAGCATACCATGCTTTTCAAAGACAATAGTTGGAGATGTACCAACTTTGTTCATTGTTTATTGTTTGAAACCGTTACTCGAAAATTCCGTTCTTAGTTAGATATGCTAGAGCTCGGAAGTACGATGCTTTCATCCTCCCCCGCAAGGAGTCCACTGGAAGAAGTTTGTCTTTCTCTTCCTTTGTAAACTCGCCAGGGATATGTATATGCCGGAATTGGGTTTCTGTTAAATTTGTTTTTAACAAAACAGTTGTAGGAAGAATTTTTTTCGCTATCATATTTTTCAATCATTTGTTGTAAAAGAGCGGGTGTGTTTCGAGCTCAGAAACCAGATAAATGAACAGCTCTTTGTATGTTCGCTATATTTTGTTGTTTTGAAGGCAAGGGCAGCGATACAGGAATGAAGCATGTGTCGAATGAAAGCATTGGTTTATGACCCTTTTTCCAAAAGGCCGCTTTTTCGCATGTAAGCTGCCCTTGTTCGCTCTCAGTAATTTCTAAATACAATTCTACAAAGAACTGTGCTTTCCTGCTCAATAAAACAGCGCCTTACAAAATTTCGCGCCTTACAAAATGTCTTCTTATCAACAGGATTGTAGAGAGCATTATCATTTTTTAAATCTAGCGCCTCTCATTATTTTTTGTCAAGCCTATGCAGTGGAGCACCAGTTAAGAGAAGTCATATTCTTGAAGCATGACAATCAAAGCTGATGGAATCCATGGAATATCAATCAGCGAACAAAATAATTATCACTGGCACGAATTACCGAATGCATTTATCGAATACCTTACATAGGTTGCTTGATCTGAAACGTCTCTCTCTGAAAGTGTCTCATTTATTCACTTCCATTTTTAAGACAAGACAGATTTGGCCAAATAACTTACAACTACTGGTTAGACGATGTCAGATGTCGAGGAGATGAAGAATCTATCGAGCAGTGTGGGCACAGGGAATGGGGGAAACACAACTGCCGTAGATATAACCAGGCTGGTGTAGTTTGTAAACTGGATTTGACTGACAGCGTGACTTTTGCGGAGCCACCAAAATCCATAAATAAGGTAAGAAATAATCACATATATGGACCGAGATTCTAAATCGATCGGCTCTGAATAACAAAGTGCTTTTGGTCGTGTGATTTTCACCCTCCACGCCTTAACAAGCAATCAAGAGCTTCCTTAGTTGGTAATCATTTCCTATTTTCCGGTGACCTTAATGTGTGATTCGGGGGTGACATTTTTAGGGAAGATTAGATGCTAATCGATCACTCCTAGGGTTTGTGTTAGAAAGAAAAACAAATATGCCTATGAGCACTTACAAACTGTTCACTGTTAACAGTAATTAAAGTTACACTCATTTCTCTATGTACTCGAGTAACAACTCATCATGTCCATCGCAGGTTTTGAGCTTGAAAGTCAGGTTACAAGGCCCAGTTGTTGATGATTACATATCAGAAGGTGTCGTCCAAGTAGAGCACGAGGGAAAGTGGGGTTATATTTGTCCTTCTCAATGGACTCAATTTAACTCGTACGTGCTGTGCGGCCAGCTTGGATTTCCTGACGCTGAGGAACTCGAGTCCCATACGAAAACCATCCAAGATTTGGAGCCCGTCTATTGGCTGGACCAGGTGACGTGCAGAGGATGGGAGTCATCGATTGTGTCTTGTGACCATTCAGGGTGGGGACCTAAGCAGTGTGAGGAGGGAGGGGCAGTGAGGATTGAATGTACCAGGAGACGAGAAGATAAGGTTAGTTGATCACAACACTTTATAGTAGAAGGTCAGGCCATAATTACTAAGCCAATTATGTTGATTTTCAAATCAAAAGCTCGAATAGTCAGCCTCAGTTTTACAGGGTGTCTCATCCTCTCCCCTCGCTAATGAGTTGGAAGGAGAGAGAGTCTGTGAACAAGATTACGCAGTCGAGTGTGTGCTCCATGGACAAAGACCTAGCTTTAAGCATTATGTATGAAAATCTCCAGCTTGTTATTATTTGGGTATGGAAGGGTCTCAAGAAAAGTCTGTAATTGAAGAGCCTTATGCAATGTCAACCTTCATTTGTTTAAAGTGAGGTCATAATGTATTTTTCTCGTCAAGCCACACTCCATTCGCCTTCGAAGTGGTGCCCAGATGTCCGAGGGGCGCGTAGAGATCAAGTACAAAGGGTCTTGGGGAACTGTATGTGATGATCATTGGACACTTAAGGAAGCAAATATTGTCTGCAGGTCATTGGGATTCGGTTCTGCGGCAGCAGCAACGAAGGCAGCACATTATGGCAAGGGTGTGGGAAAGGTGAGTAGTTGAATTTAACTATTATAATAACTGACTCTGTAAATCACATGTGATAGTTTTGAGAATTACACTCTTGGATAAAAAGGAAATGTTTGCAACGGAGCCGAGGAGTTTTGACTTGCCATCGTTTCTCCCGCTGTTATGAGCACAAAGAGACGATAAGCATCAGTTTTTGTTTAAGTGGGTTGTCGGTCCATTGCAGGCCACTCTCTGGATCCTTCAGCGTTTCGCTCAGATTTCGTTGCAGTTACACTCCTTGGCGAGAGTAAGAGTACTGTTGGAGTGAATGTTTGTCCCCAAACAACAATACCATGACTGGGCACGAGATTAAACGCGAGAGAGTGAATCTTAGAGTAAACTGAATTGTTCCTGATGCTTGAGGTCGCTATGGTTGTTACAGAGGAAATCGTCAAAAGGAATGAATTTCTCGTAAACATAAAAAACAGTAGCAACAGCAGTAACAACAACGACACCAAAACAAGTAAATCTCAATGGCTCCTTCTGCATCCTACCTGATTTCCATGAAATATTCTATTTCAGGAGGGATCATTTACAGGCCAATTTTCAGGAAAAAAATATTTTTTATGATGTGTACGGTGTTTTTTGTTACAGATCATGCTCGATAATGTTCGCTGCGAAGGAAGCGAGCGTAGTATAACCCAGTGTCGTCACCATGACTGGTACAAAACAAATTGTGATCATTATGAAGATGCAGGCGTCAAATGCCACGCCCCAGAGCTTCAAGGTCACCAGGTAAATAATTCCCGCACCACTGAGTGGAACTTCGTTTTACTTACTAAAAGGCAGCTTTTAAGCAACTCCCTTAAATAAAATTACCACTAGTTATTAAACTTTACTCAAACATCAGCCCTTAAAAGAGGCCATCATTACAATTCCCTAATTTATGTAAAAATACAACAATTTATAAAACGAGGAAATAACGACTTCGAATACACCGCTATTGTTATCCAATGAAAATACGGAAATGAACTAATACTTATAGACGAAGATCCACTTTAGATCTTAGGATTTCATTGATGGTTGCATTGTCACCATCCGGCCTATTTCTTTTGGCTTCACTCATTGTTTTAATGTTATTTTGGAAGTTTTAAATTCGTTGGCTATTCGATGTCACTTTTAATTTCTTTGATTTTTTTCATATACCTTAAGATAAAATGACAAGCGAAGCTCTTTGGCTGTCATAACTAATTTTTCATCCTAATGAGGCCTGAAATGCTCCTCTCTTTTAACAGATCAGGCTTAGTGGTGGTGGTAGCATTTCCGAGGGTCGCGTTGAAGTCTTTCATGATGGCAAATGGGGAACCGTTTGTGCTGATGGATGGGGAATAGAGGAAGCCATGACAGTTTGCCGACAGTTGAATCTCGGATTTGCTAGCCAAGCTGTTATCGAAGGTAACTTTGGGGGAGAAGTTCTTCCAGCCATTTTATCTGGAGTTCAATGTCGAGTGGACGCGATATCCATTTACAACTGCGAGCATGACGAGTTCGCGAACACTAAATGCAGCAGCAAAGGCAAAGTAGCTGGCGTCGTTTGTGTTGACGGTAAGGCGTGACTAATTTAATATTGTGTAATATTTAAGGGGTTACTTACATTTTAGTGATTTGCTTGTAGTTAACACGATTTGAATTCAAAGTTCGAAGATATTTGGGTTTTAGCTATCGCGTTGAGTTTCCTATGGTGATTGTCTCGTCTAACTTCCATTAGTTGACTTGCACAGTTTGTCCACTGACTCTACCTTGGACCCACATAAAAGTTTTTGTTTTGGCCTTGGTAGTCAAAGATTACTTGTTTGATTGGATATTAAATTGAGTCGATTTTACATTTGTAAGCTTCTTGTGAAAGGGTTATTGTTCTGATAACGAATGTTTAATCTTCGAAGGTCAGTGGGCCCGCACACCTACTCATGCCTGCCTATAGTGAATATAAAAGCGTGTACTACAGAGTTCGTAATCAATGTCAATCAGAGTAAGAGTCGGTCGACCAGAGTAACTCAGAGTAAGCAAGAACCGATCAGTCAGTCAGAGTCAAGAGTGGTTGAAGGGGGAAGAAGTAATAGAAATTAATTGTGCAGTAGGTAGAATTTATCAGAGAACGAAGACTAAAGAAGACTGAAAGACTAAGCACGGTGCGCTCTGCAGCTGGTTTCCCCCAAAACACGCGCTAACGGAAGGATCAATATTTAATAAAATTTGTATTTTGACACAACCTCCTCACCAAACCACGGAAACCTTAATACAGAGTTAAAAGAATATGATGGACAAAGCCAAAGAATGCCTTCAACAAATAAGATTAAGGTTTTAAAAAAGGCTACTGCGGTGTTGATGCCATTTTAAATTCTGCCTGGCTAGTTTTCATGATCCGACAAGCAGATGTTTATGCACCGAGAACCTTTTTCCATTTTCTTCCACAGCTCTTCCTGATATAGTACCTGATGTGGAATTGCTACGAAAAGACATGAAGATGCAGAGTATTCCTATGGAATACTTGAGGTGCTCTCTAGAAGAGAACTGCCTTTCAGACTCTGCTAATTACATCCGGTAAAAATTAAACCTAGTTTAACAAATCAAAAGAGAAAACAAAACAAACAGAAAACAAACAAACAAAAAAGTTATTGGCGGTCTCAACATTGCGTGCTTTCAAACAAGAGAGATCAGAAGACAATTACATAAGATTGGAACGGCTTTAAAAGCGTTTTCCCTCTGAAATGGCACTGATAGCGAAGACATTAGAGAACTTAAGCAGAGCCCGAACGATTTTGAGACGCGGACTGAACTGGGAGACGAATAAAACTAATTCCGATGCGCTTTGACGCTCATGTATCGACGGTGAGGTCGTTTTAGCATTTAAACCAAACTTTGCTGACCAAAAAAGGTGTAGTGAGCATCAGGAGCGAGACCTTTAAACTTCTGGCTGCCGTCCGCGTCTCAAAAAGGTATGGGCTAATGGCTTTTAACAGCGGGAACGTCTTGGTCGCTTCTACATTATTCTAAACCTACCTAGTCGATCAAACTGATGACAAAGTGAGAGGTCACACTGAAGTTACATCTACTTCTACCAATAAACTGCAGTGGCAACCGCTTTAAATTTGTTCCATGAATACTTACAAGGTCTTTGTTGACGCTACGCGTAAGTGGTATGTTAAGCTTTCCTTTCCTACTGAAAATGAGAACAAATTAGACGTCAGGTGATTCGTCCTTAATTCAGGTCGAACTACGAGTTAAAGTTTACCTTGGTTCCAAGGTAGACGACCTGTCTCAGAGTAAACTTGCTACCTGATAGAGAATTCATTTCATTTGTGTCTCAACTAAATGAAGTTCCCTCTTCCACTCAGATTTAAAGATGAACAGATCGAGATTCCATTTGTTCTACTCGAATTTCAGAAATCCAGGATACCATTCAAGGCGTCTTTTGAGATTCAGTGTCAAAATTGAAAATCAAGGATTGGCGGATTTCAGACCGAATTTTCCCAAGTCTGAGTGGCAGTGGCATAAGTGTCATAAGCATTACCACTCTATGGAGACCTTCACCACTTATGATCTCATCGGTAAGTTTAATCCATTATCTCCCAGGATCTTAATGGTAATTCTCCTTACTGTCTGCCATACAATTCTTATGATGCTAATTTGGAGAATTTGGTATTGGATCAACTAATCACCCCGTTAATTGATATTTTTCTCTCTTCTCATTACTTGTCTGTTGGATTCTGTAAGGACGAAATGGTTACTCGTGAGAGCTTAAGGGTTTTTTGGATAGTTCCCTTAGGTTTTGAAATCCAACAATTTGATTGGTCTCAAGCCATATCTGACACTATAAGAACGAAGGTTAAAATCCAAACAGTTTAATTTTTCTTCCATGATGTTTGTTTTCTGAATTTCAATTTTGGAATACAGCCGTCAGTGATTTGTTGCAATGAGGTATTTTAAAAGAATTGTACTTCCTGTAGAGCATTAAAGTTAATATATTTTTAATCTCATTAAGATAAGGATTCAGGAGAGAAAGTTGCTCAAGGCCACAAGGCTAGCTTCTGCCTCGAGGACACAATGTGCGATCCAGGCTATGACAAGAAATTTAACTGTTCTGAAGAGGGCGGTCAGGGGATTTCTCCGGGCTGTTACGACATTTACAACTGGAAAATTGACTGCCAGTGGGTGGACTGCTCGGACTTCCAACACGGATCATTTTATTTGAGAGTACATCTGAACCCCGGCAACCAAGTGGCTGAATCAGATTTCAGGAACAACGTGGCAAAGTGTTCCGTGTATGACTATGGAAATTATATCGTCACAAGCAAGTGCAAAATCGGTGAGTCGTTCACAGTTTACATTGCTTTAAAATGATACAGATGTCGGTCGACATGTCTCGATATTGGAAATTCTGATAAATTTCTAGCACGTGAACTTTCATAGAGCATACAACATATTTACGAAATGCTCTCCAAGACTACAATGCCATATGATACGTGATTTATGCAGAGTGCAGCAGAGAGTCTGTACTTCTCAATTTAAGATAGGATGAATTATTTTTTTCCTGCTGTGTTTCGTAGAGGATTGTGACAGCGGTGTGGACACCCATGGCGGGAATTCAGCTGGAAATTGCTGTGTTTTTCCATTCCGGTACAACCGTAAACTGTACCACGACTGTACAATGGACGGCTACACGTTGAAATGGTGCTCGACCACGTTTGATTTCAAACAAGATGGCAAATGGGGACTGTGCTACAACTAGGTTAGTCTTTTCCTTCAGTTATCTTTCTCTTTATTTTCCTGTCTTTTAAACAAAGGACCCACCATATGACAGTTGCAATGCTGAGAAGTTACAATTCCAAAGCTCAGAGTTTGATCAGCGATGTCGATTCTTCGAGAAGACAGGTTCTTGTGTGCAATCGACAACCTTCCTCTGCAGGCCACATAAATTTTCATGTTGAAAGTTAATTTGTAAACAATACTGCTTGGATCTCCCGTGGTCCATAAAGCTAGGTTTTGAGTCAGGTATGTACTGCATGGTAATTTTTTCCTTTTTATGAATTACAGGTCAGCGAGGAAGTTGGGGATCTTTTTCTACTCTTTTTTACAAGGCTTCAACGCTTCTGCAAATCTTCACCATGGAAGAAACGCTTTTCAAGTTTTCACCTATCTATATCTGTTAGTTCCTATTCAAATATTTCAATGTTTACGGAAGAGTACGTTCTTTGATGTTCGAAACTCTATGTATAAAAGGGGCGCTTAAGTAAAATTAAGTAATAAGGGTTCTTACCATCCTTTTATCCTATTAACAACCAGCGAGCATTTACTTTGCACTAAATTCTACGTTACTACCAATGAGCCAACTCATGAACTAGACCTGTGACAAGTGTCCTCGAAATTCCAGAGATAAGCAATGTCAAGAGTATTGAGCGTGAAAATAAAGATGCTCAATAAATTTCTATTTTTAGCATCAAATAGTTTACCGAGTAACGTTCGAAATTTGGTACAAGGTGCCATACCTTTTGAAAGCCTCGCAAGAAATACCACTTATCAAGGGAAGAAGGAGGTGTTCTCTACAATTCGACAATCTACTAACTGCTATATACTACTATATACTATATATAATTTTTTTACAATCCGAATGGTATATTAAAGTGTTTGGTAAGAACTCTCAGCTTTGAATTAATCGTATCCCAGTCCATGTAAACTAACTCAAGGAAGCGGCCTGATGTCTCGGTGAGTTGGAAAGCGGATCTACCGTGAAATACGCGCTTGTTGTTGAACGATATCACATCACTAGGCACCATTTTATATTCTATTTGATTGATCGGACCTCTGAGAATTCGACCATACTTGAGGTAAGCTTCGTACAGTTCCACAGCTTTCTCCGGGGGAAGATTCATGAAGGAGTCGCGTGCAGTATCGTTTAAAGCGAGTCCGCTCAATTTGCCATTGTCATCCAACCTGCAACAAAAGCGTCTTTCTTGTAAATATGGGCCACATAGAAGGTTGAAACAGGAGACAAATCAAAAACTGAGAAAAGCAAAAAAAAAAAGGAAAAAAATTGTGATACTGAAGAAGAAATATCGTACTTTTTGAACGTCGACCTTGATTTTGTTTTGGAGTTACCCCAGCTTTCGATAAAATGTCATTCTTTTGTATTGTTTACTGTGTAGTCGTCGCATTGAGGACACAATAAGAGTTTCAATGTTATTTTTAAGTTTAGTGTTCCTGTTAGTGGTGAAAACAAACACAGCCCCTCAGCTTCTTCTTTTGAAAGGACGGCCTCTTCCGGAATCTTGTTCAGGTCACAAAGGCATTATCGTTCAGTGACACCAGTTCCGTAGCCCCTAAGTTTTATTTTTGAAGACATAATCGATAATTCAGAGGGCTTCGAAGCCACCCTACTTTCTACACCTATTTAAGGTGGATCCGAGCCATTTCAACAGCAAACTCACTCTATTGTGACATGAGAGGATTTCATGTGAAAATCACCAAACACGTCCTTGCCACGGTCCCTGAATTGAATTGGAGTGGTAGACAACAGCTTGAAAGACTCTGGGTCAATTTCTTTCAGTGTCTTTGCAGCGTGAAATCCGTCGGAAAACTGATTAACGCCACCTTCGCTCGACACCTGCTCGATACAGTGAAGAAGTTGTACCTTAAAGAAAAAAGCAAAATGTTGCTTTCCCTCTCACGTTTAACCGAAAAAAAGTTCAAATTTGACGAGTGCAATAAGGTTCAAGTGATATATCGAAGCTTCTAGTGAGTTTAAAATGAAGACGTTTTAACTTAGATTTTTATAAAGCTTTTGGCCTCCCAAAAGCAGATTGGGGCTGGACATAATTGCCTGGAATAAACAGATGTCATAAATTTACATGTTATTCCCTTTTTCCCTTGATTTACTTACCCCGGGCTGATAGTCCAAATAAGGCAGGTCACCATAAAGAGGAATGCCGTCTGTGGTATAAGCCAGGTTGTTAGCGTCAAACTTGGCCCGTACGTCGGTACTATGGCTGCAAGTTAGAACACAGTCGCAGTTAGTTATATTATTACGCTTGTTGCCAAATACTACGTTGATTAGAGACAACAAATTTAGACTGGGCATTTCCTTCTCATACCCAGTGGGTAGGGGGATAAAACATTACACGATGTTCTGAAGACTCAATGGCGTCCATCCCCCCTTTTAACACATGGATCAGTTACCAGAGCTCTCTTAGAGGTCTATTTAGCAATAAACGCGCATTACTCCGAAAATAGATCTGGAACGGGGCATACAAAGTAGACCTTGTCTCTTAATCAAATTGAGCAATTTGCATCTTTTGTCCAGTCAAGGTCGACAAGTTCAAAATGTTTCCTTTTCAACAACTTTTGAAAATTATTCACTGATACGTAGCTAAGTGAGCAGCGTCCTGAAGTGAATTTTATGAGTTTTAGCACAGATTGTACATTCCTGACAGATTTGGCCGCTAGTGCAACATTTATTTTGATAATTTCTTAGTCTCAGTTACTTTGAGGCTCTTTTTACAAAGCTATTCTGTTGTCAGCAATTTAGTTATGTTCTAGGTTATTTGGGGTTCCAATTCAGATAAGTATAGAACTGCTTCAAATATTATATATATATATATATATATATATATATATATATATATATATATATTATGTGTATATATACATATAACAAGACATGCAACTGCTGACAAAAGAACGCATGCCCGCTCGACGGAAACTGCCTGCAACCATTAGTAATTTACCAAGCCACACCACACGCAAAGACAACAACACGACAGAAACGTACATCGGACTCAAAGAGAACGACTTCAAAACAAGATACAGAAACCACACCGCATCATTCCGCCATGCTAGACACAGAAACTCCACCGAACTCAGCAAGCACATCTGGACCCTCAAAGACAACAACATCGAACACTTTATTTCCAGGCGCATTCTCTCGTCACACTCGCCGTACAACAGCTCAAGTAAAAGATGTAATCTCTGCATCAAAGAAAAATTCCTAATCATCTGCCGACCCAAACTATCAACACTAAACAAATGTAACGAACTCGTGTCTTCCTGCCGCCACAGAAACAAAGCCCTCCTACGCAACAACTAAACTGTTAAATTTCGCGCAACATAAATTAGATTATATTGTATATAAGTGATGGTAAAGATTATTCTCATTAAATCCCCTGATGAGTGGGCAACCAAGAAACAGGTCTGTAGGGATGAACTGTAGTTTATTTGTCTTTTTCCTCTCACTATATATATATATATTATGTGTATATATACATATATACATATATATATACATAAATACATATATATACATAAATATATAAATGAATGTGAGGTAGAGTCTACCTTGGCATAAAGTGCTCAATGCTGTGGTAGCAGAGCTAAGTATACATAAGTCAAAGAATTAAGAGGACTCATTGATTTTCTCTCTGACTCTGAGTTTTGCACCTAAGCGCTCATCAGACATAAATATATATACATAACTACATATATCTAGTTAGAGAGAGAGATAGGAAGTCTGTGTATTGATTTTTCTGTTTTACAGTGCTCAATACATAGAAGTAGAGCATGATATATGTTGTAATAGGGGGAAAAAAACAGAGAGAACACTCGTCAGTTGTCTGTCACTCGTCAATTGATTTTTTTTTCTGATAGCCACTTGGCTCCTAAATTTTTCAAAGTGGTAGCCAATTAAAAAAAAATGCTCGCCATTTTTAAAGACAAAAAAACCCCTTTTTTACGCTATCAGCGTTCTGGATAGGGTATCCAGTCAACTCGCCGACGTATAAATCGAGTAGAGACGTCGGCGAGTTGGTCCTCAGTCCAATACAACTTATTAGAAGTTAAACATACAGAAAAGTAAACGATATTTAGTAAAAAAAACACTAGTGAACATTGGTGAACGAGATATCTCGTTCACGTCTGAAGCTGTTAGAGTCATTGGTGATGTTTACTTCGCTTTATTCGCCTTGAGATCCTTATAAACTTTGTTTCAAATAAAAAGAATTGCTTTTTACTAAAGATCTTGTCTAGAAAGCCAAGTTTTCTTTAAAAAATCTGAGCGATTGACATGATGAGTCTTTACGGTGTTGTTGTCGTACAATAACTCGTTCGCGTCTTAAGCTGTTATAGTCATTGCTGATGTTCACCAATGTTCACCAATGTTTAAGCTTCTGTTTGATATTCACCAATGTTCGCTAGTGTTTTTTCACTAAATATCGTTTACTTTTCTGTATGTTTAACTTCCAATAAGTTGTATTGGATTGAGGACCAACTCGCCGACGTCTCTACTCGATTTTATACGTCGGCGAGTTGGCGTCGGCGAGTTGACCGTAAATCCTGGATAGACCCTCCAAATTAAGTTCTACAACGTTCTACAAAGTGGACACTAGGATGGATGATATACAACGTTCGAGCTCACCTAAATCCAAGATGGCGTCTAGTTATCGATTGAGATGCATGTGCTAAGTTTTCGAAACAAACTTGACGAGGAAGTTTGCCGCGGATTTATCTTTGCAAATCTTCGTTATTCACTATGTCTCTAGGTGTGGTTATGATGAAGCATTCTAGTCGCCAATTTGGCGGCTACTTTTCAGGATTTGGTCGCCAAAGTGAAAAATTTAGTCGCATTGGCGCCTGTATTAGGCGCAATTTCACGCCCTGTATATATATATATATATATATGTATAACGAGTAAACTTACCCGTAATGGGTGGTTTTTGAAAATCCAACTCTACTGCACAATTTAAAGCATTCCCCAGTTTGCAGAGGAGTGTTTGTTACAAGTGCAATTCCTAAGCTATGAAGTGAAACCAACCACTCATACAGTTTGTAGTCATCTTCCATCACCTCATGAAAGTCATGACGAGGTATCTTGTCTTGAAGCTACCATATAATCAATATGATCAATACCAGGAGTATTCAATTGCACAACTGAAACTTGTAACCTCTCTTATGGGACACCTCTTTTCATAGTCATGGGACACTTCTATTCAGGAGGCAGAAACTTTCATTCAAGAAAAATATTTATGCCACCTTTGTATTTGTTACCTCTATTGAAGGAACACCTCTGTCCAGGACAAAGGATCACTTTTTTTGGGTCTCAAGACCCCCCTAAAAGCTCCATTTGGGAGACACCTTAACCAGAGATCTATGTCAATCATGGTTTTTTAATACATCATCCACCTGCTTGGACTTCAGCCAGTTCCAAACTAGACATTATTTCTATTGCTAAGTCTTCATAAACATCACACAAAGCACACTAACCCTGGTCCCCTGGGGGCCCCTGAAAGGAGGTTCCATTATATGTTGCAGTTGTCTCAGAATGTTTTGTTGCCCTAATCCCAAAATGATTCATGGATTCATGAATAGGTAAGGTGGCTCTGAACTGAACTGATTCTATTCAAATTTTTGAGAAGGACTTATATCAATATCTTCAATGCAATTCATTGATAAAATGGGGGTCACTACATCTGTCTTTGTGTTACAGGCACGTAGAGAAAAATACAGGGTTGTTTTCAAGGGGCTGTAGAATTGCTATGGCAACTGAAATCCATTGGATGAATGATCACAACTTCCACTGTATCGATCCAGAAATGACTGAGCAATTCTTACTACCAATTCCCAGAAAAAACAAACGAAAATGTGTGGAGGATAGGATTCATCAAAATATTGATGATTGAACATAACTAAAATTTTTGAGCCACCTTTAGGGGAAGTTTCTTTTTTTTAATTTAAATTTTTTTGTTTTTTTAGGAAGACAGCTGAGTAGACCATTACGGAGACTATTTTCCGATAAGCACAATTCGCATAATTACCTGTTCAGCGTTCCAAAAAATTACACCGGCCTTGTTTAGCGTTGGGTCTTCTTTAGCCTCAGCTTCTTGCGACTTCTCGGCCAAGCGCCGGGAGTGGAGCCACTCAGAATCAAACACACTGACATGTTCATC